ACCCGCAGAGAGATCCCTGCAATCTCCCTCTGATCAGCCACTCGATCCCCCCTCAGTCTGTAGGCCGGAAGGTCAGGAAGTAGCCACTCCAAGGAATAGGGCTGGGATCCTACGCTCCTCTCTCAATACTGCAGTCACAGACTTTTTCCCACTGACCTTCTAAGTTGTCTTTGGCATTTGTGGGTTGGGAAGTCTGGAAACCACCCCAGCTGCCCATGATTCAGTCCTCTGAAGCCTGCTCCAGGGTCTCTGTGGCCTGTGTGCCCACGCTGAACTGTGTTCCTCTCCCAACCCAGCACAATATACTTTTCTGATCAACCATCCAGGCTGTCTTTGGCTGGAAATTGGTTTCACTCTGTCTTTTTGTGGGTTCTGCTGCTTTAGAATTTGTTTAGAGACATTTTTTATAGGTATTTGGAGGGGTTTGGGGGAGAGCTCAAGCAAGTCACTGCTTTTGCTCCGCCATCTTGGCTCCGCCCCCTCCAGGATCAAATTTAAAAGAAAAAGGCCAAAAAAAAAATTAGCAAAAAAACCCCCCCAAAAACCAACAAAACAACAAAAAAAGAATCTGACCATAGAAAGTTATGGGGTGACAGGGAAGACCAAGACACAAACTTAGAAAAGGACAACAATGTTAAAACACCTAAAACCCCAAAGAAAAATGGGAAGTGATCTCATGCTCAGAAAGAACTCATGGAAGATCTCAAAAAGGAGCTTAAAAATCATATAAGAGAGGTAGAAGAAAAAATGAGAAAGGAAATGAGAGTGATGCAGAGAATTATGAAAAAAGAGTCAACAGCTTGGAAAATTGCTTCAAAAATAGAATTGGCCAAATGGAAAAGGAGATACAAAAATACACTGAAGAAAACAATTCCCTAAATAATACAATAGACCAAATAGAAAAGAAAGTAAAAAAGCTAATTGAGGACAACACCTTAAAAGTTAGAATTGGTCAAGTGGAAGCTAATGACTCTATTAGACATCAAGAATCAATCAAACAAATTCAAAAGAATGAAAAAAAATGGAAGAAAATGTAAAACAGCCATGGGAAAAACAACTGACCTGGAAAATAGATCCAGAAGAGACAATATCAGAATCATTGAACCTAAAAGCCATAATCTGAAGGAGGACCTGGACAACATCTTTCAAGAAATTATCAAGAAAAACTATTCTGATGTCCTGGAACCAGAGGGCAAAATAATCATTGAAAGAATTCACTACTCATTTCAGGAAAGAGATCCCCAAATAAAAACCCCAAGGAACATTATAGCCAAAGTTCAAAACTATCAAGTCAAAGAAAAAACAAGTGACCAGAAAGAAACAATTCAAATATTGGTGAATCACAATCAGGATCACACAGGACTTGGCAGTTGTAACATTAAAGGACCAGAGATCATGGAACATGATATTTCAGAGGGCAAGGAGTTAGGACTGCAACCAAGAATCACTTATCCAGCAAAATTAAGCATAATACATCAAGGGAAAAAAATGGTCATTCAATAAAATAGAAAGGTTTTAAGCCTTCGTAAGGAGAAGACCAGAAGTAAACAAAAATGTGACTTCCAATATCAAGACCCAAGAGAAGCATAAAAGGTAAAAAGGGAAAAGAAAACATGAGGGATTCAATAGAGATAAACTGTTTACATCCCTACACAGAAAGATGATACTTATAGCTCTTAAAAATTGTATCACTAACAGTACAGAGGGAATGAATATACATAGATAGAGAATATGGGTATAAGATGAATTTGAGGGAATGGCATAAAAAATTAAGGGATGAGAAAGAGAAGTACAATGGGTGAAGAATGAAGGGAGGGTAGAACTGGGTAAATTATCTCACATGAAGAGGTGAGAAATATCTATTACAGTGGAGGGAAAGATAGGAGGGTGAGCAATGGGAATCATTTGAAACTCACTCTCATCAGTATTGACTCAAAGAGGGAATAGTAAACACAATCAGTTGAATATAGGAATCTATCTTACCTGACAGGGAAGTAGAAGGGGAGGAGATCAAGTAAAGGGGGATGGTATGTGCCGGTCGTGCCATGCACTCTCCTCCTATAAGGAGCAGGCTGCCAGAGTCATACTTACCAGCCTTCGGTGCCCACCCGGATAAACACAGAAATGAGCCCGATCAGGAGGTGCAAACACTCAAGCTTTATTCAGAGGCCATCACAGGAAGGCCAAGCAGGAAAGCCAGAGCAAGAGAGCAGGAGCAAGAGAGAGCGAGCTCTGATCTCTACTGTTCCTTAAGTACCTACTTAGCCCCTCCTCCTCAGCCCGCCTACTAGTCAATGATTGTAGGATCAGATACCGAAGGGGATGTCTGGGTTTAGTGTTGCACCAAGGGAGAGGATGTGATGCAGGAGGCTAGGACCAGATACCGGGAGGAGGCGTCTGGGGTCAGTGCTACACAAAGGGAAAGTACGTGACCCAGGAAGTCAGGAAGGAGACGTCTGAGGTTGATGTTGCACCTAGGGAGGGGACTAGACAAAGGGAACTCATTCTCTGCCATCCCACTCCCACGTGGCACAGCCCCCTGCCTCAGGAGCACGTGCTCCGGCTACTTCCTTGTATCCTGTTCCTTCCCCAGCTTATCACAGCTCCACATAGCACTGCCCACTGCCTAGGGAGCATGAGCTCTGGTTACTTCTCCGTATCCAGTTCCCATCCCAGTTCACCACAACTCTGCCTAGCACAGCCCCTGCCTCGGGAGCGTGAGCTCTGGTTACTTCCTAATATCTTGTTCCTACCTCATCTTGCCACAACTTTCACTTGGCAGTAGCCAACATCAGACAATCCCTTACAATGGTAGGGACTAACAGAAGGGAAGTCAGATCAGGGGAAATGGTAGACAGAAGCAAAACATTGATGAGGTGGGAAAGGGGGAAAGGAGAGAGAGGACAAACAGGAGGGAGAATAGGAGGGATGGAAGTAACTGTGAATGTGAATGAGATGAACTTTCCCATAAAATGGAAGTGGATAGCAGAGGGGATCAAAAACCAGAATCCTACAATATGTTGCTTAAAAGAAACACACTTGCAGCAGAGAGACATACAGAATAAAGGTAAGGGGCTAGAGCAGAATCTATTATGCTTCAGCTGAAGTAAAAAAAGATATGGGCAGCAATCATGATCTTAGATAAAGTAAAAACAAAAAAGTACCTAATTAAAAGATATAAGGAAGGAAATCTTGCTAAAAGGTACCATAGATAACGAAGCAATCAAATTTGAGGAGCTAGGAATAGTCTACCTGTCAGATCTATGAGGAGAGGAAGAATTCAAGACCAAAGAAGAGATAGAAAACATTATGAAATGTAGAATAGATAATTTTGATCAAATTAAATTGAAAAGTTTTTGCATAAACAATACCAATGCAACCAAGATTAGAAGGAAAGCAGAAATCCGGGAAAGAATCTTCACAGCAAGTGTCTCTGACAAAAGCCTCATTTCTCAAATATATGGAGAACTGAGTCAAATTTATCAGATATGAGCCATTCCCCTATTGATAAATGGTCAAAGGACATGAACAGGCAGTTTTCAAATGAAGAAATCAAAGATATCTATAGACATATGAAGAAGTGCTCTTAATCACTTTTGACCAGAGAAATGCAAATTAAAACAACTCTGAAATACCACCTCACATCAACCAGATTGGCTAATGTGACAAAAAAGGAAAATGATAAATGTTGGGGAGGATGTGGGAAAATTGGGACACTAATGCACTGTAGGTGGAGGTGTGAACTGATAGAACCATTCTGGAGAGCAATTTGGAACTACGCCCAAAGGACAAGCAAACTGTGCATACCCTTTGATTCAGCAATACCACTGCTAGGTCTGTATCCCAAAGAGATCATAAAAAAGGGAAAAGGACCTACATGTGCAAAAATATTTATAGCAGCCCTTTTCGTGGTGGTGAAATATCAGAAATTCAGGGGATGTCCATTAATTGGGGAATGGCTGAACAAGCTGTGTTATATGAATGTAATAGAACACTATTGTGCAATAGGAAATGATGAACAGGCAGATTTCAGAAAAACCTGGAAAAACTTGTACAGACTGATGCAAAGCGAAATGAGCAGAGCCAGGAAAACATTGTACACACTATAAGCAACATTGTGTGATGATCAACTCTGAATGACTCAGCTCTTCTCAGCAACACAATGATCCAAGACTAGTACAAAGGATTCCCAATGAAAACGCTATCCATATCCAGTTAAAGAACTGATGGACTCTGATTGCAGATCGAAGCATATTTTTTTCACTTACTTTATTCTTTCTCATGGTTTTTTTCCCCTTTTGATCAGTTTCTTCTTCCACATCTGTGATGAATATGGATATGTTTTACATGATAGCATATGGATAAACTATATCAAACTACCTACCATTTTCAGAAGAGGGGAGGGGAGGGAGGGAGGGAGAAAAACTTGGAACTCAAAATCTTATAAAAATGAATGCTAAAAATTTTCTTGATATTTAGTTGTGGGAAAAAATAAAGTACTGTTTAATTCCTTTTTTCCCTTGGAGATGTTTTTTTTTTCTCCATAGACTTCAGAGTACTTTAGTACATCCAACTAATTCTCAAATCACTACCAAAAAACCCCCCAAAACCCATATAGAACAAACAGCAATCCATGGTAATGAGAAGAAGGATAGGCATAAATAATTGAAATCCAAAAATACTTCCCAAATCTCATTTTAACAATTAGTTTTAACTTTCACCTGCTATCAGAGCTGATAACAAGTGACAACATTGCCTGATTTGAGTTTCACTTCATTCACTTCATTCCATTTTTCCTGTTCATCCTATGTGTAGAAATCCTAACACACAATGAAATAGAAAGCAAGCAAGCCAGACCAGGATTGTATTTTGATTTTGGTGTAATGCTGGCTGACAATAATCTAAAAGGACAAATATATAAGACACATTTAATGAGCAAAATTAGATTTCCTATGAGTAAAATGTTTTATTACTGATTTAGAATAAAATTTTATACAAACCTTAAATAGATCTCGAAGACTAAACATGTAGTGACACTTAGCTGGGGTTGGTAACAGATTGTGACATATGTGATAGTAGACAGAGAGGGAAAGTGCTGCCAATTGCTGCCTGCACTTCTGAACATCAGAGAGGAAGGAATTGTTGTGTAAGTGTATTCCCAGATGAGCCTAAAAAAGAAAATTTTGTGACCAACATTTTAAAAACATCTAAGTATTCCTTAGTGTGCCTGCAGATTTAGGCATTATAACATTAACAGGAAGTTCAAAGTCTATTAAAAATACTAATAGTCATCATTTAACAGACAATCAGGACTATTTCTATGGTTTGTCCAAGCCTCAGGGGGTAGGTTGGTGTTGGTAATGACTTAATGTTCAGGCTTCCTATTCCATCTTTTCCCAAGCTACCACTTGAGTAGTGTTTCCAAGACTTTGTTAGTAGAAGGGAAGAAAATGTCAGGGGACTTTGGTTAATGACATTTGAGTATCAGCCAGGGGATTAGTATGGCCTACTGCCATACCCTCTGAGTTCCTTGCAATGATGTGAAGTTATAAAATTAATATGAAACCTTAGGATTTTTCATGTAACTTAATGACTAACTTGAATTCTTAACAGCCTCCTTGTTTGAAGGATTGTCAGGTAGGTAGCACAGTACCAAGCTTCCCCTGGAAGTTTCAATCTGATTGGGAAGAGCTCTTCAGGGTCTGGGGATATAGGTCAGGTGTATTCTATAGCCAGTTCTACATAGTTTCAACAGTGTGCATGAGATGTCTCTCTGACCTACTGGTTCCCTAGCATATGCACCAATGGGCAACATAAGATGATTCAACTAGTTCTTCAATCTTAATTAATACTTAGGTTTTCTTTCTTATAAATGAAGTGTTTCTGAAGCTATCTATAGTCATATGAAGAAGTGCTCAAAATTGCAATTGATTAGAGAAATGCAAATTAAAACAATTCTGAGGCACCACGTCACACCTATCAGGTTGGCTGATATGACAAAAAAGGAAAATGGTAAATTTTGCAGGGGATGTGGGAAAACTGGGACACTAATGCATTCTTGGTAGAGTTGTGAACTGATCCAACCATTCCGGAGGGCAATTTGGAACTATTCCCAAAGGGCAACCAAACTATGCATACCCTTTGATCTAGCGACACCACTGCTAAGTCTGTATCCCAAAGAGATTTTTTTAGAAAAGAGAAAAGAGCCTATTTTTACAAAAAATATTTGTAGCAGCTCTTTCTTTATGGTGGCTAAGAATTGGAAATTGAGGGGATGCTAATCAGTTGGGGAAGGGCTGGATAAGTTGTGGTATATGATTGTAATGGAATACTATTATGCTATAAGAAATGCAAGCTGAATGACTTCAGAAAAACCTGGAAAGACTTAACATGAACTGATGCAAAATGCAGTGAGCAGAACCAGTAGAACACTATACACAATAATAGCAATACTGTATCACGAAGAGTCGTGAGTGACTTAGCTATTCTCAGCAATATAAGGATCCAAGACAATCCCAAAAGACTCATGATAAAAAATGTTATCTGACTCCAGAGAGAGAACTGATGTTGTTTGAATACTGATTGAAGCATGCTATTTTTCATTTTCTTTCTTTTCTTTTCTTTTTGTTCAAGTCTTCTTGCACAAAATGACTAATATGGAGACGTTTACATGATTGCTCATGTATAACTATATCAGATTACTATTCCTCCCCTGTCCCTCTTAGGAAGGGGAGGTAAGAGAAGAGGGAGGAGAGGAAAGGAGGGATAGAATTAAGAACTCAAAACTTAAAAAAAAGAATGTTAAAAATTGTTTTTCTTTTACAAGTAATTGGGGGAAAATATTATTTAAAAATAAATGAAGTGTTTCTAAATGTTAAGGGGAGGTCAGAATAATAAAACAGGCAACATACAGGAGGAAATGAAATAATAACAATAATGACACATATTCATGGGACTTTTAAAGTTTACAAAGCCCTTTCCTCAAGATAACCTGCAGTAGTCAGTGCAAGAATTATTATCCCTATTTTTAGAAAACTGAGACTCAGAAAAGGTTAAATGACTTATTCAAGGTCATATAGCTAATTAGCTGGGATTTGAACTTAAGTTTTCTGACTACAAATTCAACATTAATTCAACACTTTCCATTCCAATTGTAGTGCTTCTCAGTAATATCTGATGGCATTTTTCTTTAAACGTTAGTAGTATTATACTTTATATCCTTTCCCCCTCCCCTATCTTCTTAGTCTATGGAAGCCTTCTAATTTCTACTAACTTCATTTATTACCTGAAGAATAGTGAATAAGGCATGTTGTGGAGGATGAGGCATTACCAGTATGAAAAAATGTTTGAGAAGACGCGGACTGATATCACTTTTTCCACCAAGTGGAATGCCACAAGCTGCAACCAGAGAGATATCTTGAATATTCTGTGAGAAATAGAAAGAAAGATTAACCAATAGTACTACAGTCAGTGAACTCTGAGCTTTCAGGATGCAGTAGATCTAGGAACCAAAATATCAGAAAAGGATATGACACCTGATCCTGGGAAAAGATCACTCTTTGACACTGGTGCATTGTAGATATGATTATGGGTATATTGGAAATCTCAGCAATTTTCCTTTAACACATTATTTGGGGAAATGTTTCTTATGAGATTGATTCTCTCTCTACCAGTCTGATACATCTTTTTAATGGACTCATCAGGGTACGAGAGCTTTATAACAACATCCTCATCTTAAGACTAGGCAGCTAATTTCAGTCAGTGAAAATCTATTAAGAGCATATTAAGTGCTAGATTCTGAGGACACAAATATAGATATACAAGAGACCTTGCCTACTTTCTGAGTGCTTACAGTCAAATAGTGGGAAAGGACAAATAGCTTTATTGTAAGTTAAAGTGAAATAAAGGCGACGGAGGTGCCCAGGTGCTGCAAGAAATCTGAGGAGTAAAGAAACAGTTTTCCTTCAGGAATGAGGATGAGGGAAAAGGGGGCATCAAGGAAGGCTTCATGGAGGACTTGACAAATTTCTTTTACTTTCATTCCACACTTACTGAACTGCTACAATATCACACTTTGGTTTTCCTAAGTAGGCTTCTCTATGGAGAAAAGAACTAGGTAACTGATGGGAATGAACTTTCTAGTTCACTTGGCCATTATATGTCTTTGTGTGAATAAGAAAATCATTCTACTATTATTACTGATTATATTAATTTTAATTATCAATGATAAATTACCATTCTGATGCAAATAAATCTTCAATAAATATGAGCAGCAAGAGTCACTCTTTCTAGTGCTCTATAATAGACTGCAGCCTACTTGGGCCCACCACGTGCCTTTTGGTAGCCTAAAACTTTAATTCTTTCAAGACTGAAGCATTCCATTACTTGTAGCCACGTAGCTTCATTAGATATGGAAAAAATAGGCCTTTCTTTCAAAAAGTTTGATACAGTTTTCAAATTTAACTTACTCTTGTCCTGTTTAATTCAGTTTGTGTCTATTCTACACAGGAAATTGGCTTCTGACATAGGAAACTCTTAAGAATAATATGATTTTGGGGGCAGCTAGGTGGTGCAGTGAATAGTGCTCTGGCCTTGGAGTCAGGAGGACCCGAGTTTAAATCCAGCCTCAGAAACTTAACATTTACTAGTTGTGTGACCCTGGGCATGTCACTTAACCCCAATCACCTCACCAAAAAGCAAAAACAAACAAACAAACAAACAAAAATTTTGAAGACACAAAGAGAAATAATTCTGACAAGAAGGAAAAGGGCAAATTTTCTAAAGATTTTAAAATGGTAATATGGATGCACAGAGAATTCCTTGGTCAACTTAGATTTAAAAAATGCGTTCTGAGAATGTGAGAGCAAAGGCAAGTAACAAGAGTAATGTAAAAGTGAGAGAGAATAATGTCAGGAGTGCTAACACTCAATTAGCTGGGGCTGGTAAGGAAAATTGACAATAAAATAAAAAAAGCTATTTTGGGCAAAAGAGGAAGTTGAAAAAGACAAAAAGAAGGCTGAGCTGCTCAGCTCTCATGCCTCTCTGCCAAGGAAGAGGAGTTTTAGATGAGAAAACATAGATCAAAAATGACCAATAGGGAATTTATACTTAAGACACATAAGGAAGTGGTAACATGAATATCTTCCTGACCTCAATGAGTTCAAGTCATCTGGCACAGATGAATTCTTTCTTCTGGTTTTGAAAAAACACAACAACAACAACAACAACAACAGGTGAGTGTGATTGCTTAGCAAACCACAGTCATTGCTTTTCAAAGATTGTGAAGAATGGGAAAGGAAGATTGTAGAAGGATACTAGGGGATGGGGAAAGGAATAAGCATTTATTCATGCCTACTATGCGCCAGGCACTATGCTAAGAGCTTTACAAATATTATCTCATTGGATACTCACAACAACCCTATGAGGTAAGTGATATTATTATATCTCAATTTTTTAGTTAAGTTAATTGAGGCAAACAAAAGTTGTGACTTGCCCAGAGGCACACAGCTAGTAAAAGATGTGAGGCTGGATTTGAATTCAGGTCTTTCTGACTCCAGGCCTTGTAATCTATCCATTTTGTCACCCAGCTGCCTCACACAGGATCCTTAATAGGATCAAAGACTTAGAATAGACCTTAGAAATAATCTGGTCTGATTCTCTCATTTATAGATCAGAAAATTGAAGCTCAAAAATGTTAAATGACTTGCCCAAGGTCACATAGGAAGTGGCTGGATTGGGATTTTAAAATGCAGGTCCTCTGCTTCTTGGTCCAGTGTTCTTTCCATTATACTAGGCTGGCTATTTCTATATGTAACAAAATTCTAGACATATTATTAAAGGATAGCATATATGAATAGAGGGTTGGTCTTGGTGTTAGGAAGACCTGGTACAAGTCTAACCTCTAACACAAATAATAGCTGGGCAGCCATGGATAATCACTTAACATCTCAGTACTCCAGGCATCTCTCTAAAACTTTAAGTTACAGATGAGTTGTTGAATTTTATAGAGGGCGAATGTTCATTGGGAATTTCCCAAAACTTATGAAATCACTGATCTAGATGAAAAAACAATCCAAGGTATGATTAATGAACATCTAGAAAGGAGAATGAATAGTGATCCCAACATGGCTTCACTGAGCTAACCTGATTTGTCTTTTTTTTTTTTGTTTTGACACATATTAAACTGGTAGATCAGAGAAATATGGCGAATATAGTTTATTTAGACTTAGCAAAGAATTTGACAGTTTTTCATGCTATTATTGTGGAAAATATGGAGAGGTGTAGATTCGATGATAGATAGATTTATCACTGGTTGAATATATGTACCAAAGAGTAGTCCTTAATGGTTCCATGTCAGTTTGGAAGGAGATCTCCAGTGGAGAGACCTAGGGATCTTTGTTTGGTTCTGTACTGTTTAACACTTTTCTCTTAATGACTTGGAAAAAAGGCATAGATGAAATCCTTAACAAATATGCAGATGACACAAAGCGTGGAGGAATATCTAACACACTGGATGACAGAGTCAAGTCCTAAAAGATACTGACAGGCTAAAGCATTGGGCCAAATCTAATCTAATAAGATCTAACCTAAACTAATAAAATCTAATATAGTAAAATTTAATAGGGATAAGCTAAAGCCTTATACTTAAAAAAGAAAATCAGAAGTATAGATGGTATGGGCTCACAAGAATTCATTTGAAAGAGTATGAGGGGTTTTAGTGTACTATATGGTTGAGTCAACAGTGATGCAGAAATTAAAAAGGGTAATGCAGCCTTGGATTACATTATATGACAGCCTTGGGTCTAAGACTAAATATGTGATAATCTGGCCATGCTATCTGGTTAGACTTTACCTGGAGTACTGTTCTAAACACTCATTGAGTATAGTGTAATGGGGATTCCTTTTGTAGATGGCTTCTGAAGGCCCTTCCAACTCTCAAATTCTGTGATTCAAGTTCTGTGTGCTACATTTTGATAAACTGGAGAGCATCCAGAGGGGAGACACCAATATGGCGAAGGGCCTCAAGTTCATATATGAAGATATCCTATTGGAACTGGGGATGATTCATAGGGAAAAGAAAAGACTTAAGAAGGGCACAATAATTGTCATCCAGTATTCAAAGAATTGGTAGTTAATTACTTTTTCTGTTTGTCTCCAGAGAGACATAGGAACAACGGAAGAAAGTTGTAAAGCGATAGATTGAGGCTTGATACAAGTAAAAGTTCTTGACAATTAGAGCTGTCTAAAAGTAGGATGGATCACTTTATGAGATAGGGTGCTGACCGTCACTGGCAGTCTTCAAAGATTGGATGTCAACTCATCAGGTATGCTGTAGACATCCCTTTTCACTCTGAGAGAGTGTAATTCTTAAGTGACTGCTGTATCTGTAACTGTTTGCTTCCTTCCAAGCTCTTAGGATATAGTCAGTTCCATTTTAAAGCACTGTCATTTGGTGCTTGACATTTCTAATGCTTTGCATTTTTTTTTTTTGGTGAAGACTATATAAATGATATATAGACATGAAGCTCCTCAGTCATCCACAAGTTTTTGGTCTCTTTCATTTTTTGATCCTCAACCTTATTTCCCAACATAGACTTGCCCAGCATCACACAGTCAGTATGTGTCAGGGTAGGGCTTGAGGCTGGGTTTTCTTGATGTTAAAACCAGTTCTCTAACCATTGTGCCATGCTGCCCCAGTAATAAATAAACTGGGCTCATAATAAGCATAAGTTAAAGAGACCATTATGAAAAGCATTGCTATCCTCCCTGTGTGTGCCCTTACACTGAAGTACCACACATCAAGGTAAACATTGACTTAGATCGGATGACATTATTAAGTTCTTGACTGATTGTTCCCATTTTTCTTTATTTTGGGCCTTTTGAATTGTCATGTAATGCTAAATGCCAGTATTGTTGTACATTAGTAATTATGCTCAGCATAAGAGCCATCTTCCACCCAAAACCTTTCCTGATCCCTCCTGGCTACAAGTGCTCTTCATTCTATCTTAACTTGTGTTCTTTTTGGGGCAGATTTCGTGGATATTTATTAGTATACATGTTATACATGTTGTCTCACTCCATTTTAATATGAGCTCTTTGATATCAGGGACTATTAATAAGTATTCCCAGGGCTCAGCATAGAATCTGGCACATAGAAAGAATTTAATAAATGTTTGTTGTGGGGCAGCTAGGTGGCGCAGAAGATAGAGCATTGTCCCTGAAGTCAGGAGGACCTGAGTTCAAATCTGGTCTCAGACCAAACACTTGACACTTACTAGCTGTGTGACCCTGGGCAAGTCACTTCACCCCAATTACCAAAAAATGTAAAAAAAATTAAATAAGCATTTGTTGACTTATACTTTGTATTTTAGTTCCTTAAAGAAAACAAAGTGGTATAATTCATCGAACTGCTGGTTGCAAGGGAGCATGTGACAAGGACTTGGGGAAGGGACTACCTTTGATAAGTAAGAATTCTGAAATTTAATACAGAGGGCTTTGAAATGAAATATCTTTTACCAAAATTAAATTCAGATTCATATGAAACTGAGAATACAAGGGGTATTTGAATCTTATTTCTTCCAAATAATTGTGATCTGTTTAAAGATAGTAAAAGTAATTTCACAGAGAAATGTCTATTTGGAAAGTGTTTTCATTTTGCAATATGGACTACTGAAAATTCTAGATCAATGGATTTGAAAAGTAGCAAATATATTGATTAAAGAAATCTATCATCCCACCTTTTTGTCAGGCATTCCACAATATGAAAAATGATGCATTGGTCAAAAATTACCATTAGTTGATTTAGAGAGTAAAATAACCAGTGCTATAGGGGAGGGGTGAGTACGTATATTCATTCAGTTTTAACTCAGATTCTAATTTGTTCACAACCTATGTTGATTCAGTCCGGTTATTTGATTTCAGATCTTGGAATAACAGATTTGCTTAATTTGCAAAATTAATTAGCATGGCCAATCTCCAATCTTCTGATTTTGCTAAAGACAACAGTTCTATTACTGTTCTTATACCACACTATACACATGTAACATCTGGGTATTTATACAGCTGAGCTACCTAAAATCCTTACTTTACTAAAAATAGCTACAAATATTTAACTCGTTGTTAAACAATAATATTTTATGGTACATAAAACTCAAAAATGATTTATACCTTCCATGCAAGTTGTTCGGTATTATAAAACCCTTCTAAATCTAATAATTGTCTGACCAATTCCAGGGGTGGTTGTGCCCCATACTCCTCTGGCACTGGTGAATTCAGATCATCAATAAATATTATCACCTTTGGGGAAAAAAGTAAACAGATTTAATAGTCATTGTATGTTTACCTTCCTTTAAATTATTAAGTAATTATGACGGCTAAACATACCATAATTACAAATAACATTTTATGTTAGTTCATTAAAAATAAAACTAATTAGCTTAAATCTTCTGTACTTTCCTATAGAGAAAGAAGATGGCAGCTAGGTCCAGTAGTTCTGAGAGAAATTATTATTTTTCTATTATATTAATAACCAATTTTAAAATTAGGATTAAGGTTTTTTTTTTTTCTCTCTATTTCTTCATTCAGGGACCAGCCCCTGTAGGCCAGCCAGTCAGCCTCTGAAGGACCTTGCTGACGGATGAGATTGCTTGCAGCCTCGAGGCCACCTGTGGCCTTCTAGGTCTTTGAGTGTGGCCCTTTGACTGAGTCAAACTTGGACTCAGTCAAAGGGCCGCACTTGAGAACCTAAAGGACCACATGTGACCTTGAGGCCGCAGGTTCTCCATCCCCGATCAGGAAACATGCTCCTTGATGTTAGCCAGGACTTCACCTGACTAGAAAACCAGACTTTTGTTTGGATTGTAAATAGAATCTAATCTAGGTGCATTCCAGCCCTAAAGCAGTAAGCCCATGTTCTTTTACCTCTCCATTGTAGTTTAGAGTGCCCCAGCTCATGAAGGAGAAAACCAACCTGAGTGGGCTGGGTAGAGATGGATTGCTTTATCCAAATTGCTGGAGGTGGCTGAGTCTCGTTATCAAGCCATATTCTTAACAGAAGCAACTAAAGACTTTTAAAGCCTACTTCCTCATTAATATGTCTTCCCCACTTCATTGACTGTTCACCTGTCAGGGTTGATTTTCACTTGTCAGGGGCATTCCCTTTTCTAAAAATATTTAAGGCATTTATCTTCTCCATTAGGTATCTTTGGTTCCAGAGAAACCACCACCTGTCAATTTATTGATTATAAGCTAGCCTAATTAATAAATTGATTATTAATTAACCCAGAAACTCTTTCTCTCGGTTTTTGATTTGTCTCAGTGCAGTGGTGTCAAACTCAAATAGAAACAGATTTCTGTGGGTTGAATATTGACTTAGAAAAATACAAATTAATATTACCTATGTTTTATTGCATTTTAATTTATTTTGTTAAACATTTCCCAATTAAATTTTAATGTGTATCTGGTTCACACTCAGTAGTGTGGGGGGCCCCATTGAGCTGTGAGGTGTGGTGGATGTCATGTTGGACTTGGCATCAGGAAGACCTGATTTCATACCCTTTCTTAGATGTGTGACCCTCGGCAAGCCACTTAGCCTCTCTGAACCTCAGTTTCTTCATTTGTAAAATGAAAATAATAATAGCACCTACTTCACAGGGTGATTGTGAGGATCAAATAGAATGACATAAGTGAAGAGTTTTGCAAAGCTTAAAGTACTATATGTTGGCTATTATTATTATTACTATTACTATTAAAATACAGCAGGTAAAAGTTGGAATTTTATAAATAATGAATGATAGAAAGCATTCTTTGAAAAAGAATCTCCGAATCTCCATTCTTTTTTTTTTTGTTTGCTTTTTGGTGAGGCAATTGGGGTTAAGTGACTTGCCCAGGGTCACACAGCTACTAAGTATCAAGTGTCTGAGCAAGATTTGAACTCAGGTCCTCCTGACTCCATGGCTGGAGCTCTATCTATTGCGCCACCTACCTGCCCCTATCTCTATTCATCTTCTATTTAAATAGTATGATTAATGGGTCCAAGGACAGATAGCTTGAGAAAGTCTGTATCATGGATATGGACCATCTAACTACAAAGCCATTAACTAGGAATTTTGACACCCAGTGGCAAGAAAATCAAATTGTGCCATAAAACATTTCTGTCGTTCTTCATGTGAAAAATAATACAAAAAGCTTAAAAAAAAACTGGACCTGTGATTTCAATGGCATAGGGAACTCCTCGGTGAGGACATTCCTCTACCAATTCAGATCCGTACTTGTTTTTCACCTTAAAGCAGAAAGTTGTCATGGTGTAGTGAAGAGAGAGCTGGAGTTACAAACAGAAAGACCTGCCTGTGATCATAGGTATGCATAGATTATGGGTTAAAAGTTCTGATACAACCAGTACACACTCTATGTACACTGACACATAATTGTGTATGTGTGACACACATGCAGAGCTCTGTGACCCTGAACAAATAACATAACTTCTCAGGACCCCAGGCAACCGTAAAATCAAGACAAAGTCAGTTGAGAAGGAAGGAGAATTGTTACACTATTAGCTCACAGAGCAGTGTTATTCTTACCTTAGCTCCCTATTTTAACTAATTATTTTTGCTAAGTCAGCGCTAAGCTCAGTTGCTTCTCTATTGAAAAAATCATGTCAAATTTTTGTGCTCAAAATTTTGTTGCCTTGAAACAAATCTCTATTGCTCTGTCCTAGTCATGGCTCTCTTTAGTTGTCTAACTGTAACAAAGCATTACTATTTATTCAACAAAAAGTTATTGAGTGCTTACTGTGTGTAAAGGACTACTGCTAGTCACTTGTGCCCCAGCTATGCAAGAGACATGAAGAACCTTCAATTCAGTTGCAAATGACAGTGGTATTGAATACTGAGACTCGATTTCATAAACTCTTCTCCAATTCTGTAAAAACTGGCTTTCCTTTCCATTCTGGCTCCAGAAATAGTAGTTGGTCTTAACTGTGTAATGACTTTGGTAGCCGCTGGCTTCAGACAGCACGCAGGGGCCTCACATCCCCCATGGGGAGATTAGTCACCTTACAGATAAAATGCCTCTGGTTCCAAGCATATTGAGTATTTTTGCAAGTGATTGGGGCCGACACACTTTGGGCTGCCCTGCCACATCAGCTGACATTTTTAGCACCATCTGCTAAGAAAGCGGGAGTTTGTCAATTTATAGCAAGCCTGTTTTTTGAGATTTAGATCAGGATCCAGGCACCACCAGTCTCTTTACTTCTTACTATTAGTCAGATTTACAAGAGGAATAAGGTGTTGAAAAAAAAAAGCATTAGCAGACACAATTCTGACACCTACCTTTAATTTTACAGCATTCCCTTCCATCATATACTATCACTCCAAATTCTTAGTCCACTCATTAGATATGGAGATTCTTAATAATAATAATAATATTAATATTAGCAGCTAGCATTCATATAGAAGTTTAAGATTTGCAAAGTGCCTTTTTAAGTATTATTTCATTTGAGGGGCAGCTAGATAATGCAGTGGATAGAGTGCTGGAAGATTCACTTTCCTGAGTTCAAATCCAGCCTTAGATTCTTATTTGCTACGTGACCCTGGGGAAACCACTGAATCCTGTTTGCCTCACTTTCCTCATCTGTCAAGTGAGCTAGAGAAGGATATGATAAACCTATCCCAGTATCTTTGCCAAGAAAACCCCAACTGGGGTCATGAAAGAGTAAGACAAGACTGAAAAACAACTGAACAACAACAAAACTCTCATTTGATCCTCCTAACAATCCTGGGAGGGAGGTGCTATTATTATTATCCTTATTGTACAGATAAGGAATCTGTGGCAGATAGAGGTTAAGTGACTTAACCAGGATCACACAGCTAGCAAATGTCTGAGGCCAGATTTGAACTCAGATCTTCCTGACTCGTCTTCCTGACTCCAGGCCTAGTGTTCTGTGCACTGTGCAACCTTTCATTACTCTTTTTACACTTTTTTTCACCTTTCACTTTTTATCAAATGAATTTTCTAATGTTCTGAGTTCTTCAGAATCATGTGAAATGCTTTTATTTTATCAATTTTTTTTATTTACTAACATTTTCATTCTTAGGAGCAACTAGGTGGCACAGTGGATAGAATACCAGACTTGGAGTAAGGAGGAGCTGACTTTAGATCTGAACCAGAGTTCAAATTTGGCCTCAAACACTTACAAGCTATGTGCCCCTGGCCACATAATCACTCTTCCTCTGTTTGCCTAGTTTCTTCATCTACAAAATGGTGATAATAATAGCATCTACCTCTCAGGGTTGTTGTGAGGATCAAATGAAATAATTGCAAAGTGTTTAGCACAGTGCTTGATACACAGTAAGTGCTCTATAAACGTTAACTTGTTATTATTATTAAAAAAAGATCCCAGTAGTTCTGGTCCTAAAATAGTATTGATCTGATAATCAAATGGAGGATGGGGGAGGGAGAATTCTTACCCGGCTGTGTTTTGGAGCTCCATGAATGTCTTTACTTTTTCGTATTAATTTCTTAAGAATCAACTCCTGAGTTTTGCCAGCAGTTGTATTGGCGCTAAATTTTATTGTGGACACAATAATGGTTTTTGCCAGTGTGGTTTGAATTTCTTCACTTTCTTGCTTTTCAGACCAATGATAGTTTTGTCCAAAGGAAGCTAGACACAAACAAAAATTGAAATTCTGAGGAAATATCTTTGCTCTTCAGACAAAAGCAGATTAAGTGTCTACTAAACCAAAGACTGTGTTAGATAAATAATGCACAGTCATGGCAGTCGCTGAGCTTATTATAATAGCTGGGGAAATAAGATGTAGACAAAAAAATTCTGATAGAAAATAGGTACATGATAAGAGAGGCCCAAACAAATTCTTTCATGGGGTTTAAGGAAGGGAAAAACTATGGAGGAGATGAAATTGAACTTGGTCTTGAAGATTGTAAGATAAGATTTCAATAGGTAGAGATGGGAGTGGGTGGAAAGACAGAGCCAGCATCTGGAATGAACAAAGGCATATAATGGGGAATTGGAAAATTTGTCTGGAGGACAAAGTGGGAGAAGTAGAAAGATATAACATTGGAAAAATGGTGGTTCCTGTGTGTTAGAGAAGTTTGTACTTGATTCTGTTGGCAATAGAGAGCCACCAAAAGGTTTTGAGGAGAGGAGTGACATGATCTGGCAGTGAAGTGAAGGATGGAATGACCAGAGGCAGGGAAATCCACTAGGAGACAGTTGCAATAGTTCAAGATGAGAATGAGGACTTAGACAAGCATGGTGGCAATGGAAAGGATGGAACATATTGAAGAAAAATTGTGTGAAAGCAGAAGTGGTAGGATCTGACATCTTCTGGAAATATAGAAGGTGAAAGAGAGAAGAGAGTCAAAAATGACTGATGGAACTCAACAATGGGTGTCTAGATTAGGGAAAAGGATCCAATCTATGCTTTTCTTGTTGTTCAGTCATTTTTCAGGCCCCAGCCTTCCCTAGTGTGGCTTGAAGCAGATTAAAAATGCAATTGGTAAATGTTTAACAAACTAAATAAAAATACAATAAAACACAAGGAATGTTAATATGTGTTTTCCTAAGTCAATATGTAGCCTTCAGGAATCTTTATGTATGGTTTAGTGGTTGCCATGTCCACATGAGCTTGACACGACTGGTCTAGACCATGGAAGAGGAGTCAGAATTGGAGGTACACTAATTACTAATACTAATATTAATTAATTACTACTCTTTGTGACTCCATTTGGGGTTTTCTTGGCAAAGATACTGGAGTGATTTGCCATTTCCTTCTCTAGCTCATTTAACAGATGAAGAAACTGAGGTAAACAGGGTTAAGTGACTGGGCCAGGGTCACATAGCTAGTAAGTGTCTGAGGCCAGATTTGAACTCAGGAAGATGAGTTTTTCTGACTCCAGGCCCAGCACTCTATCCACTGTACCACCTAGCTGTCAAGTGATTTTCTTAGTATAGGAAATCCTTCTATCAATTCAAGTCTACACCTTCTCTGAAATTTAGCATGAAGATTGACTAGTACAAGGTAACATAAACATATGTGTCAGAGGTGGGATTTGAACCCATATCTTCCTAGCTCAAAGGTCAATTTTCTATTTTGCCATGCTGACTCTTAGATGGAGTGATTAAATGAATAATTTTAAGATTGGCAGAAATAAAGAACTCAATTGGAAGAGTAGGGTTTTTGTTATTGTTGCTACTTTTTGAAAGATGATGCATGTTTCTGGACATTGAATTGGAGATGCTAGTGAGACATTCAGATAGAAATATACAGTAGGCATTGGAAACTATGGTCTAGACCAGAGGTACCAAACATGCTAGATAAAGCTCATTCTTATCCATGTAGTCCCCAGGGGTCAGGAACCTGCAGCCTCGAGGCCCTCTAGGTCCTCAAGTGTGGCCCTTTGACTGAATTCAAACTTCACAGAATTGTGAAGTATGAGGGTATCCTTTAAAGCATTATACTAATGTATCCAAATTTGCCTCTATGTATATATGTAAGAGACACAATGTATGTTCTATATACTTTGAAATATATTGAAGAAATTCAATGTATACATGATAACATACATACTTATCTATCTATAACTCTATATCCATCTAGCTATCTAATCTATATATAATGATAGCTTGGTGGCAAAGTGGATAGACTGCCAGGCTTGGAGTCAGGAACACCTGAGTTTGAATCCAGCCTCAGACACTTACTAGCTATGTGTCCCTAGGCAGGTCAATTAACCTTAGTTTGATTCAATTTCTTTATCTATAAAATGAAGATATTAATAGCATCTACCTCCCAGGGTTATTACAAGGATAAAATAGTATTTGTAAAGTGCTTATTAGCACAGTGCCTGGCACATAGTAAACACTATATAAATGTTTGCTCTTATCATCATCATTATTATAGTGTGTGTAGATATATATGTATAAGATAAATTTACACACACACACACACACACACACACACATATACATATACATATCCACACACCAAATCTATGTATTTAATTCTAAGCTCTCCCTAAGGCCCAGTTTAACATCTTCAGCTGCCTATTAGGTGCCTTACTAGTGCCTCAAACTTAACAGGTTAAGAGCCAAATTCATAGTAGGCTTACCGAAACATTAATCTAGACCTGGAGGGGACCTCAACAGCCAATCCCATCATTTAATAGATAAGTAAACTAAGGCCTGTGGAAGCCAAATGATTTTTACAAGGTCACACAAGTACTAAGCATCAGAGGTGGTAATTGACCCCAAGCCTTTTGACTACAGAGTGTTCTCTCCACTCTACCTAGCCATCAAACTTTTCCCTCCTCCCAACTTTGCCATTTCTTTTGAGGGCACCACCATATTCTTAATCACCTAGGCTCAAAATTTTGGAGTAATCTTTGATACTTCTCTCTCCCTCCAGTTATTATTGTCTCCAGAAAGAAGACAAAATTAGCCAGTTTGTAGAGTTTGAGAGGGGGAGTAAGGTATAATAAGGCTGGAAAGATAGGCTGGGGTCAGGTTGTGAAGAACTTTAAAAATCTAAAAAGAGACACTGGAAGGGGAGTGACAAGGTCAGATCTCAAGAAAGAATACTTTGGTAACTATGAGGAGGATGCTAGGAAAAGATCTGAGGTAGGGAGATCTACTAGGAAACTTTTCAATAGTCTAAGCAAGAAGTGATGAGTCCAAGCTAAGGTGATGGCTGGGTAAGTAGAGAGAAGGCATCAGATATGAGATATGTTGTGGATACACAAATGGCAAGATTTAGCAATAGTATATAGGGGGAGAAGAATGAGGAGCTGAGAATAACGTTGAGGTTATAAACCTAGGAAACTTAAAAAAATGTGGTTCATGTGACAGAAGTAGTGAAGTCTGGAAGAGGGGTAGGTTTGGGGGAAAGTATAATGAGTTCTATTTTGGGCATTTTGAATTTGACATGCATATGGGACATTCATTTTGAAGTGTCCAATAAGCAGTGAAGATTCGGGACTGAAGCTCTGGGCAGACTAGGGCTAGATACATAGAATTAAGTCATTAGCATAAAAATAACAATTAAACCCAGAAGAGTTGATGGGGTTCCCAAGAGAAAGGATGTAGAGGGAGAAGACAAGAGTACCAGAGTCTTAGAGAACACTTAGAGTGATGATCTAGCAAAGGGAACTGAGAGGGAATAGTCAGACAGGTAGAAGAACAGGGAGAGAATAGTATTCTAAAAGTCCAAATAAGAGAACAGTGTCCAGTATGAAAGGGTGATAAATAGTGACAAATGCAATGGAGAGGTCAAGGAGTAGGAAGACTGAAAAAAAGACTATTAGCTTTGGCAATTAGGAGATCATTGGAAATGTTGGAGAGAAGTCTTACTTAGTGATGAGGTCAGAAGCCAGATGGCAAAGAGTTGAGGAGAGAAAAGTGGAGGCAGTGAGTATAGAAAACTTTTTCTAGGCATTTGGCTAACAAAAGGAGGCACGCAGAATGATATTTTGTAGAAATATTAAATTCTAGTGAAGGTTTTTTTAGGGATGGGGGTAATATGGGTATGTTTAGAGGCAGAAGGAAAGGAACCAATAGAGGAAGAGAGAGAGGATGACACGTTTCAATCTGTTAGAGAAGAAAGATTACACATGTAGAGGAATTGGCCCTGGCATGAAGAAGGGACACCTCGTCGACAGAACCTAGGAAAATTGAGGAGGGCATAGAGGATGTTAAAGGATTTGAGATGAAGATAAGGTTAGAGAGGGAGCTCATAGGGAATTGCCCCAATTTTCTCAGTAAAGTAAAGGGCAAGAGTCCTCAGCTGAGGAAGCAGAGGATTAGAGAGATGCAGGACACTTGGGGAGAGTGCTATATATTAGTACTTTGCTCAGCATTAGAAATACAAATAAAAGCAAACAAACAGTCCCTGCTCTCAAGGAGCTCATAGACTAATGGTGGAGTCAACATATAAACAACTATGTACTAACAAGATACATACAGGATAAATTGGAGATAATTTCAGAGCAAAGTCACCAAGGTTAAGAAGTATTTGGTAAGGTTTCTTGTAGATGATAGAATTTTAGCTGGAATTTGAAGGAAGATAGGGAAGCCAGGTGGTAGAGATGAGAAAAAAAAAAAGCCTTGTAACAAATACGAAGTGAAGTGAAACAAAGCCACACGGTAGCCATGTACAAAAATGTATGTATTTATGCAGTTCAAGACCACCAACTGTCAGGATGCTGATGGCATTTTTCATCATAGGTCCTCTGGAGACATGTTTGGTCACTGCATTGATGAGAGTTCCTAAGTTTTTCAAAGCTGTTTTTTCCTTACATTGCTGTCCTTGAATTAGTCATTCTCCTGATTCTGCCCACTTCCCTCTGTACCAGTTCATTCAACCTAGGATTCTTTGCAATCATCTCTTTCATCATTTCTTACATTGCAAACAAATAAGGGGAATGAGCTCAAAGTGTTGTTAAAATGTTGGCAGAACTATGAACTGGTCCAGCTATTCTCCAAAGCAAATTGGAACTATGCTCAAAAGCTATTAAACTGCACAAACTCTTTGTTCCATTGATAATCTTGCTGCTAAAGAGATAAAAGAAAAAGGGCTTTTTTTTTTTAATAGCAGCTCTTTGGTGGTGGCAAAGAATTGGAAATTTAGGACATGTCCATCAGTCGGGCGATGGCTGAACAAGTTATGATATATGAATGTGATGGAATAGTATTGTGCTGTAAGAAATTATGACAATTTTTGAAAAACTTTAGAAGACTTGTATGAACTGATACAGGGAAGTTAGGTGGCGCATTGGATAGAGTGCTAGGCTTGAAGTCAGGAAGACTCATCTTTCTGAGTTCAGATCTGACTTAAAACACTTACTACCTGTGTGAACCTGGGCAAGTCACTTAATCCTGCTTGCCTCAGTTTCCTTATCTGTAAAATGAACTGGAGAAGGAAATGGCAAACCACTCCAGTGATCTTTGCCAAGAAAACCCCAAATGGGGTCACAAAGAGTTGGACATGACTGAACAATGAAGAAGTGATAAAAAGTGAGCAGAATCAAAAGAACAATTTGCATAATAACAACAGTATTGTAAAGACAAACAACTAAAAAGACTTAGGAATTGTGATCAATACAATGAGCAGATACAATTCCAGAGGACTCAGGGTGAAATAAGCTCTCCACATATATATGTATGTGTGTATGTATATATACCCCCACATACATGTGTATGTATATATATGCATATATATCCCAATCTGTGTGTGTGTGTGTGTACACACACACACATATACATATACATATACATATATATATATATATACATATATATATATATATATATTTTGGAGGAGGTTATGGTCAATGGAGGAATTTATTTTGTTTGATTACACATGTTTGTAACAAGGTTTTTGGGTTTCTTGTTTTCCCACTGGTGAGGAGAGAATATGTACCAGAAAATAAAATAAAACTGAACTAAAAATAAACCTCTGTAAAATTTTCATTAGCACTAAGGAATATGTTCCTAATTGTAGTAGATTACCAAACAAGTTCATTGGATCTTTAAGCTTAGAAGTCATTAAGAAAAAATCCCCAGTTGCCTCCAGACCTATGTCTGGTACCCTTAAAGAGTTTCTCATGAATAAGGATAATTTCCCATTGCCCAAATCAATCACCATGGCTTTGGAGATATGACCAAAATGAGTTTTGTTAATCTGAGTATTTTTTACCTTTTTTTTTGAGGCATTAATATAATCACTTATGACCATGAAAATTTTAATATCTTCCAAAAACTTCAATGATACAATGTTGATTATTCATAATTTAAAATCCTAACTATATTTGTTGTTGTATTCCTTTACAGGTAAATGATTTGAACCTTAGTAGGATGGGAAGTGATTGCTACTGTTTATTTCATTGTGTTTACCTCAGTTTCCACACATACCTAGATCTCTAGATGTTGTCTGAAAGTTGTCTGTAATTAACAACTTGAGATTCTCTTGCAGGCTGTTAAAAACCAATAAAAGAAAGTCAGGATTAGCTTATTTGAACGGCTTTTTTTGGGGGGGGTGCAGAGGAGTTTTAAATCTATCATTTCATAAATGTGGGACACGCCTAGCATTGGAAAGTTCCACCACAGACACAGATCAAAAATGGGTAAATCTGAAATCATTAGTTCTTGTCAGTTGTTTAGTGGCATTGAAACAGGGGTGTTGTAAGGCTCAAATAAGACAATGGGTGCAAAGCACCTTTCTAACCTTAAGGCACCAGATAAATGCCAGTAGTTATTACTATTATTATCCTACAGTCACCAGGCCAGTGTTCTGCTGATGATTTCCTTCCTTGATCATTCCATTGCCCTCCTGGGGAGCTCAAGCAGTGTTTATAGAACAATACAGAGGTATGCTGGGAAATGTTTAACAACCAGGTGCTCTCCCCCAAAAAATGTATACAAGTCCATTTTAAAGTTTAATCTACTTTATCAACTCTTTTTTAAGTCTAAAAAAATCATCAAAACATTAAATCAAGCCCTGATTTGTAGTGATTGCTTCCTTTTGAAATGCAGATGCTCATACTGAAAATTTAAGAGTGACTCTCACTAACCATTTAGAACAGGTTCTGCCACACCCCTGGAGGAGGTAAGTGCCTTGCCCATAGTCAGAGAGCCACTGTTTGTTAGACAAAGAACTTGAACCCAGATCATCTTGACTCCCAAGATAGCAAATGTCATATTACTTTTCTATTTTAAAAATTATTACTTATAACAAAAAGTGCTAAAAGATATAACCAAATAATGAAAACAGGGGACTATGATTTTGGAGACTATTATTTAAAATGGTAAATATTTTGCTTTATGATGATATTGTTAAAATAAGTGTTGTTATCAATGAAAGCTTCACTAATTAGTGATTTGTAATAATTTGGAAGTGATATATATGTGTGATTCTTTTTTGTATAAAATTAAAAAAAACCCTTTTTCTCTTGATTTTTGGTATCATCTTTGAGAATAAAAGGAATCTAATCTAAGTCAGGAAAATTTCCAAATTGAAAGTTTCTTCAATATGACTTTGATTTCTTCATCTAACAATTAGTGCATACGGTTTCTTGCATTTCCACAAATTCTTTTCCATTTTGAAAAGATAATCAATAAAAAAAGTTTCCTTCTCATAAAATTGTTTATGTTATACTTTCTTCCTGCTTTAAAACCATAAAAATTCAAATATGGCCAACACCATTATACACAGATGCTTAGGTAATCTATGGTCTTACTTGGATGCTGTGATTATCTTTCATAATAGCAGTATAAATAGTAGCCCAACTCATTATCATTTTATTTTCTTTGTGAAGAAGGATTTGGTCTCTGCCAAACTCTTCTACTAGAAAAATTAAAAATGATGACAAATTGGTTCTCTATTTTTTCTTTCTAAGTAAGGCAGAAGGAGTCCTAGCTCAGAAAGTAGAATGTGAATCCTGATTGTATTCTCTGCTGGAGGTGGGGCATGGCAGCCATTCATTTCAGATTTCTGCCACCATTTCAAAGCAGAGGCTCCTTCCTTCTTCTATTCTAAGACAACTTAAGTCATATCTCTTTTCTGCTCAGTGTCCAATTTTTCCTCTCCCATCTGGCAGAAGGGTGCTTTGGACATTCTTGCATTTCCTTATAAAAGCCCATTCATTCCCAGTGCATCTAAATGGAGACTAATTTCACAACATCTTTGCTAACCAGATAAGAAGGATATGCAGTATTTATCTTACAGGTAGATATTTGAAGCAAAGAGACAATGCAACAGTTCTATGAATAGACCTTAGAGGTGCAGAACTAGAAAGTCAGTGTTTCTCACTATTATTCATTATATCATATGTTGCATACTATGAGTGCTTATGTAAGCATGTGCAAATAGCATATGCATAATAAGACTAGATATTGTTTTAAACCTAATTGTATGCACTGGCTCTTCCACATACTAGCTATGTGACCTTGGTCAAGTCATTTAAACTCACTGAATGTCAGCTTCTCTTCCAGGTCTAAAATTCTATGATTCCTATAGTCATCTGAGTAAATATAAATGAAACTTAGAGATGTACCTTGTTTTATGTAACATATACATCTCTCAAAAGATGAGTATAAAAATTATCATAAATGGAATCATTTTAAATATATTAGAGAAGCTTATAATTTAAAAAGGAGTCCAACTATGAATGTTTTGGGAAAAAAAACCCTTTAACTTTTTGGTTAACCTGGATTTTCACACACATATATTTGAATTTTTTTTTGCAAGATAACCAAGGTTAGAGTTTAACATATACAACCTTGATTTTTTCATTCTTTTATACAAAAAAACATCTCCTAAAATAGATCCAAGTTTTATCTGTAATCCCCCTGGGCCCTGAAGTCTCTTAAGCATTTGGTTAATGACAGCAGTCTTCCCAACACCAGTCTCTCCTAAAGAAAAAAAAAGAAGATGATAAGTTAGATTTTTTAACCTAAGAACATGACCAAATAGATGTTTAGAAACTTTCACATTATTTTTTAGTTAATTTAATAATAAATACTCAACACCCAAAATGATATGATTTTTGTGCCCAAGGCAAGAATCTAAAATTGGTTACCCTTCTCTTAGGGGTTAGCATGGAAGCCTAGGGAGAGTCGAGGCATCTTTTAGACATTTTTTGTACCTCTTAACTCCATGTGAAGGACTTTTCTTGCTTTTGTTATAGCACTATTCATATCTATTCTTTTCTGTTTTCTGTGGTAGGATGATTAAGAAGGTTAAGAACAGGAGCTTAACATGAAATTGCAAAACTATTTGAATGACTTATGAGAGACTAGATGAGGAATTATAACTTGTTTTCATTTCAGGCTAATTTGCCAAAATTTCCCAGGTTCCTTGATTTTAGTGGATTCAAAACCAATTTTTTGCCCTGAATATAATAATTTAAGTGTAAAAATATGATAACACCTTTTGTGTATAGTACACTTTTAACTTTTTTAGAGTGTTTTCAGAAATGATCTCATTCACTATAAACATCAGCACTATAAGGAAAGAAGAGCAGGGTTATTTGTTACCATGCTAATATAACATAAATATAAATGAAGAACAATGGTGTGAGCAAAGCATGGCTGGCTCAAAGAACACTAGTATAATAATACCAATTATAAGAGATAAGTGGAGTTAAATTAATTGATTACTCCTCCCCTCCTCTCCACCTCCCCAACTTGAGGTAATGAAAAGATGCTGATACTCTTGTTAGGTAAGTCAGAGGTGTGAACCAGGTATTGATAAGGCCCAGATAACTCAGATACCAATCAATCATAGGCTTCTGAAACTAAGTGTGAAAAATCCCTTGATCAGTCTACAAGTCCTTGAAAGCCCTTTGATGAAATAGTACAGTGAGTTTACTGGTATTGGACAAGAAAATTTGTTCATGTTCTCCAAAACAACAATCCAGTTTGGAACCTAGAGTTTTTTGTGTCTGGTAGATTAGAAATGGAAAGTTCTATCATAGCTCCTGAGAAGCAATCCCTTGACAGAAGAGGGGTCTGGGTCTTTGTTTTAATCTCCTTCCCACTGTCTGGACCAGAGGAAAACCTTGTGAGCTTACAAGAATCCAGAAGATTCTAGGACATCCTTAATGTCCTAGTAGAAACCCCAGAAGAGCAGGAATAGGCAGCAGAAATGTCTGCACTGGGAGCCAAGAACAAGCAACATACATTGAGGAAAGGCGGCTTCAAGCTTCTGCAAAGAGTCCAGCAGAAAAGCTATACTCTGCTAAATGGGAACTTTATGAGTACCTTGTGAAGGGGAGGAAAGGACTTTCAGAAACCAGGGACTGTGAGCCATCATCTTGGTCACATGTGCTATATGCTTGAACTCACTTTTCCATTGTATTCCACATGTCCTTGTGGGGCAGTATCACAGATGTTTGGGGGTGATGTTTTATACCAACTCTTCTTACCATACCATCTTAGTAAATATTTCTTTCTAAAAGCTAATTAAGTCTAACTGACTAATTGTTACTAATTGTTACCCCCACCATGGGGGTGGGGGAACCACACCAAAGGGGACTAGAAAGCTATAGCACTAGGAAATGACCTTCCAGTCTCCAAGGGCTACTCTTAGAAATCTGAGAGGATGCATGGAAGCCTTGTTATGGGGACATAATCTGCCAGTGCAAAAGTAGATTAGGAAACAAAAATAAGAACTAAACCCCTATTCTTTCTGTTTTCAGTTAGCATACTCCCATTATTTCCAAAGTCTCCATCCTTTCTTTTGATCTTCCTTCTCTCAAATAGCATTTAAAAACCTTCTTTACTGTCATTCGCTTCCCTTGCCAGCTTCAGCTCATTTTGAGCTTTAGCATTTCTAAGGCTGTTTTTACAGGACCGTGCTACATCCATATTCATCTGTCTTCAGAATCTGCTTTAGTTGTTGAATTCCTTGCAGATTCATATTAGCCTCTTCAAACCAATCCCATTTTTCTTCCTCTCTGTGTCTACAGAATTTCTTTCTTATGCATTTCCTGTCCTGCCTAAGCTAAATTCCTTAGGTGCATTTTGTTCCATGGGATCCTACTTATCTTTCCTCTGAACCCTTGGAAATCTACTTTATCAAAACCTAGGTTCCACACCAGCTTATGCCAAGATTATTTTATTCTCTCACAAAGTCTTAGATGAAATGGTCACTTCACCTCAAAGTTTCTATCATTTCCACCTCAGCAATTAGTTCTTCCCTGCTAGTAAGAATAAAATTCAGAAAAGAATTTCTCTTTGCTAGTTCTTCACACTTTTAAAAGATTAATGGGCATTTATATAAGTTATTAGTTGCTCTGCTTTTGGAATAAATAGCTTCCAGCAGGTTTCCAATAACTGAAATTCCCTTTTACTATTATACCATACCTCTATGCCAGATCTGTGATCAGTTTCTCAAATTCTTCATCTATTTGTTTTTTACAAGAGTTTCTCAAGCTCTTCTTTTTGTCCAATGATGAAATCACTTCTATTTCCCCTGCCTCTGACCTCTGGATCTTGGATTTCCTCACATTTACTCACCCTCTTATTATTAATAATAGAAAGGATCATTAAAGAGAGTTGCCCCTATGGTACTTGGAATACATAAGTAATTAGAGAGAAGTAAAAGGATAGTTTTGCTATGGTGAAAATTCAGTTGGATGAAATAATACAAATTTATAGAGTACCCCATCAGCTTGGTTGCATTTTCTCTAGCTCCATTCAGGGGCATATAGAGTGGGAGTGAAAGAGGCAGATGGTAGAAGTAATCCAGGGCTGAATGAGCACCAACAGTATAGAGGTGAACAATAGCTTTGAGGCTGAGAAGAGAGGAAAGTGAGACAAGAGCAGGGTGATGGCCTGGAAGACTCCAGAGGATGGAGGGATTGGGGGTCCTGGTAAAGACAAAAAGTAGATTTAGGAGGATAGGGAATAAGGAGAATAGGTTATGATCTAACAAAAGGATTTTGGAATTTTTGATTATTCAAGTGGAACATTCTGATAATTCAAGTGCATATTTGTCATATGCCTATATCAGTCATTTATAGTCATTCTCTGACAAACATAAATGAAATATTAATGGGTCCTGAAAAATCACATGCAAACTAAGATATTATCAGTTTTTAAAATAGCAATTTTGAGGAAATTAAATCACCATAGCTATAATTAAACTCTAGAGGAAAATGAATTATTATGCCCATCTCAATTAATATAGAATTTTAACTGTCTCCCCAACTGAACATAGATATGAATCTTTCTGAAGCTGTATTTATAAAATATGTCATTAAATCACAATAATATTTTAAATCATTCATACAAAACTACTCATTAGCATTGGTTGTAGTTTCGTTTTACTCCAATTTATTTTTATTATTACCTGCAATTAGTATAGGATATTTGTTCTTTATAAAAAGACTCATCAAAAAGGAGAAAGATATTGTATCTCTAGTAGCAAAATGATGATTAAACTCTATATTTTCATTATATTTGATTATATTATCCAGGGATGTTCGAGAACCAGAGCAGTATAAATTTCCTAAATTTAAAAAGAAAAAAAATGAAAAGTGGTTTTTGGATATCTTTTAAAATTGTCTCTTTGAAAAAAATATATAATCCTAATTTTTAAATGTCCAAGTAATTTCTGAAAGATTAGAAAATAGTCAATACATGTGAGAGACACAAAACTAGAATGAGTTACTGGAAATATCTCCTAGAATCTCAGAACCTGTACCATTTTGATGAGTTTCTCTCTCATGGTGCCTCATCCATCCATTCCTCTGTCTCAAGAATATACTGGGGTATTCTTGTACCACATTCTCAGGCAACAGTGTGTGGAAAGCAAATTGGAAAATTTCAGCTAGAAATACTACCCAACTGAGCAGTAACTTCAGTCTTGACTTGTGTGGTTCCCTATGCCCTAGCTTCCAGGGTCAAGTTTGAGTCTATGAAATACTGACATACCGCACCTGACATTGTTAAGTGGTTTTGGGAAAACAGTACTTTAGGTGAAACAGCCTTGCAAGAGGCAGTTGATTCCATGACTATATAGGGAAGTGAGGCAATTTTTGTTGAGTACCCAAAGAACCAGGCATGCCTGCCCCCATTTCATAATACCATAAATTAATTATCATTTTACTAGAAAACCCTTGATGTTTTATAACTTGCTTTACTCTGAAAGCTTCCAGGGATAACTCGGGTTGTATTAGAATACCACTTTTTAAACATATCCAAGTTAAAAACAAAACAAAACAAAAACAAAACCTCAACAATAATTTTTGTATATAGAGATATCAAGCAATTTCTCTATAGATGTATTTCAAAAAATTTAGAGTTATTAATTTAGCATTCATAGACAATAATTAAAACAAAAGCCAGGTGAGGCAATGGCTAGAGCATTGGATCTAGAATCAGGAAGAATTGAGTTCAAGTTAAGCCTAAAACATTTGACTAGAGTATGTGACCTTGGGCGAGTCACTTAACCTCTGTCTACCTCAGTTATCTGATCTGTAAAATGGGGATAGTAATAGCACCTAGGATTGTTATGAGGACAAAAGTACAATATTTGTAAAGTGCTTTGCAAACCTTAAAGCACTATATAAATGCTAAATAGTTATACAGATTATCATAATTAATCTTACTTTCAGTTAAACAATCTGAAGTAGGAATTAAGTTTGACCAAGGTATGAAATCACAATTCTGTAAGTCCACAAAATAACCAAAGATAGAACGATCTCCTCCTGGCAAGCGGATGCCTAAAAATATTTGAAAGAGACAAAAACACATAAGAAAGAGTATCATGGCATTATAGATCTAGGGTCGGCAGGGCCCCTGGAGGCCATCTAGCCCAACCCACTCATTTTACAATTGAGGAAACTGAGTCCCAGAAAGATTAAGTTACTTGCCTAAGGTCACATGATAGTAATCATCAGAAATAATAATAATAATGATAATAATAGCTAACATATGGTACTTACACATAGTAGGCTTACTATGCATAGGCACTGTGCTAAACACTCTACAAATATCTCATTTGATCATTACAATACCCCTGGGAGATAGGTGCTCTTATTATCTTCATTTTACAGATGAGGAAACTGAGGCAAAGGGAGGTTAAGTGATTTGCCCAGGGTTGTGCAGCTAGTAAGGGTCTGAGGTGGGATTTGAATTCAGGTCTTCCTGACTATAGGCCCATAGCTCTATCCACTGAGTCACCTGGCTACCCCAAGTAGCATTTGAACTCAGCATCCTTTCAGTCCAGAGCACACACTTTGTCCCATTGTGCTCTACTTACTCCCAAGGTTCATTTATGGCATGTATTTCAGAAACTATAGGATATATACTTGAAAATGATTTTCTGATACCCATCTTGTTACTTTGTAACATAAATGATGTTAATCAAATGAGATAATATATGTAAAGAACTTTGTATACCTCAAAATACTATATAAATTATAATGACTATGCATTCTTATTCATACTTATTAAATTAATCATTACAATAATATGAAACTAATAAGTATTCACTAAAAGTATCTTTTTAGATACAAAATAAGTAATGATAAAACAAAAAATTTTGAATTTAGTTTGTATCTGTAATTACTAGTTACTAAGTTGGTATGTATTTTAGAAAAAAAGTTTGCTCATTTTTACAAGATTTTCGACGTAATTCAGCCTGCAATACTAACTTATCAATAATCTATTGTTTTAAAGTATGTTTAAATTTAATGCCTTTACATTAATCAGTAAGTTCCTTTTTTGTCTGTACATTCAACAGTAATTACTCTATATCTGGTAAATATTTCCTTTTATGAGGCTTTGTGGTTCCTGAATTTTGAGGAAAGCAACTTTTCCACCATCCTGCCAGTCATATTGAAAATGAGAATTTTTTTATAGCAGACCACATATTTATAGTCAGAAAACTGACTAGAAGATACAGAGAATACAAGATCCCACTGCATTTATTTGTTGATTGTAAAATAGTATTTGATTTTTTTTAGAGGAAAAACAAAGGTCCAAATGCTTTCCTCCAACAAGGTATCTAATATGCATATTAAAATCATATGAAGTTCCTTGATAATTCAAATATAGAACTAACTACTCAATAAGTCTAATAATTAATATTCAATGAAATGGCTCTATATCTATGAAGACAACTCAAGAAGCAGCAGTAGCTATTCTTCTAGAGAAACCTAGAAATTTAAAAAAGAAATCAGAAAAAGAGATGGCAGTGAAACCCATAAGCTCAAAAGTTCATATAAAAATGCCCAAATTTTAGGCAATAAACAAAAAGAAATAGAGGTCCTAATGCAAGGAAGCACATTTGACCTTATGGCTGTCATTTAGACTTACTGGGATAAAACCCATGACTTGGCCTTAATTCTGGTTAAATATATTTTGCTAGAAAGAAACAGTGTAGGTAAAAGGAGTATGTGAATACCATTCTATATTAAGGTCTACTTATATACAGAAATCCAGGAACCAGAGGGAAGAAGAATGACAGACAGAAGAATGGGTGAAGGTAAAAAGAGGGAAAAAAAATAATTTTGTCATTGGAGATCATGTGGGCAGAAAGAGGAAATATATGAAGAAATTGGGAAATAGATCACAGGTCTAACAGAAGCATGCTATGGTAGTGATAGAGCACTTTGATTACTCAAACCCTTTCTGGAACTATTTCTCTGGAAAAATAAAACAGAAAAACTAATAAGTTCCTGATTTATATTAGTAATAGTTTTACCCTTTAAAAAGGAAGAGGAACAAAGGGAAATTCTGTTGTGGGTCTGATTCTCAATAACAGGGAGCAATGGAATAGGAAATGATAGGAATTAGGTGTGGAAGGAAGTGATCACTCCATCGTAGAGTTTGTGATAGAGAAGGAAAGGAAATCTGAACATAATCTTAAGTGCAGCCTAGATTTTGGCCAAGCAGATCTCAAAGCGTTCAGAGAAAAGATACGTAGGTTCCCATGGAGTAAAATGCAACAGAAGTCAACTCAGGAGATATGGAAGATGTTTAAAAATGAAACTTTGAAGGCACAAAGGGAAACAATTACAGAGAGGATTATGGTTTGAAGAATCCTATGTTGATACACAGAGAGCTCACCAGTCAACTTAGATTTTAAAAATAAATATACAGAAGATCAAAGCAAGGCTTAGCAACAGATGAATATGAGGGTGTCTAAACATAGTGTGAGGAATGCTAAAACTCAGAATGAACTGAGACTTATGAGGAAAACTAAGGGTACAAAATGTTTTTTTTTTTAATAGCAATGCTGGGAGAAAAAGGAGGATAGAGTAATAAGACCTTTGTTTGGGAATGAAGGGATGATATTGACAACAGAGAGAAGGCAGAGTTGCTCATTTGTTTTCCCTGAAAAATAGAACGAATTTTACTCTTGGTACTTTTACCAATTACACTTGGCCAAACTCTAACCATGGATTTTTCTACTCCCACCATTCATCTCCTTCATTCCTATACAGAGCTGGAGGAAGTCATGAAATCATTTAGAATGGGTTGCTACAAATTTGTTATCTGATCTCAACAGGGCTCTCAATGCAGCAAGACAACGCTTTAACTCCTATCTAATTGATTCTCTATCCTACTCATAGTGGCTGTTCCAAACCTCATCTTGCCTCACGTCTTCTACAAAGCTTCCTATTCTCTCAGAAAAAGACTTTGCCTCATATGTCTTTAAAAATATTGAGGTCATATTCCAAGGACTCCCTTCCCATATCATGTACATCTGACATAATTTCCAATTATTTCTTCATTCTAGTCTTTGATGAAGAGGTGGCCTTTCTCCTTGCCAAGGTCAACCCCTTGATTCCATCCTCACTTATCTTCTACAGATTACTCCCACTATCAATCCCACTCTTTAATCTTGAATGTTTATCTATTGACTACTTACCTGCTGATTAAAAACATGCCCAAGTCTCCATCATTTAAAAAAAACCTCTCATTTGATCTTACCATCCCTTCAAGCTATTGTCCTATATCTCTTCTCTTTTCCTCTACCAAATTTCTTGAAAAAAAAATATTTATACTTGGTGCCTCAACTTCCTCTCCTCTCATTCTATTCTAACTGATCTACAGTCTGGCTTCTGACTTCATTCAATAAAAACTGTACTCTTCAAAGTTATTAATGATTTCTTAATGCCAAATCTGATGGGTTTTTCTAAGTCCTTGACTCTTTGCATCATTTGACACTTTTCATCACTTTTTCCTACTGGATACTCTCTCTTCTCTGGGTTTTCATGACACCCCTCTTTCTCTCTCTCTCTCTCCCCCTCTCTTTCTCACTCTCTCACTCCTTGTCTTACCACTTCTCAAGTATCCTTTGCTAGTTCTTCATTCATGTCACTCCCTCTAACTGTAGTTAGTTAGGACAAAGTTGTCCTCTTCTCTCTCTATACTCTTGCTTGGTGATCTCATCAGCTCTTATGGGTTAAATTATTATCTCTGTTCAGATGATTCTCAGATCTATATTTCTAGCCCCTGTCTCCTGAAATCTCATCTCATCTCACTAATTGCCTTTTACACTGGATGTCCTGCAGGAACTTTAGACTTGACAAGTCTGAATCAGAACTAATTTTCTTCCTCTCCCCTAAGCCCTTCTCACTTTTAAAGTTCCTTAACACCATCCTTTCAGTTATCCAGGTTCACAATCCCGATGTCATCTTCCACTTCTTACTGCTATTTACCCTACGTATGCAATTGTTTGCCAATTTTTGTCATTTCTACTTTCACTAAATCTCATACACATTATCTTCTCTCCACTCAGATAGCTACTACTCTAATTCTGGCTATCACTTCTTTCCTAGACTATCGCAATAGGCTCCTAGTCTCTCTCCACACCAGTCTCTTCTCCACTTAGCTAACAGAATGATTTTCCTAAAGCACAGGTTTGACCATGTTAAGCCTTTTACTCAATAATCCCTAATAGCTGCTTATTACCTCCAATATCAAATATAAAGTCCTTTGGCATTTATAACTCTTTGTGAAATGTTATCTTTTTACTTTCCCAGTTTTCTTATAATCTATTATCCTCCATACATTCTACAATCCAGCCTTGGTTTGTATTGATTGGTTGAACTTCGTTGATGCTCCTTGAACAGGAGGGTCTATCTTCCATTGACCATTTATTGCTGTGGGAAAGCTCCCCTTCTCTTCAGCCTCTTAGAATTGCTGGTTTCCTTCAAGACTCCACTTAGATGTCACCTTCCATTGTCTCAGGCTTCTTATCTATTGGTCTTTCCTCTTTTCTATATGTATCTTTTACATGCCTATTACTTATGTGTTGTCTTCCCTGATAGGATGTAAGCTTGAAGAAGAGAAGATTAGGGGAGAAGAACATGATAATTAGCTCTAAGCTATGTTGGAAGGGACAAGGGCAAGTGGTCAAGATGCCGATTATTCTTAATGTCAGGAGAAAACTTCCTAACAATTAAAGCTGCCAGCAAATGCAGTGGGTTTGCTCAAGAAGCAGTGGCTTTGTCTTCTTTAGGGGTTTCAAAGCAGAAGTTCGTTGACCACTTGTCCTAGGTATGTTATCACAGGGAGTACTTTCATAGGTAACTTTCAACTCTTCAATTTTGTGATTCTGTGATGAAAAGGTACCCACCTATTCTTGCTCTAGCTCGATTATTTTTTGCTCAATTAGAAGACAAATTTCACATAAGAAAGGATCATTGCCCATAATTGGAACTATCACCTGGATTGGACCATCTGTGATAGTTTCCATGTGGCATGACCCATTTATTCCCATGGGTTCAATGATGATGTCTAGGTAGAAGATTCCTAGATCTGTCTATCTAGCCCTAACCTCTCTCCTAAGCTCCTGAGTTTAGCACCACCAACTATCCTTTGGACATCCTGAGTTGGATATCCCACGGGCATCTAAAACTCATCATATCTAAAACAGAACTCATCTTTTCCCCCAAACTCTCCCCTATTCCCAACTTTCTTATTTCTGTCAAGGACTACACTATTCTCCTAGTCACCAGGCTTGCAAACTTGGTGTCATCCATGAATTCTAACTCATGTTCACCTAACACAGCCAGTCTGTTGTCATCGTGTTGTTCTACCTTTGCAATATTTCCTGTCTAGGTCCCTTTCTCTCCATTTACACAGCTGCCATTCAGGTAAAGGCCTTCATCATCTCATGCTTAGACAACTGCAAATAACTTTCTGGTTGGTTTCCCTGCCTCAAGTCTCTCCTCAGTCTAATTTTTCCTCCATTAAACTGCCAAAGTGATTTTTCTAAAGCACAAGTCTGACCATGTCATCTCCTATTTTACTGAATGTCCAGTGGCTTCCAGTTACCTCCAGGATCAATTATCTACCAGTTTCTGGTAGTTAAAGCCTTTCACAACCTGGTTCCCTCCTACCTTTCAGTCTTCTTATACTCTACTACCCTCCACACACTCTTCAATCCAGTCATTACACTCCCCCATGTACTCTATGATCCAAGAGTGCTGGCAACCCTCCATCACCATGTCACTCTATATCTTGACTCTGTATCTTTGCATGGGCTGCCCCCAATGCCTGGAATGTGTTCCCTCCCCACTTTAGCCTCCTGGCTTCCCTGGTTTTCTTTGAGACTCTGACTCAAATCCCACCTGCAGTATATTTTTCTTGGTCCTCTTCTCCCCAGCTCCACTCCCAGTGCCTTTCCTCTGAAATTACCTTTCATGTATACTGTATACATCTTGGAAGCACATTACTATTTGCACAGAATATTCTTTTGGGAGAGAAAATATGCGTGTGGTTATACAATATGTATATATACATATATGTTTAGTATAGTAAATGTACCTCCTATATATACATGTGTACACACACACACACACACACACACACACACTGAATACAAAATAGATACAAGATAATCTTCTCAGGAGGGCCCTTGCAGCTAGATGGATGAGGAAAGGTTTCCTATGGAAAGTGAGCTTGAGGTGTATGTTGCGTAGATTAATGATTCTAAGAGGGAGAAGGGAGGAGGGAATGCATTCCAGACATAGTCAGTGCAAAGGCTGGAGATGAGAGGCAGAGCATCACATAGGAAGCAATGTCAGGTCAGCCCAGCTTAACTGGAGAGCAACCTGGCAGGTATAGTAGCTAGTGTGATAGACTTGGAATCAGGAGGATTTGAGTTCAAATTCTGCCTTAAACCAGCATGTGATCCTGGGCAAGTCATTTGCCATTAACCACTGTCTGCCCCAGTTTCCTTATTTGTAAAATGGGGATAAAAATAGTACCCATCTCTCAAGGCTGTTGTGAGGACAAAATGAAATAATATACATAGAGAACACTTTGCAAACCTTAAAGCACTATATAAATATTAGCTATGACAGTGTGTAAAGGGGAGTGATTTATAATAAGCCTGGAAAGGTAAGCTATGGCCAGGTTGTGAAGGATTTTTAATGCCAAACAAGATTTTGTATTTGATACTGGAGGAGATAAGGAGTTTGTTGGGTAGGAGAATGACATGGTAAGCTCTGATTTAGGAAAGGCACTCTGGAAACTCTTTGGAGGATGAATTGGAATGATGAGAAACTTGAAGGAGAAAGGCCAATAAGGAGGTTATTGAACTAGCCCAGGCAAGAGATTATGAAAGCTTGAAAAGGAGTAGCTGTGTGGGTGGCGAGAAGGGGAGGGATATGACAGATGTTGGTGGGGTAGAAATGATAAGATTTGACAACTGATTGGACACAGGGAATGAGGAAGAGCGAAGAGTCCAGAGTCACAATGAAGTCTTGAATTTGGGTGACTGGAAGGACAGATTCAACATAAACAGGGTAGCTTGGAAGATGGTTAGGTTTTGGGGGAAATTGAATGAGTTCTGTTTTGGATATGTTGAGTTTCAGATGCCTGCTGGTCATCCAGTTTGAAATGACCAATAATCAGTTGGTGATATAAGACTAAAGCTCAGAAGAGAGACTAAGGCTAGATATATGCAGTTTTGGGGATCATTTGCCAAAAGATGATTATAAAACTCATAAGAGAGACAAAGAGACTACAGAGAAAAAAAAAGAGAAAGGGTCTTAGGACAGAATGTTGAGGAACACCTACAGTTAGGGGGAACAATATGGATGATGAACTAGCAAAAGAGATTTAAAAGGAGTGGTCAGACAGGTAGGAAGAGAACAGAGAGGGAATAATGTCAAAAAAAAAAACTCAGGGAAGAAGTAATTTGTAACTTTGGAGAGAGTAGTTTCAGGTGAATGCTGAGGTCAGAAACTCATGGATCCACCTAAAACTCTACTATTACTGCGATTCCTGCCCTGCCCCCCTTTCTAATAGATGAAGATAGTATTAGTGATGAGGAGCTCGTGTGTAATACCTTGGTGTGGTCCAACTGGATTTGTGGCAAAGTACTCCTAAAGATATCTTCCAAAATATTACTCCCCCTTCTATATTACCTGCTTATAGCAGTCAGACAAACTGCCGAAGAGAAAACTGATTTGAACCTGACACAATATAGTAGGTTGTTGTCAGAATTTTAAAAAATAATAGATTCAGATAATGATCAGGAGATTAAATCCAAGTGAGTTTGGTTTCATCTTTAAAATGTTTAATGGGCCAAATTAAAATGTACTTTAAAAATCATCTACCATTTTGTATTATTTGATATAGTCTCTCTCACATCATTTGTAAATAAGAGTTTTCATATTCATTCATTCAAAATCCACATGTGGTTGCCCTGCTTTGGCATGAGGCAGATATTTATCTGTGTCATAGCATTCCTTGTGATAATTTTCAATTAGCTGAAGATTAGATAAGACATTTATTTAGGGAATGGTATAATTATTGGTTTCCTCACATTTTTATTCTTCCTATTTTAGGAGGAATGTATTGAAAAAAAATCATTAAAAAGAAGTAAAATGAGTAATTGTAATGATCCCTTTTGGAGAAAAGATGATGAAATATACTTTCCCCTTTTCTATGAAGAGATAAGGTACTACAGGTAGAGAAAGTTGCCTGCATTGCCCGTAGTGGCCACTCTGTCGTTTTGTTCCTAGGATTATAGATTTTGAGCTAGAATGGATCTCATCGGTCATCTAGTCCAATCCTCTCATTCTTGTTTAATTCTTCTTTTCTATCATAACAGAGGATACAATTGTTTGGAGGGCAGGGTGAGTCTTGGAAAAACTAAAAAAGTATCCATAAGACATTTTAAAAAAAAGATATTTATACCCAAACATAATCAGATTTTACTTAATATTTAGAATAAATTGAAAACAAAGTTCAAATGACATACCCTTTCTGTTTTAATTCTATGCATGTATCAGAACATACCGTATGGTGGATCTCCTTCAAACAATTCATGAATGAGGTTGTCAAAGTCATAAGTTGTTTTCCGGAGAGCTGCAAATCCATGCTCTGAGCCAAACAGGACATCATCTTCATGTTCATCTTCACGTTTTAAAGTTCCTCCAAAGGACCAAGTAAATGCAAACACAAAAATCTTATCAAGCATTAAGCATAATTTTTCAGGATTTCTCTGAAGAAACCACTTTGGCTTCTTCTTTCTTTCCTTTTGGTGAGAGTTTCTACAGCAGGGAATGAAAGGATTTGGAAGCATGGAGAAGGAATGAAAGGATGATAAAGATTTACTTAAGACATATACTTTTACTTAAAATTGTCATTATTAAATATTTCTGTGGCATTAGGTAAAAAAACAAAGTATAGTTATGAAAATTTAAGGGTTAACATGGTTGAATCCTTTAATGGTGATCTTGTGACAATTATTTCTTATTCAAAACCTAAGATATTACATAAAAGGAATATTTGAAGTCTTTACAATATTTACTTTATCTCTTTCAATAACATATGCAAGCTTTGTATTTTCCTTTCTTCCAGGATGAAACTTGATTTTTGAATATGCAAATAAGAGTCATCTGTGATTTTGTCACTACCAGTAAAGGAATCCCTCTATCAAAAGATCAATATCTGTGACTTAGTAGATAAAGTCCTAGGGAGGTGCCTTAGGCATTGACAGGTTAAGCAACTTGTCCAGGATCCCAGAACAAGTGTTAGAGTTGGAATCTAAACACAGGCCTTCCTGACTCAAGCTCGTGAACTCTATTTACTAAACTAAGCGTATATCATTTTTTAATGGTTTTGTGTAAAAATATAATAATTAAGAAAAAAAGCCACAGTTTTGAAATTTCTTTTTCCTAGCTCATAGAATTTCAGCTGGGAAGGAGTTTTTGAGGTCACTTAGTGTAACCTATACCTGAACAGAAGTTCTACAATATACTGTAGAACAGGCCATGTAGTCTCCAGTTGAGGACCACTAGTGATGGGGAACTTGTTACTTTCCATGTCAACCCATTACCAGCAGGTCTTTTTTTAACACTATGCTGACAGTCATCTCTCTGCAGCCTCTATCCCTTGCTTCACTTTGTGTCTCTTGGGATCAAGCAGAACAAGTGTATTCCCTCTTTCACATAGTAATTGAACTGAAGAAATTTAGATCATGGCAGAGATGTGGCTAGTCTGCCACAAAAAAAGAAAGACTGTAGGGCTCAAGTGGGTTGAAAGGTGAGTTAACATTTGAATTTTTGAATTCTGCTTCTTCAAAATCAGCTGCTTCCTCTGGATGATCCCAAGGAATCTATAGTTCAACATGTCTAAAACGAAAGTCATTGTCTTCAACCTAATACCAACTTCTCCTCCAAGCTTTTCTACTTTTACTGAGGGTACCATCATCATTCTTTCTGTTCCTCAGATTCATAACCTCAGAGTTTTCTTCAACTCTGCCCCCCCTCCACATCCATTTAGGTGCCAAGTCTTGTTGACTATGCCTTTATAACATATCATATCCTTCTCTTTTCTCCACCCATAAGGTCACAATTTTAACTCAGACTCTCATCACCTATCTTATGAACGATTATAATAGCCTCCTAATCAGACTTTTGACTTCCAATTTCTCCCTGCTCTAACCCATTTACTACACAGCTGCAAATTATCCTCTTAATGCAGAAGTCTGGCCATATCACTTCCCTCCTTGAGAATCTCCAGGGACGATCTATTGCCTCTAGGATAAAATTCAGACTCCTCACCTCGGCACTTAGTATCCTTCAGTTTGGTTCCAAGTTTATTGCACACGTCTCCCTTTCACTCTGTATGTGACTGACCAAGTTATATGCCATTCCTCAAACTTGGCATTCCACCTTCCATCTATATGCCTTTGTATAGGCTGTCCTCATGGTACTCCCTCTCTCTCTTACGATCCCTTATGTTCATTTCCGTCCATGTGACATCTCCTTTGGGATACCTTTCCTGATCTCTCTAGTTATTAGTCTGTTCTCCCTCCTCAAATTATCATGTATTTACCGAACTGTTTACATGTTATATCCCTCCAATGGAATGTACACTCCTTGAGAGGAGACACTATTAAAATATATGTATGTTTTTTTATTTTATAGCTTTTAGCTTACACTTGCTATGTATGTAATAGATCCTTGTTGGGTGATCGTACTTCCCTTGATCTGTAAATTATGCTTCTATGAACACAGCCTAATGTGATGTCATTAGCTTTTTTTTTTTTTAGGCAATTGAGGTTAAGTGACTTGCCCAGGGTCACACAGCTAGTAAGTGTCAAGTGTTTGGTCTGAGGCTGGATTTGAACTCAGGTCCTCCTGACTTCAGGGCCAGTGCTTTATCCATTATGCCACCTAGCTGCCCCTGTCATTAGCTTTTTTGGTTGCCATGCCACATTGTTGACTTTGCTGAGCATGAATTCCGCTAAAATTTGCAGGTTCTTCTTTCAGTTCAGAATGGCCATATGCTCATCAGGTACTCCCTAATTGATTTTTTAAAAAATCCAATGTAGTAATTTGCATTTATGCCAATTTAACTTCATCCAAATAAATTTGGCCAAGGGATTGGGGTAAAGAGGAAGACTGTGATCCAGAAATTGACTTCTTTGAGAAAAGAAAGAGAATGATGTGGGGACCAGTTGTTTAACTGTTTCAAGCACTTGGATACTGTCATGATTTTGAATAGAGATAGAAAGGGTGATAAATGATGGTAGCAAAGGAGAAGTCTAGAAGTGGCCAGAGAGCGTGCCACATCCTCTTCCTGGATCGTTGTGTCAATGACATGGAAGTGGGAAGGGGGAGGGAAAGTGGGAATACTGGGAAGGAAGGTCACAGATAAATGCCTTTGGTGGAGGGGTGGCATGGCGATCTCTATAAGCACCAAAAAATGGATGGAGCAGGAAAGGAAGAAGTCTTAGAGGAAGGGAAGCGCCCAGGGTCACACAGCTAGTAAGTGTTATGTGTCTGAGGTCAGATTTGAACTCAGGTCCTCCTGACTCCAAGGCCCATGCTCTATCCACTGCACCACCTAGCTGCCCCAAAGGGAAGTTTTTTAACAACTCATCATGGGTTTCAGAGAACACAGTGGAAAGGGTAGTTAGAGCTAGATTGGGACTTGAGAGAGGTAGGGCTAAGGTGGTTGGGGATGAGAAAATGGGGAGCAGTAGTAGTAGCGGTAGTAGCAGGGGAAGGGTATAATTTTTGCTTGGGGAACTAGGATTCTGTATCACTGGAATTGGGAGAGCCATGACAGTACATGTTGACTGGGAGTGCTCCGTCCTCATGAGTTCTGTGTTGGCAGAGGGAACAATGAGTTTTTCTCCAAGTACTAGGTAAGAAGGGAATGTGGGCCAGCTCTTAGTAGAGCTTCCTTTGTTGAGGTCTTGGAAATAAGAGGTATAGTATCTGAGTCTTTGGTCTTGAACTCGGTCCTTTAGGTGGGTACCTGGTGTTGGAGAGCTTGGTCCTAGGGGCCATATGTCAAAGGTCCTGATGCTAGAGTGGAAGGTGGTTGTTGTCTAAGGCACAGATCTGAGCTGGGTCTGTGGTCAGAGGTGAATTATATGAGTGAAGCTTTGATCTTGACCTCTAGGCCATCAAGAGAGGCTTTGTCCTGACCTTGGCCCAGTGACAACAAAACTGAGCTGCAGAGTAGCAACAGCCCCCCAGGTAGTAATTGACGGCAGAAAGAGAGTAGACTGGCTCACAGTACGACGGCTGACTTGAACTACTTGCTCTCTCCTGAAAGATCATGAAGAATGAATGGGAGAGGTGCTATACACCAAGAGAAGAACAAATATAGTTTTGATTTTCAAAAAATAGAGAAGCAAATGTATTCTATAAACCAGTGGCATCAAACTCAAATAGAAACAGAGGGCCTCTAAACCATGCATAAGAATGCCTTTGAACCACATATTGACTTAGAAAACCACAGATTAATATTATCTACATATCATTGTATTTTTATTTATTTTGTTAAATATTTTCCAATTACATTTAATCTGGTTTGGGCCATACTTGGGAGCGCTGCATGCCATGTAGGCCCGCAGGCTACGTGTGTTTGATACTTCTGTTATAAACTATAGATCAGTGAGCTAAACATCAATTTCTGGCAAAATTCTAGGACTCATTGTTAAAGAGATTTCATGCCCACCTAGAACAGGGAGCAGTGATCAAGAGGAAGAACAAGCTAAACTGAGATAATTTCTTGAGAATGTTATGAATGATACATGAGGATATGCTGCAGGTACATTTCAGCTAAGCGTTTGGCAAGATATTTCACTTGCCAATGGACAAGATGGAGGAACGTCATCTAGAACTTCCCAATAGGTAATGTCGGGCCAAACGTAATGAGAGAAAATTTCAAAGGGATAAATGTGAAATTTTACATTTGGGTTAAAAAAAAATCAACTTCTCAAATACAAGATGGGGAAGGCATGGCTAGATAGAGTTTTTGAAAAAGAGCCACAGATTTTAGTCTGAACAAAAAGTATAATATGGTAGCTCCAAAATCTAATGTGACAATGCTACATTAAGGAAGGTACTGTGTCCATAAAGAGGCAAGTGATGGTCACTCAATTAATAGATGTTTATCAATCACCTACTATGTACTAGGCACTGTGTTAAGCAGTGAAAGAGAAAAAGAAAAGAAAGAGAAAAATAAAATTAAATAATCCATACTCTCAAGGAGCTAAACAGTTTGCTATACCTTGCTATGGCCAGACAATATAGGAAGCATTTCATTCAGTCCTGGGGGTCACATTTTAGGGAGAACATTGATAATAAAGAACCTAGCGGAGAGTATCTTGGATGGTGAAGGGCTTACAGATCAAGCCATGAGAAGTATCTGAAGGAACTAGACTGGTTTAAGCTCTAGAGCATATACTTCAGTAGGAAATAATACTGTCTTCATGTGTTTAAAGGGCTGGCATATGATGGAGGGATTGCCCCCAAAAGTCAGAATCAGCCGCCAGAATTTTGCAAAGTGGCAAAATTTAGGCTTGATGTTAGAAAATAAAAAGCAAAAAAAACTTCTCAACAATTAGAATTATCCCAAAGGGAAATAGGCTGGCTTAAGAGGTAATAGGTTCCACCTCTCTGGAGGTCTTTAAGCCAAAGCTGGAAGATGACTTATTGGATATCACAGAGATAATTCTTCTTCAAGTATAGGTTGGGCCAGACGGTCTTTGGTGTCCCTTTGAAATCTGAGATTCTGTGATCCTGGCTATGGTTCGCTTGACTGATCTTCTGGCCACAGAGTCTGAGAAGGAGGGACCTGACTCATCTTGGTTATAGCCTTAGATGAATATGGATGATAGAAGAGTAAGAGGACCAGGCTCTTTATGAATAACCTTCTATATCACTTGTTAGAACCATGCTTTTAAAGCAACAACATTAAATAATCTGGAAATGGATTCTCAGATACATATATATTATGAAAGGTTTCAGATAGGTTAGTATTTCTTGTTATAATTGTTTTTCTAGTTATTAAAGTAATTTTAAAAAATGAGTCTCTGATTCCTTAAAGCATTCTTTCCCCCCTCCTTTGTTTTCTTTTTGATGTTTAAGTGACTTGCCCAGGGTCACACAGCTAGTAAGTATCAAGTGTCTGAGGCCGCATTTGAACTCAGGTCCTCCTGATTCCAAGGCCAGAACTTTATCCACTGCACCACCTAGCTGCCCTTTCTTCCACTTCTTTTTAAGGGTGTCAGTTCTTGAGCGTTTTTTGAGACTTTTTGATGTCATTGTTATCTGAGCCTTACCTTTGAATGCTTCTAAAATGAGACATTATCCTGATATTTATTAACAAGTGTGACTGCACATAGTATGCATGGAACATATTGTGTAGAAAACAAATATATACTAACTACTAATTATAACTATCTTTAATAGTAATCTAATTTAGAGGTTGATCTTTGCAGGGGCCTGCTGGAGCCAGCTTGGATAGTTACACCAAAGAAATTAGCAAATGCTACACATCAGTGTGTAGCATTCGCTAATTTCTTTGGTGTAGATGTTCACAATGAAAATTTAACAATAGGCTGTCTGGGAACTATAGTTATAATTAGTGATTAGTATAGCTGTGTGACCCTGTAATTACAATTTTGTAAGATTACAGTTAATAAGATTATAGGGCAGCTAGGTGGATAGAGTGTGGGTCCTCATCTTCCTGAGTTCAAACCCAGCCTCAGACACTCTCTCACTGTGTGACTCTGCGCAAATCACTTAACCCTATTTGCCTCAGTTTCCTCATCTGTAAAATGAACTGAAGAGGAAATGACAAACCACTTAGTACCTTTGCCAAGAAAACTCCAAATGGGGTCACAGAGAGTTGGACGTGATTCAAAAGACTCCGCAACAATAACAAAAACAAAGATTATAGTAATCTGAAAAGAGTTCATGATGATTCATTCGTTTCTCATGCACAGATTCTGGTCCGATTAATTCAAACAGTACTTACTACAGCAACAACTAGGCTTAAAAATTGAAAAATTTTTCTGGTAATTATGCAAAAAACTATGATAAACCCATTTGAAGTAGAAGCTATGAATACACTGGTTCATTACCAAATCTTGATTTGTGACTGACCTTTTTGCTTTATCAGCCTCTGCATGTCTGAATTTAAAAGCGTGTTTATTTACTGAGCTTGTTTCTGACGTTACAATCGATTCAATAGCTGGAAAAAGGGAAAGGAAAACTTATTCTTTGCTAGCAATCAATAATTTCCCATCATTTCAGTTAGCTAAGCAAAAAATGTTACCATTTCAGTTTCAAAATGTGGGGAAAACATTTGTAAAAACACTGCACTAGATTTGCCTTTTCAGATCTGTTAGGGAGTGAACCGGCTGCCCACTAGTACTAGTCCTATCAACTGTCTACATTTTCGTATTCATCCAAGTTGTGCATCTTTATAAATTACACAATGGGTTCCCCTTGGAGTCTTCAAGTATTATGTAGATATAGTCTTTAGGATATAAAATGTTTTCCTTTGGTTCATAGCCTTTTGGTTCCAGATCACATTTAGCAGGTATGCCTGGGTATTGCTACACAGTACACAAGTTTTTCCTAAATTGTGTTCTACGTAGCCTTGTCATTCCATGAGATAGGAATATAGGTTCTACGAGAAAGTGCTAACGTTTTGAGCTCACAACAGCACTTGGGTAGGGGCTTAGCTATATTAGGAGGACAGCCAGTAGCAAATGCCACAGTTTGGTTGTAACTGAGATAGAAAGGTAGAAAGATAGATAGATGGATAGATAGACAGACAGATGGAGGTGAGAGACAATATACATTATACTGATACATATACTGATATATGTATATACACAAATAATGATAATAATGACAATGCTGCTGCTAATAATAATATTTATAATAAGAGTTAACATTTATATAGTACTTAGTATGTGCCAGGAACTGTGATGAATGCTTTACAATTATCATCTCATTTGGTCCTCACAACAACCCTGGGGGAGGGTGGTGGGTAGGTGCTATTATTATCCCCATTTTACAGATAAGGAAACTGAGGGAAACAGAGGCTAAATGACTTATCCAGGGTCACACAGCTAGTAGTGTCTAAGGACAGATTTTAATTCAGGTGTTATGCACACACCCCCACACACAAACATACATTGCATACATACATACATACATACACACACAAACACACACAAACATTCATGCAAACATACACATCCAAACACACATACATGTAAAAATTTCCAAGGATAATGAAAAAGATGAGGTGGATAGAAAAACTTTGAATCATGATATTGAAGTAGGTATGCAGGGGGACAGGAGTTAATAATTTAAAAGTGAGTATAATTACCAGTAAAGATTGATGACATAACACAAGTATCACATTTTGAAAAGCTGAAGGAAGACCTTGGTGAGATCATGCAGAAATACCACTGAGGAGGGAGGACTAAACAACCCTACTCTCTACCACCACCACTATTTTCCTTTAGTTTGGGGTCAGTGGATGGAGGGGAACCACCTCTGGAGAATAAAGCAGGGAACAAAGCCACGTGTACTGGAAATATACCCTGCTCTGTGCCCCTCTGATGTTTCTTAAACTTCATTTTGCAACCTGGCTCCATTGTGCAACTCTGTCTTATGACGTCGTAGTATGATGTAGTTTTAATTTGCCATGGAAAGTTACTGGCTAGCTTACTGCTTCTCCCACCCCGCTCCCTCCCCATATGCTTTAGCTTTCTCTATGTTTCCAGTTAAGAGACCATCCCCTACCTTGTTTCTTGGCATAAGACCATAACTGCCTGCAGTGCCCAAGGGCAGAATAGTGGGGAGGCCTTCTCTTATCCTGCACTGGGGGAGAGGCACCCCTTCCCCCAGGGATGCTCAAGGTTAGAACATTGTAGATGGGTGGAGAATGTCTCTGAAGATCCCTACTAAAAAAGCCCCCTTAAATTCCCAAATTAGTGTCAGTCTCTTGACTGCATGAGGCTGATACCCAGAGATCAGCTCTTCCACTCTATAGGCATTATCTAACTTGCCAAGTGGATCCCCATTCCCTCCTCCACAGCCTCCCAGGTCATTCTCCCTCTTCCTTCCCAGTTCCTTCCTGTGGGTTTTGCTGCTTGTGCTAATGGCCTCTGGACTTTGCTCATGTCCTCACCAGGGACAGTACCAGGTTCTTTGACAGCCACACCTTCACGGGCAGGACTCCCCTGAACTTCATGCCTCAGTAACAGGGAATTCCCCTCCTATAGAGCCTCTTTGATCTCTGAGCCACTGACCAAGGAGTAAGACTACGATTGCCTGGGCCTGGGCCCCAGTAGAAGGGAATTCTTTTTCTGTCATGGTCAAGAGCAAGGCTTGTACTTCCATATCAATACATCATGTTGCTATAGGTGTGAGAAGATTCTATGGAAAGGTTAGAAAGAGGTTCCAGATAAATTTTCACACTGTGCTATTTTCTGGGAGTGCTGAGGGAGAAAGGGTGTGGAACTAAGGTGAGGCTTAAGAGGCAGGAAGAATAGGAATATCATCACCAATGCACAAATGTATCTGATTTTGTTTAATTGTTAATATAAAGAGGAATCTTAAAAATTTGCAGAAGTTCAGAAATTATATTGTTATTAGGGCATTTATAACATTATCTCTTCCTTCCCTCCCTCTCCCCTATAATCCCCAGCAAGGTGGTATAATGGTTAGAGTTCTGGGCCTGAAGTCAGGAAGACCCGAGTTCAAATCTGCCCTCAGACACTCACAGCTGTGTGACCCTAAACAAATCTCTTCAATTTTATCTCTGGATATTCCCCAAGAGAACCTCTTCATTTAAGTTGGGCAAATTTGTTTTTGTTCTCCTACGTAAGATGTCTTAGTTTCTGCTTTTATGCGTTGTGCATACCATATGATCTTCCTGTGATATATTTCTCTGTTCTCTCCTTTATTTTTGTCTATATCCATCTCCAGAACGTAGCTCAAACCTTCTTCCCTAGTCAACCCCACCTGATCATTTTCTTCTTCTTCTTCTTTTTTTTTTGTTTTGACTAGGCAATAGGGTTAAGTGACTTGCCCAAGGTCAGCTAGTAAGTGTTGAGTGTCTAAGGCCGGATTTGAACTCAGGTCCTCCTGACTCCAGAGCCGGTGCTGTATCCACTGGGCCTACTAGCTGCCCGCAATCATTTTTAAACTATATCTTTTATGAATCCTCTCAGCACTCATGTATTTAATTTGTGATTTTTCTGATTTGCACTACTGGCACATAACTTGTTAATAAGCTTCATCACTCACACATAGTGTTTTATCTTTCCAACCAGAATGCAAACTCTTGGTAGGGAGAGATGTACATTTTCTTTCAAATTTTAGACAATTCAATAGACATTCAAGAAAATTAATTGATTTCAGTAAAATTATTTGGAAAAATTATTCTACTTACATTTCCCAAAAATTCCGTTGCTTTCCATGAAACTAAAATAAGCATCGAGAATTCTGCAGAGATTTATTAAAATTGGTATCTCATGTACAGAAAAAGGCTGTGTACTATTATGCGTCCTTAAAAAGTGTAGACCTTCTTCCACACTTTTTTTAAACATTCGTTCAAGATTTTCTACGCCATGCTGTGGGAGAAGGTTTGAAACTTTTACAAGCCATGTCTTAACATATGGCTCCCATCCTAGATCAGCAGGATCCTAGAAATTAAAAATAGTATAAGATGAGAGACTAGGTATATGTTATTCATAATATATCTTTGGTAAATGAAAATTTAGTGTGAAGATACAGATTCTTCATTATATTAGTGCCTCTAATTATCTAAGAAAAGTTAGGAAAATATGACTTTTATGATCATTTTACATTTTCTAATGGTGGTTTGGAAGTGGCTTTCCTCCCTCTGCTTTTTTTCCTCCCTCCCATAATTTATTTCTAGCTGTAGAAATGGGCTGGGAGACTGTATTCCTGGAGCTACATTAGGATGTGGCTATGGTTGACATGAGGCAGGATAAGCAGATTATCACAGACAGTACGGTCTATAGCATCCTCACGTTCCAGGGACCATGTTACTTCCACTATCTGCCAGTTTGCTGACACCAAGCAACAACCTGGTTAAGGCAGCTTCTAGGGTCTTCTACAGTTCACTCCTTCCCAGAGCAACTCTAGGCAAAACTGTAAAGGAGACAGAGTTGATTTTCCCCACAACATGTGGGTGCTAACTTTTGTTTGCCTTCATCCCCTTCAGAGGGTCCTTTCTTTAACTTTCCATCCACTAAAGCCCAGTGCCTTCACGCTTTCTCCTTCCTCCCCTCTATCCAAATGTGCTCTCAGATTGGCACAGGCCTTGGCACTGGTCATTGTCACTGAAGATACAGTATGCTGTACCAATATTCATATGTCTAACAACAACTTAAGTGTTATTCCTGCAAGGAGAGTTTATATTTTAACGTGGATCAAAAATTGAAGATAAAATGATTCTTGGTTCTAACTGTGGCATTCAGGTTTTTGAGTGAAGGACAGATTTGGAGGAAAGGGGAATGGAGATCTTCACTAGTCACCTTTAAATAATAACACAGATAACCACTGATTTTGCCTATGGGAAGGTCATTCCTATTTCTCACCTAATTGAGCTACTCCACCTAACCTGGATGACAAAAATCAAGGGTTCAATAACTACACGTATCAATTAGGTTTACATAGAGAAGCCATGTTCCCTGGTCATAAACTTTATCCCCAAATCTCCCCAGATATATCCCCAACTGAGTTTTTATGGCATCCTCCAATATTCAGTCAACTGTCTTGTATATGTATATGTTCCACTAGTGACAAGATAGGATGGATGAAATACACATAATTCAGTGTAGTCTCTCACCAGTCTCCTGCTATTGATAACTGTAGTATGACCTTTCTAATTAAATCACCTCAGCTTCTTATTTTCCTAAAATCCCTTCAGGACTCAGCTCAAGTCCCACCTTTTGCAGGAGGCTTTTCTTAGCCCTTTCCCACCTCCCCACCAGCTGCTGGGATCTTCCCTTCTCTGATTACTTTCCATGTACTCTGACTATAGCTCAAACATACCTAGTTATTTATATATTGCCTTTCCTGTTAGAACGTGCTCCTCTTAAGGGCAAGATCGTGTTATTTGTCTTTCTTTGTATGCTCCATTCTTAGCACCATAGTGCCTGGAACATAATAGGTAGGCACTTAATAAATGCCGACTGGCTGACAAAACATGGTATGTTTTAACCATGAGTGATATTAGCATTCAGTGGCAACAACGATACTCATTTTATAATTGTTTATAATCAAATTATAAACAGATATGTTTCTAGCATTGAATGGGAAAAACAGCAACAGCAACAACAACCACCCCGTAGGCCTTGGGGAAACAATTTCACTAGTACCAGTGGCTTCCTCCTAGACATTAAAGTTCCAAAAATTTATCTGCAAGGAAGTTTACTTTTTACAACATACTCTTTTAATAGGAAAATTAGTCCTGGAATCCTACCACATAGACCATTGCACATCGAGTGATAGTAGCCGGGCTGGCCTGAGAGAGATTATCCACTTCAAAAATCATCCTTATGCTATCAGTTAAAATGATTCTCTCACTGTTAGCAAGGCACAAAGTTTTGCTGTCATCTAGCACAGTGTTTAGGTTTTCTATCCATATGGTGTCAACTGGACCATCAAACACTATCCACTGCCAATCTGTAATTGTCATACCTGCAAAATTAAAAAAAAATGTTTGTTATGGTTTGTAATATGTGTTTTATTTTTCTCTTAATATAACTTATAAGTGTCAACCCTCTTTTATTATACGTTGTAAATTATGTTTATACTATTTAGGAAGTTTATTTTCTAATCAAGGTAAAAGATGGTAACTTAGAAAATATTTTTAAGTTTTGGAAAAGAGTTTTGAAAAGTAATCTAAAATTATCTCAATTGGATCCTAACTGCAGCAAGGAAATTCTTTTACTTTTCCCTAATTGGGTTTCTATGGCACTTCCCAAGTTTGCTGTTTTAAATAATTTCTCCTCAAATTTCCTCTCTTATTATTTCCTCTTCTTCCTCCCCCCCACCTTTTTTGCATGGGATCTCTAATACTTTAATGGGAAAAGAAGCCATTCACCATGAATTCTCTCATTTTTCCTACTCTACATCTCAATTACCCCTGACATCAACCTCAATTCCTTCCCTTTGCTCAAGTCTCTAATGAAGGGATGGCTTTTCTCACTAAGGCCAATTTGTCTACTTGTGCCCTTGACCCTCTCTCCTCCAGCAGCCTGCTCCTGTTATTCATTCTTCACCTCTTTAAGTTTTAATCTCTATCAGCTCTTTGTCAGGGACCTACAAATACACCCATGAGCTCCTTTTCCTTAAAATACTTTTGCTTGACCCTACTATCTCTTAAAGCTACTTGCCTTTCTCTTTTCTAGCTGAAATACTAGAAATTTTTTAAAAAGTTACGTTTACTTGGTGTTTCCACTTTCTCTCCTTTCACTTAATTCTCAACCCATTTGTGATTGGACATTTGTTATTGCTCAATTGAAGTTACTTTTTCAAGAATTATCATCGATCTCCTACTGTCAAATCTGATGGCTTTTTCTCAGGCTCCATCTTTTTGACCTCTGCAGCCTTTGACACTGTTGAAAACTCCCTCCTTCTAGACATTCACTCTTCCTTGTGTTTTTGTGACACTATTCTCTCCTGGTTTTCCCCTTGTCTGGTTTCTTGTTCTCAGCCAGGACTCTGGTAATTTAGATTCAATACTGGCATGAATAAAATACACTTAGTTTCATTCAACAGGCAACATGAAAAGATTTGCTTAGTAAGGGAAGGCATTATCAAAGAGATGCATCTAACATGCTGTGAGTTAATTCAACTGAGCAAAATTCTGCTGCCTCTGAGTGGTGTGTAGGCCTGGTTCCAGGGAAGATAAGGCAAAACCTCAGCTCTCTGAACACAAGGTGGTTCCAGTGACAAAGTCCAAGGTTCCACTGGGGGACATATAAAGATGGAAGCTACAATGCAGATAGCATGGTTTGGAAATGGTGACAGACAATTCTACTTTTTTTTCCTCTTAAAACTTTCTGCAGAATTTTTTTCTTGGAATATTTCTGATGGGGTGTTTGGGTGCTTGTGTTTGGGTGCTTGTGCTTGTACTTGGACCCCAATTTCTCTCTAGTCTCAGAAACACTGTCTCTAACAATTACTCCCCAGCCCAAAGACACTGTGCCTAGCAGTTATTCCTGCGTGGGCCCCAGCACGACCCTTATCTTTCTCCCTCGTGCAGCTACACAAAGCTGGGTGAGAGAGTGCTGGGCTGCTCAGGCCCCAGCCCTCAGATCATGTCTTTGGAAGCCTCCCAATTTCTTAGTAAGTTCCTGTCTTGTGAGAAAGCTTTCCCTTGTTGCAGAGCATTCTCTCATCAAGACAGAGGGAGAGGGGTGCCTTGCCCAGCCCACGGAGTTTTGTCCTTGGCTGGCCCAAGGACTCTTCCTCCTGCCAGACTCCAAAGAGCCATACCTCTGTCATCTCCCTCCCTTGTCTGGTATACTCCCTGTACTTTCCCATCCATAGTTCCCAAAGACACCTGGAACTTTAGATTACCTCATCAGTGTCCCTGGCATTCCTTTCCCATGCCCTTTTCCATATAAACCCTAGCTTCATCCTCAGTCTCTTGCAGGTTCTTTAAGGATCCTTGCCCGCTGAAAAGCATAACGATAAATCTTTGCCACTTTGACTTAAAGAATGCTTGAGTCTGTGAATTCATTCCAGACGATCCTGTCCTGTACTTGAGTCTTTGAGGGGTCTCAACCTCTCAGACCACAACATTTCCATGCTCCTGGGAACTCACGGGTCATGAAATTTTACCTGTTCTTCCTCTGAACGCCTTGAAATCTGTTTATCTACAAATTAGGAAGCATGTTAGCAAATATCTTGCTTTCCTGTCCTTTATCACAAACTATAGGAAGGGGAGTAGTTGCTTTCCTGAAATGTTTTCATCAGTTCTACCCTAGTGGCCTGTTCCTCCATGTTAGCAAGAATCAGATATATAAATCCTGTGTGGATTTCTCCAGGTAGTCTGCAGTATTTTATAATGACAAAATGATTTCTGTTTCTTATTCCTTTCTAAACACCAATCCTTGAATACTCCTAAATCTGCCTTCTCTCATACACATATGTTGCCAGATGCAATTGGAGGAAATCACTGAATTGACTAGGTTCACTACAAATTTATATAATTTCAACTGGGCTTTCACTTCTGCATGCCATTCTTTTTACTCTTCCCTGGCTGATGGTTTATGCTACTCCTTGGCCAAACCCTTTTATCTCTTCAAGCCATTCTGTATACTATCTTACCTTCTATATCTCTGCCTCACTAAGTACTTCGTTTTAAAAAATCATCCGTCTTTAGCTCCTTCTTCTCCCCAACTCTTCACTCTGTATCATCTTGACATTTTCCCTCATTTTCTTTTGCTCCAATTTTGGAGGAAGAAGTGGCCCTTTTCTTTGCAAACACCATTCCCTTTCCTTGTGTACTGGGTCCTATCTCCTCTAAGAACTTATGCCTTTAATCATTCCTTTTCTCTTCCAAATTTTCAGTTTTTTCTTATCAAAGGCCTGCTTCTTCCCAGATTTTTCCCATCTTTAAACCAAACCAAACCAAAAAAAACCCCCAAAATGAAAAAACAAAACAAAACAAAAAACAAAACCAAACAAACAAGCAAACAAAACCCTTTATTTGATCCTACCATTCCCTCAAGCTATTTTCCTTTGCCTCTCCTTTTTCTAGACTGACCCCTATAGAGATGTTCAGGATTTCCTTTTTTTTTTTTTTTTTTAACCTCATTCTCCTTACAGTCATTTCTGACTTCATTAGTCAACTGATTTGCTTTCACAAGGTCAGCAATAATTAAAAAAAAAACTTTTATCAATACAAAAGTTACTTTTGGAAGATGATCTCCTCTGTAATAAAGGAAAACAGCAGCAGCACTTGATATATAATGACCACATATGACAACGTATACAACATACTGCCCTAGAAATTCTCAGCTTCTCTGCAGATTGTCATTGATTTAAAAAAATTCAATTTTATTTGATTTTCAGTTCTGAATCCTCTCCCTCCCTCTCCTGTTGCCCCATCCATTGAGAATGTAAGAAAAACAGAACCCATTACAAATATGGATAGTCATGCAAAACAAAGTCCCACATTAGCCACATCCAAAAAAAGAAAGAAAAGAAAAAAGAGAAATTATGTTTCAATTTGTACTCTGTGACCATCAGCTCTCTATCTGAAAGTGGATGATATGTGTCATTGTTGATCAGTTACTAAGCCTTTGTTTCAAAGTTCATTATCTTTACAATATTGCTGTTAACTGTATAGATCATTCTCCTGGTTCTGCTTGTTTCATTTTTCATTAATTCATACAAGCCTTCTTAGGTTTTTCTGAAACCATCCCCTTCATCATTTCTCACAACACAAGAGTATTCCATCACATTCATATATTTACTACTTATCGTGTTAAAAAAAAAGTTAATTTATTCCTATGTTATCTATTGTTGTTGTGTTTTTTTTTTAAACTGGAATGGGTATTGAATTTTTCAAAAGTTTTTCTTCTTCATTTAGTGATGTTATAAACTTTTTATTGTTTTTTTAATCGATATGACTAATTATGGTTATAGTTTTTTTCAAACTGAGCCAATTTTACATTCCAGATATAAACCTGGTCACAATGCATAATCTTCGTGACATGCTGCTATAATCACTTGGTTGATATTCTATATAAAATTTTTGCATTAGGTATATTGGTCTAGAGTTTTCTTTCTTCATTTTGTCTCTTCCAGGTTTGGTTATAAATACCATATTTGTATCACAAAAGGAATTTGGTAGCATCCCTTCATTTCCTACTTATGCAAATTGTTTGTGTAATATTGGAACTAACTATTCACTGAATGTTTGATACCATTCACTAGTAAATATGTCCCAGGCTGTCTTTTTCTCTTTTCCTTTTTTGGGAATTCAATTATGGTTTGTTCAATTACTTTTTCTGAGATTGGGTTGTGTAAATTCTCTATTCTTCTGCTAATCCAGGCATTTTATATTTTTGTACATTTTATCCATTTCATTTGTTTGTTTTACTGACATATAATTGGGCAAAATGATTTCTAATAATTTCTTTTATTTCTCCTCTTGCAATGAATTTTCCTTTTCATATTTGGTTTTCCTCTTTCTTTTAAATCAAATTAGTTAATGATTTTACTATTTCATTTCCCTGCCACCCAAAATCTAAGCATTCCTACTTTCATTTATTAATTCAATGTTTGTTTGACTTTCTAATTCTTTAATCCTTCCTTTGATTTTCAGGATTTGATTTAGAGTTTAATTGAAGTTTTAAAATTCCTTAGTTTTCTAAGTTTTTTTCTCTTTCTTTAATTTATTTATTTTTAGTTTTCCACATTCACTTCCATAAGATTTTGAGTTTCAAATTTTCTCCCCATCTTGTCCTTCCTTCCACCCCAAGATGGCATGTGTTCTGAATACCCCTTTTCCTAATCTGCCCTCCCTTCTATTCCCCCCCTCCCAGCCTTCTCTTATCCCCTACCCCTTCTATTTTCCTGTAGGGCAGGATAGATTTCTATACTCCATTGCCAGTATATCTTATTTCCCAGTTGCATGTGAAAACAATTTTTAACATTTGTTTTTAAAAACTTTGGGTTCCAAATTTTCTCCCTTCCTCTCTCCTCACTCAGCCTCATTGAGAAGGCAAGCAACTCAATATAGTTCATACATGTATAGTCATGCAAAACACTTTCATAGTAGTCATGTTGTAGAAAACTAATTATATTTCCCTTCATCCTATCCTGCTGCCCATTTATTCTATTCTCTCTTTTGACCCTGTCCCTCCTCAGAAGTGTTTGCTTCTGATTACCCCTTACCCCAATCTGCCCTCCCTTCTATTCCCCCCCACTTCTCTTATCTCCTTCCCCTTCTATTTTCCTGTAGGGCAGGATAGATTTCTACACCCCATTGCCTGTATAACTTATTTCCCAGTTGCATGTGAAAACAATTTTTAACATTTGTTTTTAAAACTTTGGGTTCCAAATTTTTTCCCTTCCTCCCTCCCCACCCACCCTCACTGAGAAGGCAAGCAACTCGATACAGGTCATACACGCATAGTCATGCAAAATACTTCCGTAGAAGTCAAGGTGTGGAAAACTATATTTCTCTTCATCCAGTCCCACTCCCTCCACCACACTTATTCTATTCTCTCTTTTGACCCTGTCTCTCCTCAGAAGTGTTTGCTTCTGATTACCCCCTCCTCCCAATCTGCCCTCCCTTTTATCGTCCTCCCTCTCTTATCCACTTCCCCCCTATTTTCCTATAGGGTAAGACAGATTTCCATACCCAATTGAGTGAGTATGGTATTCCCACCTTAAGCCAATTCCAATGAGAATAACATTCACTCATTTCCCTGTCACCTACCCCCACTTCCCCTACACTGTAAAAACCTTTTCTTGTTTGTTTTATGTGAGATAATTTATCCCATTCTACCTCTCCCTTTCTCCTTCTCCCAGTATAATCCTCTCTCACCCCTTACTTTTATTCTCCAGATATCACCCCTTCATCTTCAACTCACCCTGTGCCACCCATCTATCTATCTATCTATCTATCTATCTATCTATCTATCTATCTATCTATCTATCTATCTATCTATCTATTCATATAATTTATCCCCCTCCAACTAACCTAATACTAGCAAAGGTCAGTTACAAATTTCATTTTTCCATGTAGGAATGTGAACAGTTCAACCTTAATAAGTCACTTATGATTTCTCTTTACTGTTTACCTCTTCAAACTTCTCTTGAATCTTGTATTTGAAAGTCAAATTTTCTATTCAACTCTGGTCTTTTCATCAAGAATTCTTGAAAGTCCTCTATTTTACTGAATGTTCATTTTTTCTCCTGAAGGATTATACTCAGTTTTGCTGGGTAGGTGATTCTTGGCTGTAATATTATCTCCTTTGACCTCTGGAATATTATATTTCAAGCCCTGCTAAATCTTGTATTATCCTGATTGTGTTTCCACAATACTTGAATTGTTTCTTTCCGCTTGCTTGCAATATTTTCTCTTTGACCTGGGAACTCTGGAATTTGGCTACAATATTCCTAATAGTTTTCCTTTGGGGATCTCTTTCAGGAGGTGATTGGTGGATTCTTTCAATTTCTATTATACCCTCTGGTTCTAGAATATCAGGGCAGTTTTCCTTGATAATTTCTTGAAAGATGATGTCTAGGATCTTTTTTTTTATCACAGCTTTCAGATAGTCCAATAATTTTTAAGCTATTTCTCCTGGATCTATTTTCCAGGTCAGTTGTTTTTCTAATGAGATATTTCACAGTCTTCTATTTTTTCATTCTTTTGGTTTTGTTTTTACAATATCCTGATTTCTCATAAAGTCACTAACTTCCATTTTAATTTTTAAGGAAGTATTTCCTTAAATTTCCTGATTTTTCACAAAGTCACTAACTCTATTCTAATTTTTAAGGAAGTATTTTCTTCAGTGAGCTTTGGACTTCCTTTCCCATCTGGCCAATTCTGCTTTTTAAGGCATTCTTCTCCTCTTTGGCTTTTTGGACCTCTTTTGCCATTTGGGTTAGGCTATTTTTTAAGGTGTTATTTTCTTCAGTATTTTTTTGGGTCTCCTTAACCAAGCTGTTGATTTGTTTTTCATGATTTTCTTGCATCACTCTCATTTCTCTTCCCAGTTTTTCCTCTATTTCTCTTACTTGCTTCTCAAAATCCTTTGTGAGCTCTTTCAAGACCTGGGATTGATTCATATTTTTCTTGGAGGCTTTGGATATAGGAGCTTTGACTTTGTTGTCTTCTTCTGATTGTATGTTTTGATCTTCTTTGTCACCAAAGAAAGATTGTATGGTCTGACTTTTTTTTGTGCTCTTTGCTCATGTTCCCAGTCAACTTTGAGTTTTAAGCTCTTTGTTAAGGTAAGGGGTCTGTTTCTAGTGCGGAGAATGTACTGTCCCAAGCTTTGGTGGTTTTTTGGTAGCTGTTTTCAGAGATACTTCTAGGGACCTGTAAATTTTCAGTTCTTCCAAGGTGGTATAATGAAAGGAGAGGTGTTTACTCCTTTCCTGGCCTGGGCTCTGGTGTGTGATTGACCACAAGCACTCTGGTTTTCTAGGTTTTAAAAAAATTTCCAGTCCAGTTTTTTATTTCCCCACACTCAGATTCTGATTCCAAGTTTTCATCCTTTGTTTCTTTCCTTTTAAACCCTTCTTCAGGACACTCCCTACTCTATATTTAGGGTTTATTTTTATGATTAATACCTCTCTGAGTCTATCTTCCTTTTCATTCTCTCTTCTCCCTGTTTTGTAAAATTTTCTTGTTAAGTTGAATGTATTTCTACAACAAACTCTTTGTGTATTTGTGTGTGTGTGTGCATATATGCATTTCATAATTTTTGACAAGTTCAGATGAAAGTGAAGTTCAAATGATGACCTCTCCCCCCACCTTTTTCTCATTTGTATAGACTTACACTTGTATACTATAATTATAAGAGGCAAGTTCCTTCCTCATCTCCCTCTCTTCCCTAGTATATTTCCCCTCACTTTCCTATCTTTTTTTAAGCTCATCAAAACATAACACAACCATTACTAGACTTTCTGTCTTATTTGCCTTCTTCTATGATCCCTGATGACATTAGGCTTCCAAGGGGGATACTTGTACTACCTCACCCCACTTCATCCTTAGATTCCTATTCTCCATCCTTTCAAATTACTCACTTGTATTTACTGTTATATATTTTTCTCAACTCTCGTGTTTGTATTTAAAAGTTTCTACTCATCTCTGGTCTTTTTCTCAAAAATGCTTGGAGTTTCTCTGTTTCATTTAAGGTTTTTTTTTCCCAACTATAATATTATATTCAAATTTTCTGGGTAAGGTATTCTTGTTTTTAAGCCTACATCATTTGCCTTCTGGAACATTGTATTCTAGGCTATCCACTCTTCTTGAGTGGTAGGTTCTAACTTTTGTGTGATCTTAACTGTGGTTCCTTAGAATTTGAATTCTTTCTTTTGGGCTTCTTAAAGTATTTTTTCCCTTTTGATTTGGAAGCTCTGTATTTTGGCTATAACATTCCTAGGAATTTTCATTTTGAAGTTTCTTACAGGAGTTATTGGTGGATTCTTTGCATTTTCACTTTGCCCTCTTGTTCTAATATATTTGGGTAGTTTTCTTTCATGATTTCTTTAAATATGATATTTAAGTTCTTTTTATGGTATGGCTTTTAGGCCATCCAGTGATTTTAGAATTTTCTCCCTTTGATCTATTTTCTGTCTTGTTTTTCATTCAAGATCCCCTACATTTCTTCTATTTCCTTTAAAATTTTTCTTTTAATATTTTTTCATTTTCTTATAAAGTCATTGACTTCTATTAGTGTCACTCGAATTTTCACCAATTTTGTTACATGGGTAAAGTTTTGTACCTCTTGTGCTAAAATGTTAATTCTTTTTCCAAGTCTTCCCTCACATTCTCATTTCTTTTCTAATTTTCTTTTGTTGTTCTCATTTCATTTGTAATACTATTTTAAATTCTTTAAAAAGCATCTTGCATCTTTTCTCCTAGTAATTCTGTATCTTGTGTCTAAGCTGTGTTTTCTTTTGAGGCTTCGCTTGTAGGTATTTTAGAGTTAATTTCTTTTTCTGGGTTTGAGTCTTTGGCATCTTTGGAATCAAAATAGCTCTATATTGTTATTATCATTTTTGTTTACTCATTTCCCTAGTCTTAATCACCAGATTGAGATTTTTTGTTAGGGTCAGGTTCTGCACAGTTTTGGTATGATTGTCAAGATCTTGTATGTTTCTGGCTTATCTTAGTAACACTTTTGTCAGTACATTTGTCAGGTACTGAGTGCTATATTCTTCAAGGATGTAATCTACTGTAGGAAGCTGCAGATTTTCAGGGGATAGACTGAGGGCTGTACTGGTTTCCATAAATTATCAAAAACCTAGAATAAGGCTTCTGGAACTTGGATGTACCCTCAATGGAAGACTATAAGGTGATATAACATAATGGAAAGAGCACTGGAGTTGGAATTATAGTGCCTTAGCCTGAATCTGAGCTCTGTTACTATGTATGTGAACTTGGGCAAGTCACACTCTCTCTAGGGCTCATTTTTCTCACCTATAAAATTGAGGTTGGGGTAGGATTAGATCTCCCAGACCATATTTAGCTCTAAGTCTATTATCTTATGATGTTTGATTAATGAAAAGACATAAGAGTCATACTGAACATGAGGGTATATATAGGTTGTGTGGTTGTGATCTGTACTGGTGGATCAACTAGACACATTGACAAAGTCATGAAGTCACTCAAGTATCCAAGTACTACAAAAATAAAGTAAAATTATTTTAATACTTCAGGATTCTGTGATTTTGTCCATGTGGATACTCCCTCCACTAATAATGATTGCTGTACCTTTAGATAGTGTTCTTGAATTGCTGTGTGCAAAAGTTTCATCACTCTATCTTAAGAGAAAAAATACACGGTCATATTATAGGGCTCATACTTGAAACCTTTCAAAGTTGGTAAGGTCTAACAAGTTTTTGATCCATTTGTATTCCATTTAAGAAGCCACGGTCATGTCCATACCACAATGAGACATCTTTACTACATACAGTCTAAATAATACTACACAAACATGTGAAGGGGGCGTGATTTTGTCATCATGGTGAGCTCCCAGATTACAACCCACTTACATTTCAAATAAGTCCTACAGAGTTTTCTTAAATACATAAAGTTTAAATGTTTTGCTTAGGATGACATAGCTAATAAGAGATTTTATGGTTCATTTGACCAACAAGATGGAGGACTAGACATTTTCTGCAGGACTCACTAACTCTCACAAACACTCCCAAACTCCAAAGAGGAATTAGGCATCGGAGGTAGAACAATGGCTGCTGAATCCACAGGATTAGAAAGCAAGAAACTCAACAATGTAAAAACCTTATGAATGAACAGTAGTACTAATCCATAACACTCTTACATAGCACGGCCCCCTCAACTAGTCTGTACATGCTTTCAGGGTGTAAAATATGATCAAGAGTTTTGTACTCTACAATCCACTCAGGGATTTCCCTTTTGCTGCATGGTCTCTGCCAGCATCTAGCCCTTACTCTTTCTCTAACATCCTGTTGCAATAAGGGAAGAAATCTGGTTTCATACTGCCTTGAGTGGCTCCTAGAGGGAATTCCAAGGATGTAGAGATTCTGCCAGGAACACCCACCCACTCTCCACCAATCCCACAAAAAAAATAGCAGAAACTGATTCAGCTTAGTAAAAGAACTAAAGAATGGAGGTGAACTAGGGTAGGGTGTAAGTGGCAGTTTAAGACCTGAAGGAATGAATTCAACTAGGGCTAGTCTTGAGTCTCAGAAACTACTCAGGGAAGGGACCAAGATCAGCAAAAAATAAATTCCCCAACACAGGAAGAGGTTGACAGTGTTGTGATTTAGTATGAAAGGTAAATCCTTCATCAAAGTAGGTAGTGTCAGAAAATGAGTGACAGGGTTTCTGCATGATTCAAGAGAGAAATCAGAATTTTGCATGAAGTTAGAAGAAAACACAGAATTTATGCATAGCAGAAATAGTAAGCAGAATAGAAAAACTTGAGTTCATGGTAACAAGTCCCTCCAAAGAAGCAAAAGAGAACACAGCAGATTAGGAATACAAATATATTGAAGTGAAGGACAACATGGAAGAAGAGAAGCTAATAAATATCAGAGGTGCAATTTGAACTCAAGTCTTACCTTACTCCAAACCCAGCCACTTTTCATTATGCAACACTGCTTCTCCAATACTGTACTACTACACTGTACTACATTATACTATAACTTATTTCTTGCTATACATATACCTACTTCTTGAATGCTATAACATAAAAATGATTAAAAGAACAACAATGGAAAAATGTTATATAACAGTGTGAGGGAAACTGAGGAGCTCTTCCCCAGCCTCTCATGTAACCACCTCATGACCTGACATAAAGAATGTAAATTAGAGTTAACATGCATGGTCGAGGGTACCAAGGAGACGGAACATTAAATAACAAACAAACTATGTTACCTGGGAAAACAATTATCTCAAGAAACATTTTTCTTGAGAAGAATGTATATCTGTCCAAGGACCCGATCACTCCTTGGAGACTACACAACAAACAGGTATTTGGGGCTCTGATGAAGCTCCAACCTTTGTTGAAATGTGTGCGTGTCCTGGACCTGAGCTCACCAAGGATACGAACACAAAACAAAACACTAAGATTGTTTCTCACTGGTTTACATAGATATAAAAGGGTCATTTGAAAGGGGATTTTTTTGTAGTACTTTGATTGATGTCAGAGATAAGGACGCCAAGTCTCTGTTGTTGTCAGAGGTGGACCATCCGCATGGCCTCTATTGAGGAGTGGGACACCGCTCCTTTGCCTCCCTGATCAGACCTCTTGACCGTCTCCAGTCTCCCTGGTCCTGTAGGTATCTGAGCTTGCCTGGTCAGTGAGTGTGTATCCTTTCTTTTCTTATTCTCCCTTTTTTTGATTTTGATTATTATTGTATTGAATGTTATTCTCATCTTTATTTGTGTGTTGCCTTAATCATTATTAATCATTGTAAAATAAATGTGATAATTTGTTAAGTTTATACTGAGTGCATGTCATTGTATCTTGAGATCGGAACCTAAAGTGAAAGCACTGCGCAGTCCGTAATCCTTTCAATTACAAATAGAGATAATCAAAGTTTCTATTTGTTTGATGTGTATGTTTTATATTATCTTCTCAGTTTAGTGAGATCACTTACATTGAGTGTGTTCTGGAGATTGACCATCTTTCTCTGTTTCATCCTCATCCTCATCTTCATCTTGAGTAAACTCTTCTCTTTTATTAGGATCAAGCATGAAAATCTGAAATATGTTAAAAATTAATATTTACAATGTTATTTGACAAATCATGATTGACTGAAATGTAGGATAAGATTGAACATAAGCCAACTGCCTCCTTTTTATATTTGAGAAGTAAAAACTTAGTTAATTGATAGAGTCATATGTGGCAGGTGGTAGATTGAGAACTGGACTTGGAGTCAGTGAGTCTTAGGTTTAAGTCTTGCTTCTGACATATATTGGCTGTGTTGGCAAATCACTTAACCCCTCAATTCACCATGCAACTGTCTAAGACCATGTTTCAGAGCAGATACTCTACATTAGTAGAGGGTAGAAGGAGTTTCTTCACTGGGAATTTCCTCTATCAATGAAATCACACATCTGGTCCACATATCACATATTAGCTATATCACAGGACCTCACTGGCAGTCATCTTGTCTTGTCCCTTGATATCAAGTTGGATTCAAATATAATACTGATGAAAATATTTCTTGAAGAAACTCAACAAAACATCTGTGACAATCCCAAGTTGCATGAAAGATTAGATAAACTTTTAGTTTAGAGTTCAGAGTGCCACGTAGGTCCCCAAACTTAATTGCCAATTGTCCCCAAAGAACTCTGGTCCCCTTGGCCAGCTGAAATCTCTACTTTATTCCTGCCTCTCCTTTAGTAATTTGTAATCTGGCTTCTGCTCCTACTACTTTTTATACTGAAGCTGCTCTCTCCAAAGATCGTCAGATTATGAAATCCTACAGCTTTTCCTCAACCATCATGCACCTTAATATTCTCTCATGACTTGGCTTATGAAACCACACTCTCCTAGTGTTTTCTCTCTAACCACATCTCTCTCTCCTTTGCTGGCTCCCCTTCTTCTCTGTCCTTTTATATCGATGCTGTCAGAGTGGGGATCACGTTAGAATCTCATTCAAAGTAGTTCCTATTCATTCAGAGGAAGGTGACAAAATGTGTGACAAAATGATAAGCCAGTGCGTGAACAACACCTACAAACAAAAGACAATGTCAAGCAGAGAGTCATTAATGATAAGCCTTGATATTAAGTATACTATTTCCATGCAACAATGACAACCCAAAAGCCAATGCTAGAAATCTACAAAATACCAAGTTCAGGAAGCTAGGCAGAAAAAAACATGACTTGAGCTCTGGCGCTGGGTTTAAGGTAAAGATGTGGTTTAAGAGAACAATATGGCAGGAGTAGACAATATTTCAATTCCCTTTGAGTAAGCCGATATTGCTGATATTATTATAGGTCTGACAACGTTGAATACAATGGAAGCATTACTTCATTATCTAACATACTCATATCTCATATGTATAAATCCTACCACATCACATTTGTCCTTTTATCTATGTGCATTTGGAGGTTGAAGGGATCTTAGAGGCCACCTGGTACAGTCCCCTCATGTTATACATGTTAGGGGGAAACTAAGGCCCAGGGGGGATTATAGTGCCTAACTCAAGGCTATAAAGGGAAGAAGTATATTTCTTGCCTCAAGTCAAGTTCATTATTCATTCTGATCTAAAGATTTTTTTTTTGGTGTATTCTCACACATAGCCATCTTGTTCTTTGCTGTTTTTTTTAATAGTATTTTATTTTTTCCCCTGTTACATGTTAAGAAAATTTTTAGCATTCATTTTGACAAGATTTTAAATTCAAAAGTTTTCTCCTCCCTCCCCTCCCCTCTCTTCTGAAAATGGTAGGCAGTTTGATATAGTTTATTCATGTGCTATCATGTAAAACTTATTTCCATATTTGTCACAGGTGTGAAAGAAACAGATCAAAAGGAAAAAAAAAACCATGAGAAAGAATAAAGTAAGTGAAAAAAATATGCTTCAATTTGCATTCAGAGTCCACTAATTCTTTATCTAGATGTAGATAGCATTTTCCTTAGGGAGTCCTTTGTACTTGTCTTGGATCAGTGTGTTGTTGAGAAGAGTTAAATCATTCATAGTTGATCATCACACAACATTGTTGATACTGTGTACAGTGTTTTCCTGGTTATACTCATTTCATTTGGCATCAGTTCATGCAAGTCTTCCCAGGTTTTCTGAAACCTGCCTGTTCACTTCTTATTGCACAATAGTATTCTATTATATTCATATACCACAGCTTGTTCAGCCATTCCCCAATTGATTGGCATCCCCTCAATTTCCAATATTTTGCTACCACAAAAAGGGCTGCTATAAATATTTTTGCACATGTAGGTCCTTTTCCCTTTTTTTCTGATCTCTTTTGGATACAGACCTAGTAGTGATGTTGCTGGATCAAAGGGTATACAGTTTGGTTGCCAAATTGCTCTCCAGAATAGTTGGTTCAGTTCACAACCTCACCAACAGTGCATTAGTGTCTCAATTTTCCCACAACTTCTCCAGTATTTATCATTTTCCTTTTCTGTCATATTAGCCAATCTGATAGGAGTGAGGTGGTACTTCAGAGTTGTTTTAATTTGCATTTCTCTAATCAAAAGTGATTTAGGCCACTTCGTCATATGCCTATAGATAGCTTTGATTTCTTCATCTGAAAACTGCCTGTTCATATCCTTTGACCATTTATCAATTGGGGAATGGCTTGTATTCTCATAAATTTGACTCAGTTCTCTATATATTTGAGAAATGAGTCTTTTATCAGAGAAACTTGCTGTAAAGATTGTTTCCCAGCTTTCTGCTTGACTTCTAATCTTGGTTGGATTGGTTTTGTTTGTACAAAAGCCTTTTAATTTAATTAATTTAATTAATTAATTTAATCAAAATTATCTGTTTTATATTTTGTGATGCTCTCTATCTATTGTTTGGTCAGCAATTCTTCCTCTACCCATAGATCTGACAGGTGGACTATTCCTCGCTCTTCTAATTTGTTTATAGTGTCACCCTTTATGTCTAAATCATGCCAAAGGTCTGTTATATATGACTTCTCTAATATTCTATTTATCTCCTTAGTTACTTTCTTGTTTATTTTTTGGTTGGATTTATCAAGTTCTGAGAGGTGATGGTTGAGGTCCCCCACTAGCATAGTTTTGCTGACCATTTCCCCACATTGATGTATAATGCTTAATTTTGCTGGGTAAGTGATTCTTGGTTGTAGTCCTACCTCTTTTGTCTTCCAGAATATCATGTTCAGCTGCCAAGTCCTGTGTGATCCTGATTGTGACTCCTCAATATTTGAATTGTTTCTTTCTGGTCACTTGTATTTTTTCCTTGACCTAATAGTTCTAAAATTCGGCTATAATCTTCCTTGTAATTTTTATTTTGGGATCTGTTTCCTGAGATGAGTGGTAGATTCTTTCAATTTCTATTTTGCTCTCTGGTTCCAGTACATCAGGGCAGTTTTCCTTGATAATTTCTTGAAAGATGCTGTCTAGGTCCTCCTTTGGATTATGGCTTTCAGGTAGTCCAGTGATTCTGATATTGTCTTTCCTGGATCTATTTTCCAGGTCAGTTGTTTTCTCCATGAGGTATTTTACATTTCTTCATTCTTTTGAACTTGTTTGATTGATTCTTGATGTTTCATAGAGTCATGAGCTTCAACTTGCTCAATTCTAACTTTTAAGGTGTTATTTTCCTCAATTAGCTTTTGTACTTTGTTTTCCATTTGAAAAGTTGTACTCTTTAAGGAGCTGTTTTCTTCAGTGGATTTTTGTATCTCCTTTTCCATTTGGCCAATTCTACTTTTTAAGCAGTTTTCCAAGCTGTTGACTCTTTTTTCATAATTCCCTTATATCACTCCCATTTCTTTTCCCATTTTTCTTCTACCTCTCTTATATGATTTTTAAACCCCTTTTTGAGTTTTTCCATGAGTTCTTTCTGAGCTTGAGACCCACTTCCCTTTTGCCTTTGGGTTTTTGCCCATAGATGTTTTGACATTGTTGTTTTCTTCTAGTTTGTGTCATGGTCTTCCCTGTCATCATAATAACTTTCTATGGTCAAGATTTTTTTTTTGTTGTTGTTGTTTATTGCTCATTTTTTTTTTTGGCCTTTTTCCTTTCTTTTAAATTTGAGCTCTGCAAACGAGGTGGAAGGGGCACTGTCTCAGGCTTCTTCTGCCGGGGGCTGCAGGCCTTGGCTGTTTACTTGGTGCTGTGTTGATGTTGCCCTGAGGCCCCTGGGGGACCCTTGTGTCTGGTGCTATGCTGAGGGGGTGGGGTGGGGATTGGTTGGCACTGCTGGAGGCTGTAGGGATCTGGCAGCTTACAGGGTGCTGAGCTGGGGTCCTAGTGGTGGTGTCTGGCATGTGCTGAGGCCCAGTGGGTGTTTCTGTGTTTCCCTGGGGCTATCCTGAAGCACATGGAAGTCTAACCACTGGAGGATTCCTGTTTTCCCTGGGATGTGCTGAAGCATGTGGTAGTCCTTGGAGTTGGAATCTGCCAGTTCCCCTGGCTATGCTAAGGCATGTAGGGGTTCCTGGTGTTGGCATTTGCCTGCTCTACCTCACTGGGGTTCAGGATTTCCTGCTGGTTTGCTGGGATGCATCTTGTCCTGGAACGCACTCCCTTTTACCTGAGTGACACAGACCTTCCTTGTTGATCTCCTAAGTGTCTTGGGCTAAACTATTGTTTCATTCCATCTTTTTGCTGGTTTTGCTGTTCTAGGATTTGTTTTGGGGCATAATTTTATGGTTGTTTGGAGGTGAATATGGGAAAGCTACAGCAATTTACAGCTTACTCTGACATCTTGGCTCCTCCATTTTGCTTTTTGTACTGCATTTTTTCCTATGTGTGTTTTAACTTGTCCTTATTATACTTTATTTTGTGAGCATCTGGACTTTATGGGCACATCTTTATTAAATTTCTTTTATTATATTTTCCTTTTCTTTTGTGTTAATGGCATTTTAAAATGGAACTTTTTCTTTGGGAGGAGGGGAGATTAGCCAATAAACATTTACTAAGGGCTTACTATGTGCCAGAAACTGTGCTAAGTACTGGGGATAAAAAAAAAAAAAAAACAACCAAAAAAGTACAGCCCCTGCCTTCAAGGAGTTTTCAGTCTAATGGGGGAGAAAATATGCAAATAACTATGTACAGATAAGATATATATGTATATGTGCATGTGTACATATATGTTTGTATGTATGTGTATATACATACATACATACATACATATATATATATATATATATATGTATGTATATATGATAATCTCAGACAGGGAGAGGGAAGAGAGGAGAGAAGCCAGGAAAGGTTTCCTCCAGAAGGTTTGCTGAATTTTGAAGGAAGCCAGGAAATCTTGGAGTTGGAGGTGAGAAGGGAGATCATTCCAAGCCTAAGGAACAGTCAGTGGAAATGGGCAGTGCTAATAAATAATATGAAATGATGCTGTACTTGGTTCCATGGTTATCGTCAGCCAAACTCCCATTAGTCATATCTGATTCTGCCTCTTCTGTCATTCCCACATTCAATCAATTGACAAGTCTCATCAATTCTAATTGTGCAATATTTTTTAACTCCACTTTTCTCCTTTCTACTCACAATGAAACCACTCTAGTTTAGGTCTTAATTATGTTGGCTGTTCAACTATAAGCTGCCTAAATGATCTCAATCTGCCCTTCATACCCTGGCCTGAATAATCTTCCAATCTCACTGCTCTGATCGTGATTTCATGTTACTCCTCCACTCAAAAGCTTTTCATGGCTCCCCATTGTCTCTTCGACTTTTTAAAATTTATTTTATTTTATTTTATTTTGTTTTGTTTTATTTTATTTTTTTGACTAGGCAATGGGGTTAAGTGACTTGCCCAGGGTCACACAGCTAGTAAGTGTTAGGTGTCTGAGGTTGGATCTGAATTCAGGTCCTCCTGAATCCAGGGCTGGTGCTCTATCCACTATGCCACCTAACTGCGCCTACCCATTGTCTCTTAAATAAAGTATAAATGTCTGAATCTGACATTCAGGATCTTGTCTCCATCCTATCTCTCTAGCTTTATGTAACAGGATTCTATTTTACATATTCTAAACTCCAGCAAAAGTGAATTTCTCTTTCTTTCTCATTCTTATTCAAAATTGTTTTTATCTCTGTGTTTGCTCACACTGTCCCTGATGCTTAGAATGTCCTCTATTTAACTGCAGCCTGCCTGCCTCAGCAATCTCCATCTTCTGAAATCCATTCTTTCAAAGTTCAGTTCTTGAGGTGTTTTCTGTGAAGCCTTCCTCAACTTCACCTCCTCCAGATGAAAATGATTCCTCCCTTTTTTTTCCAAATTTCTCATTACTTTGTGCCTAGCTTCTTTACATTTATCACGTTTTTTTTTTCTTTTGTTCAGTCATTTTTCAGTCCTGTCTGACTCTTCATGACTCCATTTGGTGTTTTCTTGACAGAGATGCTGGAGTGGCTTGCTATTTGCTTCTCCAGCTCATTTTCCAGATGAAGAAACTGAGGCAAACAGAGTTAAGTGACTTGCTCAGTGTCATACAGGTAGTTAAGTGTCTGAGGCCAGATTTGAACTCAGGGAGATGAATCTTCCTGGCTCCAGGCCTAGTACTCTATTGTGTCACCTAGCTGCCCCACATTTATCATACTGTCCCTTTTATTACTGTGTGTTTTTTTTGGCATACATATCATTTCCTTATAGTAGATTAAGACTATGTTCTGTGTCACAACTATTTTTGTATCCCTAGCACCTTGAATGTAGATGGAACTTGATACATTTTTATTGAATTGAATTGAATAGGTCCTCATCATATAAGCTTCAAATAAGTTATTTATATCAATCAAATTAAGTCCAGGCATTAGTATAAAAATTATACTGCACTTACACCAGAGAAATCTGAAATGTGTAAATTTGCTTCAGTCTCTATATCCTTCTTTGTTTTCTTTTTAGTGCCATAATGTACAAATTTTCTCACTGATGATGACAATAATCCATCAGACCATTCCATACTGTTCAGATCCATTTGGCCATAGAGTTCACCAAGAGTAATGCACTTTGGATTTAAAGTGAAAATCTCTATTTTCCCTCTTTTTCCTGTGACCTATAACAAACCAATATTTGTTTTAGAAAATCAATGAATACATAGACATAGAAGAAGTTATAATTTGTTTATTTCTATTGCAATTAACATTTGTTGGCAAAATGGACAGTATAGACTTTGGGCCTAAGTTCAAAACACAATTCTTCATAAAGAGTAGACCCTAGAGGATACCACTAGTACAGCTGGAAGATAAATTAAAAACCACATGCTTACTAAAACTAATTAGAGTATACAATATAAGAACATTTTGGAAATTCCCTAAATAATCTTCCACAAAAAAAAGAACAAAACCATGAACAGAAAAAAACACACATAATATATTCTTTTCTAATACAATTTGTCTGTATAAATATTATCCAAGGAGCCCCTGAATTATGAACCAAAGACAATAAGTGTCCTAAAATAATCCTCCTAAAAATATCTTGTCTTCTTTTCCACAAGGACTTTCCTAGTGGCATATCAACTATATAACACTGACATTAACCCTGCTGTACCACACATCCTTCTCACCTCTATTTTCAGTAATCTCCATGTTTCTCTACTGTATTTTCATCACTTGAAGTTGAAGAGATTGCAATATTTTTGAAACGGAACAAGTAAACCCACCTGACATAATGGTATTTTGAAGTCATTTTCTCCAACCTAACAACTTGCAGACACCCTGTATAATACTGTGAGACCAAGAACCCTACATCATTACTTTTGTTTATTAAAAAAAAAAGATTTATATCTTTTGACCTTTGATCCTTACAATGACCCTGCATGCTAGGTATTACAAAAGTTTTATTTCCATTTTACAGATGAGAAAACTGAGGTTCAGAGAGGTAAGTGACTTGCTTAGGATATATCAGATAGTGTCAGAAGCAGGATTTGAACCCAGATCTCTCTTGACTCCTAATAACACTTCCTCCACTACACTGGACTACCTCACAAACTCAAACATGCATCCTTGACCCAATTTTATCGTGCTCATTGAAACCTCTTATTCAAACCCCAAAAGCTTCCTTCAATTTTATTACCAAATTGTCATTCTTCTCCAATGCTTAAATAAAACTGAATCTTGTTTACTTGTTTACTGTCAACTTAGATAAAGGAAACTTCCTTCTCACATACTGAGTTTCCTTTTGACATCATCTGTCTAGAAGCCAATTATTCATAAAGTCTTGGGAAAAAAAACCCAACAACTTCTAAAATGAATTAACTAACAATTTCTGTCCTGTGGGAGGTTGAATATAAGATAAACAACATTATAAACAGATTAAAAAGATGATATTAAAAAATCAAAAAGAACATTATTTAAGTTCAGAGGAAAGCCAAGCTACACGGTGAATACATGCTTGAGAAAATGCTATATAACCTGAAATTGGGAAACTGAACCATGAGTCTATTATGGAAAACTGAGGCATGGGAACCTGCAACCAAAATGTGATCATGCTAATTCATTAAAAATAATGCTTAATGACAAAATATTATACAGAATTAACAACTTTATTAAAACACATACTAAAAAATTATAGCTTGATGTAAATGTACACACATACACACACAACTGATAAACAATTGTACTTACAAATTCAATGCCAATAATTCACCGATGCATTGGATTACTTGGATTTTCCTTGTGGGAAGTACTGGGCAGTGGCTAAAGAGTTAGCCTGAGACTTGACAAAGGTCATATTCCTGTATTCCTATAAGGTAGGGGCATTCATGCATCTCAACCTTTTTATCTTTTTAATAGGGTGCTAAAAATATTTTCCTTGCCTAAAATATTTCTTTTGTATGTCTGAGAGGCAGGAAAGGATATGGGAAAGAGGTATAACAAAAAACTACTTAATCTACCTTATAGACAGATGTCCAATACAACAAATTGGAAGCTTCTTCCTATGGAAAATGGGGACATGAAGTACAGAGTGCTATGGCGCCCATCTACCCCATTGTCCCAAAGTGGTAAGCATGGAGTTATAGGGCAGGATGAAAGGGCTACTGAGGGTTGTGGTTCTTTCTCCATCTTCCTCATCTGCTTGATAAGCCCTTTTCTTCTCACTTCTCATCTGTTTCAGGGAGTTAGTACCTATGAAGACTTCCAATAGATCAGCCCAGAATGAGCCATGGTTAACACTTGTGAGTAGAGCCTTGTTTTTGATCATGGCTTACATGGAAGGTTGGGGACACTATGAAGCCAGGAATGAATACTGACAGAAAGAGAGAAGGCATCTAGGCTGGCCCTTATGTCTCACCACTTCCCTACCATGACCAGCTGATTCATGCCACCTTCTACTGGTAAGTTCTTCCCAGAACCTCCATTTTTAAAAAGAGCTCAGACCAACTACCCTTCTTTCTCTGGCCTTTGCCACCATGCCTTCCACCTTATGTCCCTTTACAGTTTTCTTTCATGCGTTATTTTCCCTCTTCAAAATGTATGCTCCTTGAGGGCAGGGATTTAATTTTTTCCTATATTAGTACTTAGCACAATGCCTGGAACTAACAAATGCTTCTTGACTTGGTTTCACTTCTCCAAGAGACCAGACAGAATCAATGAATTGGAGAATTTTAGAACTGCAAGGGATCTCCACAACCATCTATCACAACACCTTGGTTTTACAGATACAGAACAGGCAAACAGAAAAAAACGTTCAGTTAGTTATGAGTAGCAGCTGTGCTTTGAAGAGAGGAGAGGAGATGTTGCCTAAAGTCTAACTGAATTTTGATAGGCGAAGAGGAAGAAAGAGAAATGAGATGTCTGACATAACCAAATAGAGGTGAAGCTAAGGAGCTTTGAGTTGAAACATTGGTTATATGATACAAAATATATGCACATCACTCAGGATAATTGGGGGGGGCATCTGATTGGATATGAATTAAGGAAGTTGTGCATGCTAAACTCTTAAGGGAATCCTATTAAATATTTCATGTATTGGTACTCTTACCTGTGGAGTCCCTTCCTGTTTTGCAGGTCTAGATGTGCTTAAAGTTGGTAAAACAATTAAAGCTTTTTCTAAAATTTTTCTTATTGTAGTCTTCCCTCCTCCTGTGGGGCCTACTAACATCACACCAATACAAGCCTAAAAATCAAATTGCAAAGATTAGCGCCTTCCTAAAATGTGAAAGTCCCATTTTACTTATATCCCTTCAACATAATAAATATTTTCTCAATGTAAATGCTAATGATTAAAACCAAGTACTTTCTGAGCAGACGAGTTTCTTCAAGTAAAGCATTTAAATAACACCTTGGGAAAATATATATGTAATCACAGTCTCAATAAAATTCTAAATCATTGGGAAAAATGGTCAAAAAGTGATTAACTATGGAAAGGAATAGATTCCTATTTAAGTTCCTGATTCTATGACTGTTTCCAGAATTAGTCATACCACAAACATTTATTCAAGCACGCTATGTACAACGCACTATGATGAACTCTAGAGAAGATTAAAATATAAATAAGACAAGTTTCACGTGAAATGAAATGAAAAATCACTTATTAAGCCATTAACAAGGATTAAGTCTTTGTACCAGGCGCTGTGCTAAGTATTGGCAAAACAAATACAAGCAAGCAGCATTAAAAAATAGCAAAAGTAACTCCATTTTGCCCTTTATCTACGATTTTGTGAAGTTAATTCTCAATTTCATGTAAGTCACCTGATTCTGGAGAAGTTACAAGATTACTCCCTTTCCCAACTATCTTCTGACTTAAGGAATGTCACATAACTACCCTTCTCCCTCTCACCTCAGTTTCTCTTGATCGCCCCCAGGTGGAAACCAGGTGTCTCAATCCCTACCTCCTGTTTTTTACTCCCTCCAAACTGGTTCCTACACAATTAATAAACCGTTTGGTGGAGTGAAAAACCGAGAGTCTTGGGGCCCTATTTGTTTCTGAAACAGCAAAGCTAAATAAATAGTTGTCTGGATGTAACGACTTGGTATTTTTATTCCACCATAACACTTGTTTATATTCTAATAGGAAATTACACACACACACACACACACACACACACACACAAACACACACATATGAGAGCTAGAGTTATTGGTATGACTTGGGAATGAAAGGAAAGCAGGTATGGTAGAACCAGGATTATTTAGGAAAAGGAGAAAGCCTATAAATTAGAGCTCAGGGATAGGAGGCTAAGTGTCAAGGGGAGGAGGGTGAGGAAGGGGCCAAGAAAGGAGGTATGGCTTGAATATGGATTATCAAAAAAACAAAAAACAAAAACAAAACCAAACCAAACAAAAACCTCAAAACCAAGCAACCAACCAAACAAAACAAAATAAAAAAGCTCTCAGGATACTATAGTGTCCATCTCTTTCCAGACATGTTCTTACTACGAGATGATGCACATATTCTTATCTTTGACATTGTTGAATGGTTTTCTTTCAAGGCATTTTCAATCACAGAACTGAACTGGGCAAATATATCCATAACCCAAGTTTTATATGGTAGTTAAGAAGTTGTAAAGCCAGCACAAGCACACCTTACCCAGCAATACCCATTTCAACTCTTTTGATTCCCGTAACCCTGTTCAACATGCTGAATAAAGCAGGATTGAGCAAAAACTGATTCAAGTATAAGGACATAAAATCTGATAATATATCTGATGACTTAAAGAAAATTTCCATTCCCTTCCAACCCGTGCTTAATAGAAGACGTGACAGCATCCTACAGATCATAAAAGACTAGGGAAAAGAGGAAGAAAAAAATGAAGAATTGTAGCCACTGCTAAAAGATGAGAAGCTGGAATTCAGAGGGAGAAGAACTCTACAAAAATGTACTATAAGAACTTTAATTAATGCTTAGTACTTTTACATGACAAGAGAAGTCCCTTTGTGGTCAGGATCTCTGGGCTGTGGACTTTTTCTGGAGTGAGCAAAAGGATGATACTGGCAAGGGCTGGATGAGATAATGCCTGCATGCACCATAAGGAAGGTACTTACATATAAGAAGACTAATACGGCCTCTGGGTGGTAGAGTTAAGTTATGAACAATCCTGTCCCTGGGACTAAGCTGAGTTACCAGTGGGACAACACGAGGTTGTAGATGTCTTGTGAAAGTTTCATGTAAATCAACAGTGGCTTATTAAGCATCTTCAACATGTTTAGCAGGCATTCTGTGGGATCTAAACAAAGTATAAGCCACATCTCTTTCCTTAAAGGATAACGTTAGCTAGGGAGATAAAATGAAACTGCATAAAACAAGAGAAACAATAAGATGCTAAACTGCCCAGATACTTAACTATATGTACGATAGGGCTTCAACAAAGAGAAGAACATAGTGTATGGACTGAGTTACTTGGAAAAGTTTTCATCAGAGCAAATAGTGCTTAGCATTTAAAAAGATGAATAGAAGGTGTTCTGGGTTGAGGGAAGGGATGAAGCAAAAATTTGGAAACGTGCATAGTGTGTGGAAAATAGCAGGGACTAGACGCTAGTCTAAGGTAAAGGTGCCTATTTAAAGTAGAAGGTGCCTTTGGAGGTCCTTAAACTGAAGACAACATAAAACTCCTTGAGCACAGGGTTTGTTTCATTTCTTTCTTTGAAAACTCACTGCCTAGAACAATGTGTGCTACATTTTGGCCTCCTTTATAAACAACAAAGGCAGTGTGATAGACCCCAAAAAAGAAAGACCATCTAAGCACGGCAAGTGGTTTCTTACCAGATAGACCATAATTTGCAATTCCAATTGGTTTTTATCTCCTATGTCAATTAAAAAAATGTTAAGTTTAATAATTTTAATTTTAATTATTAGATTAAATATTTTAAAAATTAATAGATATTTGTAGATTGATTGAGAGGCACGTAGTATCAGGAAGTATGACTGAAGTTTCTAAATGGAATAAAAAAGTAAAAACTAGAGGTGTATTTAGGGGGCAGTAGGAAGAAGAGGAATTGAGAGTAAAGAAGGAAAAGGAGCATGAAGTATAGGAAGTAGTAACTAAGAGATGAGGATAAGCAGGATAACGTGATGGAAAGGACAGCGGTGAAGATTTTCAAGAGGGATTTGGTAGTAAGCAATAAAATGCTGCAGAGCTCATAGTGAATGAGGACTCAGAAATGGTCACTGGATTGAATGATTGGGAGATAATGAGAGGACCTCTGAGAATGAACATTTCTGCAGAGTGGTGAAAGGAGAAGCTGTAGGCACAGAAGGCTTAAGTAGATGGGGAAGCTAGGTGGCACAGAGGATATAGTGCTGGCTCTGAAGCAGGAAGAGGAACTTGACACTAACTAGCTGTGGGACCCTGGGCAAGTCACTTAACCCTGTTTGCCTCAGTTTCTTCATCTGTAAAATGAGTTGGAGAAAGAAAGGGCAAACCACTCCAGTATCTTTGCCAAGAAAACCCCAAATGGGGTCATGAAGAATCTGACACAACTGAAAAATGACTAAACCACAAAGGAAATACAGGTAGCAGAGAGGAAACATTTATATGAGAAGTGAATGAGAGGAAGGGGAGAAATTTGATGGTGCCTGAAGGGATTTGTGGGTTTGTGGGCAAAAGAGAAGGAGTTGAGGATTTAGTGAAGGATTAGATGGAAGGGGGTAGAGGAAAAGGAAGAGTCAGTGTCTCTAAGATATCTTGGCTGTGAGACTGGAAGGAAGGTGGTACTACAAAAATAATGTTTTTTTTCATTTGAGAACTGCTGATTCATTTTTTTGACCAGTTATTTATTGGGGAATGGTTCTTCTTTGTATACTGAAATTGTTTGTGTTAATGACTGATGATTTAGATTCACAATAAATTGAAGTTTCTTTTAAAAAAATAAAGTAATGGGAAAACTAGAATTTGGGATAGTAGTAGAGATGATTTGTTTTAGATAAGTTGGTTTTGACATGGTGATGACATATTTAAATAGAAATATCCTGTTGACAGCTGTGAATAGAAGACTGTATTATATGTAAGAAATCAGGAATAAAGAATATATATGTTTAGCAATCAGTCATAGGACATAGGGACACCAAACCTTAGAGCTGGAAGTGAACTTAGAAGCCCTCTAATCCAGCCCTTTAATTTATAGGTGACGACATTTAAAGATCAAACTCCTAACATTTAAGACCCGATACCATTTGGCTCCTCTCTCCTCTTCCAGTCTTTCTTCTAAGTTATTGATGTTATAGCAAAATCAGATGACTCACTTTCCCTCAAACATCCACTAGATTTTCCCAGCCTCATATCTTTGCTCAAATGAGGCCTTGTGACTGTTATACAACCTCTATACTCATGAATTCCTTCTCTTCCTTCTCTACAGTAACTTTTGAAAAACTTTTTCTTTTCTCTTCAAGTCTCTAATGGCACCTTATTATAACAGGTGATAACCTCCTACCCCAGTTTCCTCAGCTCACCACCTCCATTCTTAACATTTCTCAGCATAAGGACTTATTCTTCCCTTTTTTTCTGGTCATCAATGAAGAAGGATCCCTATTTTTCAATAAGCCTAATCCCAAGGTAGGTACACATGATCCCTCTTCTTCAATCCTCCTCCAGGACCTTGTTCCTTCTCTATTGTGAATATTCAATCTCTGTCTCTCTCTCTCTCCTCACTGGTCCCTTCCTATCTCCATACAAACATGCTTAGGTCTCTTCAGTCCTAACAAAACAAAACAAAACCCAAACAAATATCCTCTTCATCCATGATCTATCTCCCTATCTCTTTTCTCTTATTTAGCGCTAAGATTTTTTAAATAGTCTATATTTGATGCCTGCACTCTTAACACTAGTCATTTTCCTCTACTTCTTGTAATATTCTTTACACTCTCACCATCTTTATATCCATATACATATGGATACATACATCCATAGGAATATTATAATCATTAAGGTTATTAATAAATATTTGTATATTGATTGATTAAGAACTATATGATAATATCAGTATTTAGGACATCTGGTTGCAGTGTTCTGAAGGTATTAAAGGGAGAGACTGGAGGTAAAAAGGACAGCCAAAATTCTTGTTGTTGTTAAGTCATTTTTTAGTTGTATCTGATTCTCCAAGACCCCATTTGGGACTTTCTTGGCAGAGATACTAGAGTGGTTTGCCATTTCCTTCTCTAGCGCATTTTACAAATGAGGAACTGAGGCAAACAGTGTTAAGTCATATGCCCAGGATCACGCAGCTAGTAAATGTCTGAGGCTGGATTTGAACTCAGGAGGATGAGTCTTCCTGACTCCAGGCCTAGAACTCTATCCACTGCACCACCTAGCTGCCCAGTCAAAACTTAGGTGGCACCAAAAGGAAGGGGAGCTCAGTTTTAGCTAATCTTTTGATGAACTATCTCATGCTATTCTTGTGGAGAAGGTGGAGAGATATGAATCAGATGACAATATAATTAGATGGATTCAAAATTGGCTGGATGGCCTAACTCAAAGAGTAGTTGTTAACAGTTCAGCATCAGTGTGGAAGGGCTCTGGTGGAGTACCCTAGGGAACCATGCTTGGTCTTGTTCTGTTTAATGACTTGAATAGAATCAGAGAGGTAATGCTCATCAGATTTGGAGATGACATAGAGTTGGGAAGGATTGCTAATATTCTGGATGACAGTCAGGATCCAAAATGATAATGAAAGGCTAGAACAGTGGGCTGAACCTAGTAAGAGGAAATGCAGTAAGGACAATGTCAAGTCCTGTACTGGCTGGGGTATCAAAAATCATTCATAAGTGTAAGGCTGAGGCATTGGGGATAGACATCAATTGTTCTGAAGAAGATTTGAAGATTTTATTGGACACCAATCCCAACATGAGTCAATGGCAGCTGAAATAGTTAATGTGAACTTAGATTGCATTAAAAGGGGTACAGTTTCTAGAAATAGGGAAGTGATAGTTTCACTTTACTCTGCCCTCATCAAACCTCATCTGGAATACTGTATTCAGTTCTGGGCACTGTGGCATAAGAACAGTATTAATAAAAAGAGTGTCCAGAGATTAGTGACCAGGATGGTGAATCGAAACACATAAGGATCAGTTGAAGGAACCATACATGCTTAGTCTGGAGAAAAGGGGATTCGGGGGGACATAATGGACATCTTTAGGTATTTTAAGGATTGTCTTGAGAAGGACAGAGGAGTCCTGTTCTGTCTAACCCCAGAAATCAGAACCAGAAACAATTAGTGGAAACAGCAAAGAAAACGATTTAGGATTGCTGTCAGGAAAAAAACAAACAAACAAAACAAAACAAACAAACAAACAAAAAAAAAAGCCCCACCTCCTAACAGAATTATTCCAAAGTACAATAGACTGACTTGAGAGGTGATCCATTCTCCTGCTTTGGAGGCCTTTGAGCAGAAATTAGATGATAATTGACAGTTATGTTAACACTGGATTCTTTTCATCATATGAGCTGCATTGGATAACCACTGAGGCTCCTTTCAACTCTCAAAAATCTGAGATTCTGTGATTTTTATGAAATTTTAATCTTTAATTTTGATCTCTCTACTGAACTCTGGACCAGACAGAGGACAGAATATTCACAGAAGAACAGAGAAAACTCTGGAGATCAGTGACAAGGGAAAAACAAAGTTGGCAAATTTGCTTGCGCACTAAGTTGTCTTTACTCTCCTATTCTTGCAATGCGTGCGTGAATCGTGTATTTGCTAAATAATTAAAGCTTCGCTCTACTTTCCCACAATGGGGACAGAAAGCTTAGCAACCAGAAAATACAAGGACATATGTGGAAATTAATAACAAGGAAAAAATAAAGCAAGTAGATTTAATTAGAAAGTTGGATTTCTGCTTGCATATCAATTTCTGCCTGGTTTTGTATATGTAAGGCATAGTGGAAATATGTGAATATTAATTAAATTCAGCTAAGCAAGATTGTACAATGCTATCATCAAAAAAGGTAGGAAAACTGCCCCTCAATAAATTAACCTCAGGATCCTCCAGTGACTAAAACTTCAGCACAATGAACCCACTTGAAATAGTGGTGGGGTGAGGTGGTGATTTTTTTTTTTTTTTTTTAGCAACAAGCCTTTGGACAGAGACAATACTTCTGGAAAAGCAGCTGTGTTAGATTTTGCTCTCTCTTTCTTGAGATACCTATGTTCCTTGTGAAGGAGTTATCAATCAATCACTTAAGTTTGAACTAGCATTTTACCTATCAGCCTTTTTTTTAAAAACTGATATAGCTTTTAGAATCTAAGACAACGGATTGCTAAAATATAATTCTACATTTACCTGGACTTGATTATAAAACTCTATAACCTTCTTTTTCTGAGATGGCCAAGGCTGTAAGCCCAGTTGTTGGGTTGCCATGTCTATTGCTTTCTAGAGGAAAAGAGAAAACCACAATAAATAGATTTTTTTTTAAAAACTGCAATATTATCTTAGGTTCTTATCTGAATATCCTCAAAAATCTCTCTTAATTACCAGTTACTAGACTTTAAGTTATCTTTAACCATCCACTGTTAAAAAATACCACTGGAGGGGCAGCTAGATGGAGCAGTGGATAGAACACAGGCCCTGAAGTCAGGAGGACATGAGTTCAAATCTGGCCTCAGACCAAACACTTGTCGCTTACTAGCTGTGTGACCCTGGGCAAGTCACTTAACCCCAATTACCTAAAAAACAAAACAAAAAAAAAAACTTCTTAAAAAAATACCACTGGATACTTTTCAAAAATTCTATAAATATTTATTAAGCACTTACTATAAGCAAGGTTTTGCACTGGAAATAAAAAGGCAGAATGAAAAATGGCTCCTGACCACAAGGAGCTTATATTCTTCTTCATGAGAAGAATATGGAACATTACAAAAGTTTGTGTTTTGCATATGAATATAGTTGTAGCTACTGTTAAGAGAGATTTGCAATCTTGTAACATATTGCTTCAACAGGAAAACACTAAAACAATCCAGACAGTGCAAGGAATATGTTTTAATAAGAGGCCATTGTATAGTTAATTAAAAAAAAAAACGCCACAAATATTTTACAAGGAAAGGGAGTCTCTGGAGATCATCTGGTCTAATTCCCTCATTTTACACATGAGGAAACTGAAGTCTAGGAGGTTAAGAGACTTGCCCAAAGTCACATAAGCAATGAAGAAGAGTCAGGATTTGAACTGAGTTCCTTTGACTCCAAATGCGGTGCTCTAAGTGTTAGATCTGGGGGATTCAGATACTAGTCTCTCGACTGTAACACCAGCATCTTTCCTTTATACCTGGATGAGAATGGATATTCTGGATGAGAACACTAAGGCAAAAAGAAATTAAATGACTTTCCTAAGGTGGCAAAGCCAGTGGCAGAGTCAGAACTTCTGATTCACAGCTTTTGTATTTGATTCAGTTTGTGAATGCTTATTTTTTCATGAATGTTTATTCATGAAGTGCTTTCTCTTTGGAGACACCGTGCTAGAGGATACAAAGAATAATAAATCCTCTGTGATTTCTGACATTGGTGGTCTCAGTGTGAATCTGATGCCCTTGACAGAGGCACCCTTGAGAGAGAAGGGAAGGGTTCAAAAGGGAATCCCAAAGCACAAGCTTGTTTTTTTTTAACTTTTATTTTATATTTAATTAACAAACATTTAGTTTCTCTCCTTGCCACTCACTTCCTCTTCCTTACCTTTATTATCAACTGGGGGAAAAAAATCAAATTCTTGTAACAAATATGAATAGTCAAACAAAATATTTTGGCCATGGTCAAAAATATATGCCTTATTCTGCACCCTAAGTCTACCACTTCTCTATCAAGAAGGGGGTAGTGTGCTTCTACATAGGTTTTTGGGAAACATGGTTGGTCATTGAATAGATCAAGAATTCTTAAATATTTCAAAGTTCTTAGTCTTTACAATGTTCTTATTGTATAAATTGTTCTCCTAGGTCTGTTCATTTCACTCTGCCTCAGTTTATATAAGTCTTCCCAAGTTTCTCTGAAACTTCCTTTTTTCCTTTCTTATGGCATTATTTTGTTCATATGACATAATTTGTTCATCCATTCACCAACTGATGGACACCTCCTTAGTTTCCAGTTCTTGGTCACCATCAAAAGAACTGCTGAAAATATTATTTTGTATATGTGAGTCCTTTCCCTTACTCTTTGACTGAGTCAAAAGGCACGCACATTTTATTGAATTTTAGGGCCTAGTTATAAATTGCTTTTTAGAATGGTTGGACCACTTTACAACTCTACCACAGTGAACTAGTGTACATGTTTTTCCACAGTCACTCCAACATTTGTTATTTTCCTCTTTTGCCATCTTGGCCAATCTGATGATATAAGATGGAACATGAAAACATGTGTACATTTCTCTATTAATGAGATGAAGTATTTTTTTTTCATATATCTGTTCATAGGTTGGGTTTTTTCTTCGGAAACTTCTTGTTCGTGTCCTTTGATTATCAATTGGGGAAAGGTTCTTATTCTTATAAATCTGCATCATTTCCATATATATGTGTGTGTGTGTAATATATATATATGTATGTATGTATGTATGTACATATATATAAATAAATGAGACCTTTTACCTGAAAAACTTGGGGCAACAATTTTTCCCAGTTAACTGTTTCTCTTATAATTTGAATTGTATCTGTTTTGCTTGTACAACAACTCCTTTAATTTTGTATGTAGTCAAATTATCAATTTTATCCTCTATGATGCTCTCTATGCTTTATTTTATAGGACAGCTAGATGGCATAGTGGATAGAGTGCCGGGCCTGGAGTCAGGAAAACTCATCTTCCTGAGTTCAGATCTGGCCTCAGACACTTATTAACTGTGTGATCATGGGCAAGTCACTTAACCTTATTTGCCTCGGTTTCCTCATCTGTAAAATTAGCTGGAGAAGGAAATGGTAAACCACTCTAATCTCTTTGCCAAGAAAACTTTAAATGGGGTCGCAAAGAGTCAGACATGACTGAATAACAACATTATCATTAACTCTTCCCTTAACAATAAATTTCAAAGGTAAGTTTAAAGACTTCAAAGAATCTTATAATGCAGTTGTTACTGCCCACCTCTTTGATATATTCTGTGCCTAAGATTAAATCAGCTATTAGCATAGTCCAATGCACAAAGATTCACTCAGAAGTATACACAACATAAAGCAACCCAATTATAAACATACAGGGAAAACCACCCTGGTAACCAGAGAGCTCTAAGCTATTCTCATCTGTCTCAAAGAGGTCTTCCCTGGTTATCTTGTTATTTTTTTCCTTATGAATATATAATTCAACTACCATAGTATTATGGCCTAGTATAATAATAGCTAGAAAGCCTGAACTCCCCCTCCTTTTATCTGTTGTCTACAGGCAATCTCAGTGTAAGTCGGATGTGCCAACTTTGCAAAAAGCAGCACCACACTGATTCAGCCCAGACCAAAAAGAAAAAGAGAGAAGAATGAGAACTGAGGGAGGAAGTAGGGTAGATTGACCAGCATGAGTAGCTGCTGTGCAGACCTGAAGAAAAAGGGACTGAAACCCAGCTGGTGCCACTCCTGGCCCTCAGCTCAAGGTATGGACTCAGGCTCGTGAAACCTGAATTCCCCGATGTGGGAGGAGGCTGAGGTAGCTTTGCAGCCCAGACCTCGGAGTTGTATTCACTAGAAAAGAGGGGAGGAAGCTTTCCTCTCTCCCCTCCTCAACTCTACTCCTTCTTTCATGCAAAGCAGATGATGGAAAATAGATTTTGGCTGTCTCTAACATATCCCTATCCCCAGCTTGCCCCACTAGATGCTTTGAGGAACTTCCCTTGAGAAGTCTAGAACTCTCTTGCTTGGTTAAACTGAGTTACTTTGCTCTCAGTGGGAGAGCTCCTTCACTCTGTCTTGTGTCGTATGTATTCTCAGAAAGACTTGAGTTTGAATCCTGTCTCAGACACTTACTAGCTGTGTGACCTTGGGCAAGTCACTTAACCTCAGCTTGCCTCAGTTTCCTCATCTTTAAAATGAGGAAAATAATAGCATCTACGTTACGTAGTTGTTGTGAGGACCAAACGAGATGACATATGTACAGTACTTCACAAACGTCAATGTGCTGCATAAACACTAGCTATTATTGTTATTCTTCAGTTTATTCTCTTTTTCAGATATCTTGAAAATCAGTTTCTCAACATTCTCAAAATTGTGTCTCTCCCAGATATAGATCTCTGTTATGTAAACTTCATCTGGTCCAGTTGCCTTCTACATTTTCTATAGTGCCATTTCTGTTTGCTCACGCACTACATGATTCTGAGATATTAGAGTCCAAAAATGGAGGCCCCATTGTCATTGAAGGGAAGGGAGGAAATAAGCATTTATATAATGCCTACTATGCGCCAGGCACTGTGCTAAGTGCTTTTTACAAATACTATCTCATTTGATCCTTAAGAGGTAGGTGTTATGATTATCCCATTTTACAATTGAGGAAATTGAGGTAAATGGAGGTTAACTAACTTGCCCAGGGTCACACAGCTAGTATCTGTCTGAGACTAGATTTGAACTCAGATCCTCCTGACTTCTGGTTCAGGGTTCTATCCACAATACCACTTAGCTGCCTCATCGAAGAAGAAAGTTATTTGATATAGAAATATTGCTAGAACCTTTTCATTTTTTTTCTGTTGGTTGTCTGCCTTCTAAGTCAGTGATAAAAAAGCTGTATCTTTAAATTTATATGTACCTCCAAGTTAGGCTGCTTCACATCTGGAACTGTAACTTTGGGGAAGATATCTCCCAGAATGCTTTCAAAAAGTGGAACATCTTCAGGAAGAAACTTGGGTAAACTAGCTTCTCTCACTGCCCATATAATGACCAGAACTTCTTCATCTTCAGAAAGCTCTTCATTGGTGTTCCTTTAATAGTGGGGAGTGGGGTGGAGGTGGGGTGAGAGGGAGGAAGGAAGGGCATTAACTTGGAGCAAACAATTGGATATTCTTTGCTAAGACAATATACCATCAATATTATTGCTTCGTATTTTACACAACATATTGTATGTTGCACAATATATACTACATTTCTTATGTTCTACTAAATGCTTTTCCGTGGTTCTTTAATTCTAAACTGGTGTATACTAAAATGGAATGGCAAAGACCTTCACATTGAGGTGACTTGAATAGGATTTCACATTGTGAATATCAGGAGCTAAGTTATTGTTGATGGGCAGCCTAAAAATTGTTTGGGTCTAAGGCAGGTTCCCTACCCTGGAAGCACTCTCGACCTCTTCTTTGACTCTGCTGCTGTCATTGTAGAGGCTGTTCAGGAGTGAGGTCCATTTTTTATTTTTCTCTGCTTCAAGGATTGTGATGGCCCAATAATTTGCCACCAAGTGGCAGCGTCTGGTTGTTGAAACTCTGGGTTGCAATCTGCATTTGTGGAGGCAGTTTCCATACCAGAAATTTCCTAATATAAACAAATCCCCAATCCTCTGCACATTTGCATATCTTCTGGTGTGTGTGTGTGTGTGTGTGTGTGTGTGTAGCTAGATTCTTGAAGTAACAAAATCTCTACAAAAATTAGAGCAATATGTCATTCAGAGGGTAATGGGAGGGAAAGGAGCATGTTGGGTTTGAGTAGGCAGCAACCTATTATTAATGAAGACTCACACAGGAGAAGCAGCATAGAGGGCAGCAGAGAGGTATATGATAGGCACCAATAAACCAGCCATCCAGTGAAAGCCCAGGATGCCCAATGGACATCCTGAATGTTCCATCAGTATCCATGTGTGTCAAGAGCCATATGCTGTGCAGACCCCTTGTACAGGATGTATGGGATGTAATGGAACTTTGCACAGGGTGAGAAGGTGTGGGTGGGCTGCACTTTACACAGACGAAGGGAGCGCCCACATTGATGAGATTGCAGATTCACTGAAATGCTGAAGTAATCACCCGTTAGAGATGCTGTAAAGAAGGGACACTTGCTTTGGGTATAAAGATGCAACCTAATTACCTGTTGGGCACCTGCCAAACCTGAGATTCTGTGCTACTGTTCTCGGACTACATTCATTCTTCTGGGAACTCACTGACTCTAGAATAGATTAAGTAGGCCTAGGTGGAGGAACAAGCCTTCTTTATGTTCTCCAATTCAACTTATAAATTCTGGTACAAAGTCTTAAGTGAGCTGACTCTGGAAAGCAGCATTGGCCATTTCTTTGCTGATATTCAGAACATACTGTGATTTAGGAGTGAAGGTGGCATTAGAGGCAACTCCCCTCCCCCCACAAAAAATCCCCAAATCCAAAACAAAACACAACAACCTATTTGCAAATAATTTTATAGTATGTCATACGTCATATACTTTCTGATGATGGATATATCTTAAGAACTATCCTATCAGTATATGTACTCAGTATTTTTGATTACAAGTATATCAGAAGCAGCTAGGTGGCTCAGTGCATAGAGTGCTGGGCCTGAAGTCAAGAAGATGTGAGTTCAATTCTAGCCTCAGAAACTTAATAGCTGTGACCCTGGGCAAGTCACTTAATTTCTTCCTCCCTTAATTTTTTCATCCATAATATATGGATGATAAGTAGCATGTACTTCCCAGAATAAAATGAGATAATATTTTTAAAGTGCTTTGTAAATGTTAAAAGTGCTATATAAATGCTAGTTATTATTTTGTTATTGCTATTATTATTATTATTATCAATCAATCAAAATTTCTCAAAAGAAAGTTTCTCTAAAAGGCTATGTCCCAGACTAAATATGGGATGGGCAAAATCCATAATTATCATCAGTATCTCAAATACAGTTATCCCTTCCACATCATGCAGATTAGGGGCATGGTGCCCCCATGATCTGAAAAATCCACATAAAATTTTTTGGTCCTCCCTTCATACCAGAGAAGAAGTTTCAATTATTATGGTATTAAAAGATAAAATATGTTGACATTTTACAATACTATACATGTATTTTATGCATTTCTGAGTTTCTAAACTTTTTCCACATTATTTGCTGGCCTTTGCATGTCATCTGTGGCTTCTGCTAAAGTCCTAAAAAATTTCCATTTAATTTCTTATGCTGACCCACAATATATCGAAATTGTGATGGGGAAAGTTGCAAGGTAGAAGGAATAACTTTATGTTCCTTCTCTATGTTCTGCCATGTTTCTCAGGGAAGGGGGCCAAGCTCAAGCTGAAGCAGGTATGGTGGTGGCTGAAAAGGCCAAAGGGTTTCAAGGGGGGCGTCCCAGCACTTTGGACTCTAATGACAATAGAATATGAACATGCATGAGTGGAAAGAAGTGTGCTTTTTTTTTGTTTCCAGTCAGTAAGTCCTCTGATTGGAGACAGTAGAAGGTGGACATAAAGTTGCTCCTCCCAGATCCTTCAAAGCCAGGGTAGCTGTTTCATCATTTCCCACTCAGCTATTCTGGATTTCATTGCCTCCAGAAGCTCATCTTCCTGCAAGATCACGTCAACTCTGAGACTCTCATTTCCTCTGTACACTGAGTCCTTGGGGCCTCTCCTTCCCTCTAATTGGAGAGGGTGGACATCTAAGAGCTCTTCTCTGATCCTCCATTTAAGGAGGGTGCCTAGGGCAGACATGTCATCATTTCCCACCTGGCTGCAAATCTTCATCTCTTCCTTCCCGCTCAAATTACCTTTCCCCCCCACCTCCCACCCCAGGGTATGAGCTCCTTGTGGGCAGGGACTGTCTTTTGCCTTTCTTTTATCCCCAGAGTTTTACACAATAGTAAGCTCCTCACTGACTAACTGATTGAATTTATCTGTTACACATCTTTAGATCCTCCCAATATTCTCTTATCCTTTTGACTGATGACTCATTGTAAGAAAGAACAATGGTTACTTATACTCCAGCCAGTTCCTTTTTCTTCCTTCCTTCCTTCCTTCCTTCCTTCCTTCCTTCCTTCCTTCCTTCTTTCCTTCCTTCCTTCTTTCCTTCCTTCCTTCCTTTTTCTTTTTTTTTCTTTCTTTTTTTGGGGGGGTTATAGACCCCAGTGGTGGTCTGATGATGCCTGTGGACCCCTTCTAAAAATATTTTCAAATGTATAAAATACATAGGATTGCAAAGAAATCCAAGTATATTGAAATAAGATGTCGTTTTTTTCCCATCTAACTTCATGGCCAGCAAAATCTGTCCACAGGCCCCTTGTGGGTCCCAAGTTAAGAATGCTTGTTCCAAACCAAGTTTTTCCTCTCCATGAAAGAGCGCTAATGGGAATGATGGAGTGGAAGTACACATCAGCTCCTCTCCTTTCCTTCGGGCCCCTAGAATGTCCCATTCTTTATTGTGTTGTCTCAATCAGCCTACCTTGGGCTTCTGGATGATCATTTCATCTCTTATTAATATTTCTATAATTTAACTTCTAAATCATATTTGACTTACATTCTGTACTCCCTTTTCTTTCGATCAGCCATGATTAGCACTGTCTTTATTGCTCTCATGCCAAAGTCATAATGATCCTAAGGAAAAAAATAGATATGAGTTACTAAAAAAAAAAAAAGGACTATTTTCAGATGAACACATATCAATTTTTTTGTCAAAAGGGTGTGTGTGTGTGTGTGTGTGTGTGTGTGTGTGTGTGTATGTGTGTGTGTGTGTACATGACTATGATAAGAATACGGGAAATCCTGACTCGGTTCTAGATTTGCCACCCTCTGCCATCTATTTCTCCTCTACCTAACCCACCCCCAGGTAGTGGCACAGAGTGCTGGGCCTAGAGTCAGGAAGACCTGAATTCAAATCCAACTTCATTCACTTACTAGCTGTGTGACCCCAGGCAAGTCCCTTGACCTCTGTTTGCCTCAGTTTCCTCATCTGTTAAATGGGGATGATAACAGCATCTACCTCCCAGGATTTTTTGAGGATCAAATGAGATAATAAATATTAAGTGCTTAACACAATTCCTGGCACATAAGTGCCATACAAATGTTAGCTATCATTATATTATTGTCATCATTATTATTACTCTTCATTTGGATACAGGCCCCTTCTAAAAAGAGACATAATTATTAGATGCTCAGGAGAGGGGCTGAAGATCATTGGCATTTAACTGATAGAATGAGCAAGCGCTCTCTGTTTTGATGAGAAAAACTGGGAAGAACATGGACAGGGAGAGAGTTTTGGAGAGAAAGGAGACCTGTCTGAAGTATCAGGAACAAATACACACAGATATATCTATTCGAGGGGCTCTCTAGAATCTATTTCTCATGATTGAGAAGGGTGTTCTATAATGCAAAAGAAGAGACATTCCACCATCACCTCCTTCAGGAGACTATAAACTCCTTGAAGTCAGGGACTACTCTTCTTTCTGTTTTTGCATTTTCAGAGCGTAACACAACATCATGTACTTGATAAATGCTTGGTGGATTGAGATGTGTTCATCCCCTTTGTCCGCACGGGTTTGGGAGCAGAGAGGAAGCAGGTGGCTCTGGGAACGTTGCCCCAAATCCAGCTAAAAGGCAGAACTCCTGGACAGTTTTGATTTCCTGTGGAGGGTGTTCTCTTCACTAGCCAGGTTAGCATCAGGACACTTGTCTATTGGTAGAATCCCTTCTTCCCGTGGCTCTTTCTGCTTCCTTGGGCTCTTAGGCTCCAAGACCAGGAGGAACAAGCAAAATAGTAGAATTTAGAACAATGAGCAGTGTGGATTAGTGGAAAGGACACCACTCTGGGAGTCAGAAGAATCTGAGAGTGATACTTCCTAGCTGTTTAACCTTTTGCTCAATTTATGAAAGACTTCCATTAATGCCATGCTATCATTTCAGGAAGCCTCAATCCCAGATTGAATTTCAAGATGAACTGCGTTGTTATGACTTTTCCTTCTCTTATTTACTTTCCCTTTCTTTGTTACTAGGTAGGGGTAGTAAAATCACATTTGACTAGCTACATGTTTGCAAAATATGGAACCTGTCCGAGGTTTAACTTTTCCTTATCTGTAAAATGACACTAATAATACTTGGACTCCATCCCTCAGAAGGCTGTTGTGAGGAAAGGTATTTAGTTCAAGCCTGAAGAGCTACACAAATGATTACATTTTACTTCAAGTCTTATTTTTAAAGTTACCTGTATCAGGCCTGTTTTTCTGAATTAGAGAAAATAAGTAGGTTATTTAATAAAAAGAATTGTTTATTGTTACCTTTAAAATATCATCTAGTGCTTTGAGAAAAGCAATTCATTACCTGGTATGAAAGTTGCTTGATAGCTAGTTCATAAAGGTTAATGAGTTTGGCTGACAGTGGTTTTGCAGATTTGAAACCTGCTGCAAACAGCATTATTTCAGCAATCAATTGATAGTGGGGTACCATCATCACCACTGGCCGAAACAGAGATTTTAAGTTATCTGGGAGTTCCACACGTCCTTTATATCTTAAAAACAGGGGAAAACACTTCTCAATCTTTAATTTTTTTCAAACAATTTTTTCCTTAAACATAAGAATAATATTTCTACAACTGGTGTTAAATTGTGTATTATTGTTATTCTTATGTGTCTTGATAATTCTTAATTTAAATGAATGAAAAGAAAATATTTGTTAGAGTCCTAAGCTATAAAGTATGAAACCTAGCCCTTGATAAAGCTAAGTGGGAAAATGTAAATATAGAAAGAACACTTATACCAAGTGTGATTTAGCAAATGATGAGATAGATATATGTACACAATTAAACTTTATGTATTTGGGGCAGAATTTTGCTTATAAATGCTAATTGTTGTTAGTCTTTTGGGTCTGGCAATAAAACTATATTGATTTTGTCTTTTTTGAGAGGGAGAAAGATTTGGATTCCAGGCCTGTCTTGCATACTTACTAACTTATACAATTAGTCACAGGTAAGTCACTAAACTTCTTGGTCTGTTTCAATATTCATAAAATGGGGGATAATAATCCTGGCACTACCTCTTTCATATGATGTTTTTGAGGAGGATGGTTTGCAAACCTGAACATATTCTATATCTGAGTTATTATTTTGTCACTCAATCCCTCGTTAATTGGTCTTTGGGCATCTCTGGGTGTAGGTCAAGGAAGATGAATTCCATAAGAGGGAGACTGTGTCTCTTGAAGTTAGCTTCTGGGAATATCTATATGATAGCATAACAACTCATTGAAAAATGAAAAACAGTCAACCAACTAGGCATCTTTGTGAATACTGTTGTTTAGATGACACTAAAAATTGATGATATTAAAAGAAATGAATTGACCAGTTATTTTTGTATCAACAATAGAGGTGAGGCAGGTTGGTGGCTCAGTGGATAGAATATTGAACCAAGAGTTGGGATGATCTGAGTTAGAATCAGGCTGTAAGGCATTTACTAGTTTAACCTCTGTTGTTGAACTTCTACCTGTTTCAGTTTCCTCAGCTATAAAAAGAGGATGATAATAGCACTTATCTCCCAGGGTGGTTGTGAAGATCAAATGAACAAATACTTGTAAAGAAGTTTGCAAACCTTAAAGTGCTATATAAATGCCAGGCATTATCATTATTAGTATTATCATCATCATAGTTATTTTATATCCAAGTGCCTACTACATTGACATGTAGACAGTAAGTATCCAATGAGAGTTAGATGGTTAAATCCAGTTCAACAAATATTTACTGAATATCTACTATTGCATGTGCTTAGTGTCATGACTTCAAGAGGAGCTGACCCCATTCCCCTCTGTTGGAACTTAAAATGTGGTTTACTGTGTGGGTTCCATTTCAGACAGATGCACTGTTGTATTTACTGATGAGAGGGCAGGGGGAAATAGGGGTGGGAAAGAGGGGGGGAGGAGGGTAAGAAGGCAGGGCTAGCCAAATGACAAGCATAATTTTGGAAAACTCTCCCAGAGTGCCAAATGAAATTAAGACAAGGGTAGAATTTAGCCTCAGACCTATTGAGATTTCTCATGCCTCCCGTAGACTCACTGTTACTTACCCAGGATTCAAGGTGACAAAGACTGCACAGGACAGGTTGATTCGGATATCTTTTCCTTCTAGTAAAAACCTAAAATTTATTACATTTTTAAAAATCAGTAGCAGAAAGAAATGTTCTCTCCAAGCAAACAGGTATCATAAATCTCCTAATGTTATGTTATGATTAATTTTTTAAAAAAATAAGCCATTACTAAATAATAGCCAAAAAACCCACAAACAAACCAAAAGAAAAAATTATCACTTTTATAAAACTCCCAAAGAGTAAGCCTATAAGGGGGCTTAATTTAATCAATCATTCAGTCAGCAAGCATTCATTAAATGCCTACTGTGGAACAGGTACTGTTTAATTTAATGACTCAAGCACAAATTTGGAAAAATCAGATTGCCTAACTGGTTAATCATTTCCACAAAATAAGTAAATTATAGCTTTTACAATTAAACTGAATTCCTTCTTCTAGGCATGGGGTTTATTTTGGGAGAAATAGAATAGAAAAAAGATTTACTTTTTTATATTGGACACTAAAAATCCTCCCACAGTATATTTTCTAAGAGCAGAGCTTTCCATCACTGTCCCTAGACTTACATTAATATCATACTAATTCAGAATAATGAGGGTGAGTATATGTGTCCAATGTGATGATAATAAGGATGAAATATGTAACACATTTATTTTTAACACTAAGGTTTGGTCTCAAATGTGAGGTAAATTAATCTAAAATGTTTAATTGATGGAAGACTTCGATTAATGCCGGGTTATTGTTGCAGGAAGCCTCAATCCCAGATTAAATTCCAAAATGAACCGGTCAGATTACAACTTTTCCTTCTCTTATTTACTTTCCCTTTCTTTGCTACTAGGTAGGGGTAGTAAAATCACGTTTGACTAGTTAGGCAGAGGAGAAATATCAAGGCTAATAGATCCCTGGGACACAAAGTCAAAGGATATTTCTCTAACTGGTACTAAATTGTACATTATTGTTATTCTGATGTATCTTGATAATTCTTAGTTTAAATGAATGAAAAGAAAGTATTTGTTAGAGTCCTAAACTATAAAGTATGAAACCTAGCCCTTGATAAAGCTAAGTGGAAAAATGTAAATATAGAAAGAACACTTAAACCAATCCTCCTAGTAATTTTTCTAAAACGCAGGTTTAATCATGTCATTCCCCCCTTTCCTCCCTGATCTCAAAAGGCTTCAGTTGGTCCCTATCTCTTCCAGGATAACCTAGCTTCTCTCTCCTCCCCTTCCCAGTTTTCTTCCACACCTTCCCTCCCACCCCCACCCCCAAACCATGTACTCTTTCATCCAGTGGCAGTGGCCTCCTCGTTGTTCCTTGTACAAGGTACCCCATTCACCTTACTTTGAGTATTTTCTCTGCCTGTCTCCTATGCCTGGAATTCTCTCCCTCCTCATATCCGTCTCCTGGCTTCCTTCAAGTCTCAGTTAATATCTTATTTCCTACAGGAAGTCTTTCCTAATCTCTCTTAATTCTAGTGCTTCTCTTCTATTGGTTATTTCTAATACACCCAGTATATATCTTGTTTGCACATAGCTATTTACATGTTATCTCCGCCATTAGACTATAAGGGCAGGAACTGCCTTTTGTCTTTCTTTGTATCCCCAGAGCTTAGCGTGGTACCTGAAACTGTAGGTGTTTAATAAATGTTTACTGCACAGATTATCTAATTCAATCTCATTTCATAGATGAGGACACTTGCAGCCCAGAAAGTTTAAATGACTTGCCCCAAGACCACACATTTCAGAACAGAATTCAAACTCAGAACAGCTGATTCCATATCCAGAATGCTTTCTATTACATAAATTTGCCTTTATAAAGCAACAATAAACTTTTTTGTTTACTACTCAGTCAGTCAAATGACATGTATTTATGGAGTGCTTATTAAGTTTCAATGAGGATACAGAGAAAAATGAATCACTCTGTGTTCTCAGAGACCTGGCATCCTCTCAGGGGAAACAGCATGTATGTAAATTAATATAGACAAAATACATGGTGTCCCAAAAGTCTTTAGAGCTTTAACATCTTAAAAGTGTAGTAAGACTTAGGGGGAGGCCCTGTATGTACAAGATAATACAAGGTGAATTATGATCAACTTTTTAACACATTTCCCTCATTTTTGACTATCCTTACTTTGACCCAACATGATAGAACTTTCAATATTTTGTATACACAGGCCCCAGAGACTTGTCTGTTCCTACTGGGAAATCAGTCATTCCTGGGGTATGATAGATGACCTTGTGCTCATTTCTTTTATTTATTTGAGTTGGTAAACTCGTTCCATATCTCATTTATTCTTCCTGCCTGCCACCAAAGATCATCAAATACATGACATATGTAAAGTGATTCACAAACATTACAACATAAAATAAATCTATCATTATTATTATTCGGGGGGCGGGGGTTTGGAGTTGAAAAAAAAAAACCAGCCTCCTTACTAGTAGACTACTTGTAATCCCTTCCTTCATAATAAAGCTCCCCACCAAAAACTGTTATGGTTACAACAAACACAGTTTGTTTCCCCCTCCAATAATACAGCTGGGTAGTGCAGTGAATAAAGTGCCAGGCCTGGAGTCAGGAGCACTCATCTTCCTGAGTTCAAATCTGGTCTCAGACACTTATTAGGTGTGTGACCCTGGGCAAGTCACTTAACTCTGTTTGCCTCAGTTTCCTCATCCATAAAAAGGAGAAGGAAATAGCAGTTTCTGCCAAGAAAAACCTAGATGGGGTCATGAAGAGTCAGACATGACTGAAATGACTGGGTAACAACAACAAATGAATGTTAACCCATTTTTTTTTAATAATAAGAATTATGGATTCCCTAAATTGAAGGTAAAAAGAAAAAAACTCCTTAATTTCATGATCTGGGGTTTTAAGAATCTATTTTCTCATGAGTAAGACTATGAAAATGTGCTATTTTGAGCTTTTTTTTATTTAGGAATCTAAAATATTATTTCTGAATTATCATGAATTATAAATTAGTAGAATCTGAATTAATGATTTCTTACTAAATTTTACTGTTAAGAAACTCAAAGCATCTACTGGGGTTAGATGTACAGTAAAGAATTTTTTTCTAGCTCTTTTAAATTTGGTTTATATTTTAAATATCTGTCCCAACCTAAAATACACTATTCTAAAACATTCAGTTTTCAGTTGTTTCATGGTATAGTGGGAAAATATTCAAGTGGTCTTAGTGCAAGGAGATCCAGCTTGAAATTCCACCCTGGTAATTATGAATTCTTATCAGTTTTGCTGAATCACTGAACATCTCTGAGTCCTAGGTACCTTGGTGATTTCATCAGCTCCCATGGATTCAATGACTATTTCTATATAGGTGATTCTCAGATCTATTTGCCTAGCCCATGCTCTCTCCTGATCTCTGGGCTCACATTTCCAACTGCCTATTTGACACCTTAAACTGTATGTCCCATAAATGCTTAAAACTGAATATATCCCAAAATGAATGGTCTTCACTTGGGTGAAGATCCAGTAAAGACAGAGAAGGAACTATCCAAGAGGAAGGAGGAGAGATAGCAGTATCATGAAAACCTAGAGAGAAGACAGTATCAAGTGGTTTTCGGAGAGGTCAAGAAGGAGGAGGAATGAGACAGGGACACGAGACAGGGTAATTAAGAGATCACTAGTAATTCTGGAGAGAGAGCAGCTCAGAGAGAGGTAAAGGAGGATGGAGGCTGCCTCAATTACACTCTCATTCAAGGTCTTTCCCCAGAGACATGCCCATCTGCCTGAAGTGCCAGGAATCCTAATTATGGACCAGACACTTGATATCAAACATGTAGATACCTTTCTTTTGAGGGGATGGATACTGGTTTATTCCTAAAATCTGAACAAAATTTCTTGTGAAGGGCAGAAAATTAGTGACTAGAAATTTCAAACTTTGATACTAATTATTTGTCTCCACAGGAACATTTGCACCAAATTTCTCCTTTTCCTTTTGGAAAATCTGGTCACTCTATTTCGAAATATTATGTTAAGTAGTGATACAATGATATGATGATCAGGACATTTTATATTTAATGATGTACCCATGTGCAATCCAGTAATGTATTTATATAAGTAACAAAGGCTACATAATATTAGTTAAGTAAATTAACCAAATAGCTTTTAAGCATCAATGAGAATATGGTATGTCACATGTAAAATACATACCGGTGAGAATGATTATCTTTGGCTGCCTTAATTGTTTGCATCTGTGAGGCAATCACGGAAAGTACTTCCATATCAATTCGATTGAACTCATCAAAGCAACACCATGCTCCAGATTGAACTATTCCAAAGAAGAATTTTCCTATCATCTTAATAAAAGATAAATTATTGAAATTAGTAATGATTGTAATTGTATACTCTTCTATTGTTAAAACACTTAAAATTATTCATTAGTTAACATATGTAATATTCTTTCTGGTTATATTCATATGATATTTAAGCTATTAAAGCTTCAATTTTTACTAAGACTTTTGAGATACTCTGTATATTCACATATATTTTTAAAAAGTTACGTTACTAGCTACTACTAGCTAGGAGTAGATAGAGTCAGGAGGATCTGTGTTCAAGTCCATTGGCAGACTTTAGCTGTGTGACCCTGGGCAAGTCACTTAACCCCAACTGCCTCACCTTATTCCCCCTCCCCAAAAAAGATATGTCACTACAATTTTTCTTTTTCACTTTGCATCACTGCATATGCTTTTCTGTATTCATGACTATTATTCATTCTTTCTGAAGATATAGCATTCTGCCCTAATGTACCAGTGTAACAGGCATTCTACCACCACTGGTCACTTCTTTGATTGTTCCCAGTTTTTCAGTATCACAAATAATGTAGCTTAGCACAGTACTGGCATGTAGTAGTCACTTAATGAATATTTATTGATTGATGGATGAATTGACTAATAGATATCTTTGTACAGATTGTTCTTTTTTTTCTTTTTAATTATTTCCTTGGAATATCTTTCCAATGGGATTTCGTGGAAATTTACTAGGATCTCTTAAAAAATAGAAGAACCGAATTACAATTCAGGTTTTGGTTTTACCGGAAGAATACCACCAGTTTTAACCTTTATCTTACACTGCCAGTTGATGTTCCACAAAATTTGCACACTGCTTTTCCCTAGGCAAACCATGAATGCTGCTTTCTCATCTCTGTCAATGCTGAATTTTGTAGCTCATATTTTCATTGGACAAGCTAAAAAGGCTTTGACTATAGGTGTGGCGAGAAAAGATAAGCTGAGTTTTGAAAAATTCATCACCAGAAGGTTTCCTACCAACTGATGGAGATTGAGGTGGCACAGCTCATGTCACATGGGCCATTGACTGGGTCTTAGAGAGGTTGGGATCATAAGTGAATTGGATGATTACATTAAACGTGTAAAATTATTATGTAATTCCACTGTTTTCATCTGAATACTTTCAAATTTTGTTCTATTGGCAATTCTATTTTAATTTTGACTGTGCTTCTTATAGGCAATATATTATTGAGTCGTACTATTTAATCCTCAATACTTCTTATAGCAAAATTTAGTTTTTTTTCTTCCACATTTAATATTAATAACTTTGGGGTTTACCTTACCTTTCATCATCCTTTATTATTTATTTCTTTATGAGATTTATTTTGATTATCTATGATGTGAACTTTGGAGTTATTTCTCCTTATGTTATGAGAAAAGAATAACTGTTCTTTAACTGTTTTCTATTTTGAATACTTTAATATTATGATATACCTTGTGATACCATTCAAAAGGACACTCCTTTCAAAGGTGCAGGTCACAACACCTTTATGTAATCTAATTCTATGAGACTTTTGTTCATGCTCCCATCCATCCTACATAAGTGGTCTGCCCAAAGTGTGGCAAGTCTGTCCTTGGGTCTTTTAGCTTTATCCAGCAACTACAATCACACTTGGGCCATGGACATTGTACATTTATCACTTGCTCAAGTTACTCCTTGACCAGCTCACCTACCTCCTTGATCACACACAGGGAATTATATTTGGTTGTGATCTCATTGAGAGAATGAGGAATGAGGAAACTCTTTCTACTAATGAGGGTTGGTACCCTCTCAGCAGAGAGCAGTCTTAGTTGGCTAGTGTACAGAGTGTTGAAGTGCCATGTCCCAAATCACCTGGCCAATATGTGTCAGAGGCAGGATTTGAACCGGGTCTTCCTGGTTTTGAGGCCAGATCTTTATCCATGATGCTATACTGTCTGTCATCTAAATCTTGGACATTATCTTTTATGCTACTTGCATGCAAGTCCTTACTGGCAATATTCTGCAGTCTATTTATATCCACATCTCTTCATTACCCTTTGGGTCACTTGAAAATTTTATTTTTCTGCAATTGTGATACAGTGTGGCATACTAGATAGAGAACTGGATTTGAAATCAGGAAAGACTGGATTCAAATCCTGACTCTCATTGACTCCTTATTTACTAGCTGTGTGACCTGGTGCAACACATTTAACCCATCTGATCCTCATTTTCTTCACCCATAACATGACTAGATGGGTGGATTTGGCTCTGAGATCCGTTCCAGCTCTAAATCTATGATTTTAGGATTCCTGGAAGAAGATAAATGTCTTGGTGGTGGAACAACTTTATCTACTTCCCAATGTATTTGCATCTCATAGTCTAGATAATGGGAGGGGGAGAGCAGAGAGGGAACAAACATTTATTAAGCACCTACTACATGCCAGATACGGTGCTATGTGCTTTACAGATATTTTCTAACTTGATCCTCATAACACCCTTATGAAGTAGGTGCTATTATTATCCCTATTGTACAGGTGAGGAAACTGAAGTTAAATAACTTGTCCAGGTTCACACACCTAGGAAATGTCTGAGGCTGGATTTGAACTCAGGCCTTCCTGACTTCAGGTTTAGCACTGTACATACTGAGCCACCTCGCTACCTAGATATTCTTCATCTACACTCTTTTTCATGTGTAGATTGATCATGAAACTCTTTTGAGAGGTTGTGGATCTCAATTAGGAGATTATAATTCCAGGACTTAATAAATCAGTACAAGATTATCTAATAAACAGAATCATTTGGAGGATATTACTATCTATAAGTGGGCAGCTACGTGGTACCTGGAGTCAGGAAAACTCATCTTCCTGAGTTCAAATCTGGCCTCAGACACTTACTAGCTGTGTGACCCTGGGCAAATAATTTTTTTTTCCAGTTTTTAAACATTTTTAATTAAAGTTTTGAGTTCCAAATTCTATCCTTTCCTGCTTACTTCCCCTTTGCTCTCCCTGAGATCGTAGGCAATCAGATATAGGTTACCCATGTTCAATTATGTAAAACATTTCCATTTTAGTCATTTTGTTCAAGAAGACTTGAATAAAAGGAAAAAAATGAAAGAAAGTGAAAAACAGCATACTTCAGTCTACTCAAACTCAATATCAGTTCTTTCTCTGGAGGCAGATAGCTTGCTTCATCATTAGTGCTTTGGGATTTTCTTGGATTATGTATTGCTGAGAATAAGTAAGTCATTCATAGATCTTCATCAAACAGTATTGCTGTTTCTCTCCATGTTCTCCTGGTTCTGTTCACTTTACTATGTATCAGTTCATGTGTGTCTTTCCAGGTTTTTCTGAAATCATCCTGCTTGTCATTTTTTACAGATTAATAATATTCCATTACAATCATATGCCACAGTTTGTTTAGCCATTCCCCAATTGATGGGCATCCCTTTGATTTCCAATTCTTAGCCACCATAAAAAGAGCTGCTATAAATATTTTCATACAAATGCAAATACAATACTTTCCCCTTTTTTTTGGATGTCTCTAGGGTATAGACCTTGCAGTGGTATTGCTGGCTCAAAGAGCATGTAGAGTTTTATAGCCCTTTGGGTATAGTTCCAAATTACTTTCTAGAATGGTTGGATCAGTTCACAACTCCACCAACAATGCATTAGTGTTCCAGTTTTCCCACATTTTCCAACATTTTCTTTTTTTGTCATATTAGCCAATCTGATAGGTAATGAAGTGGTATCTCAGAGTTGTTTTAATTTGCATTTCTCTAATCAATAGTGATTTAGAGCATTTTTTCATATGACTATAATGTATATTAAACTTTAACATATGTCACGGGAGAGCTTTTTGTTAAACATTTATCAGCATACTCCTGCTTCCAGCAAAAATTTAGGTTTTCTATCATGTTGGCCAGTTTCTTGATTTTTTTCCTTTTTCCTCCTATGTCATTTTTGTGGAGCTTATGTTTTCCTTAATTTCTTTTAAGGTAGAGATCGTACAATCTGTTTCTTCTTTCAGCATTTCTTGAGTATCTTCAGTACTTTCTTTGGCAAGCATTTCCTCTACGGTTTTATAACTTTGTTGTTGTCATTTTGAGATGTCAGAACTTTTGTTATTTTTTCAAAGTTATGTTATTTTTTTCTTGTTGATAACCATAAAGACAAGAGTTTTCTTTGTTTTCAGAATTTCTTCAGTTATATTTTGTCAGGATGACATGGAGTGAACACATGATGCTGCTATTCACTTCTGTTATCAAAAGTTTTCTTTCACATGAATATAAAGACATAATAACAATAAGAGTATTAACTATTGTTATTTCCCTATCAGTTCACAAAAATTTTTTTTAAATTATTTTCCTCTGGGGAAATGATGAGTCTTACCTTATAATCCAAATCTTCAAAACAATTGAAGACCACACAATGTTTGCCCAAGGCCTGAGGGAAATAATATGATTTTAGAGTGCATACATTTATTGAAATGAGAACATAAAATAATAGTAAAGGTAATATTCAGAATAAAGGAATTTCTGAAAAAGCCTACCTGGGCAAACCTTTTGCTTTTACCAGATGATATTTTATGGCAAAATGTTAGCATGGATGCCACAAGTTAGCAAATTCTCAAAAGCAGTACAGTAGGACTGTGGTCTGTACACCTAGGTACCAGAATATATTTAAGCTACTAGTTCAATTGATTAGGACACAGTACCAATGAGACAAAGGTCACATGGATTTAATCTCCAAATAATCTTTGCTCAGACAACATTTTTCCATGGCTACAAATATACTCCTATCCTTTGTCAGACCAGTCAAATATGTATTTTATATGTAAACTATCAAATATATATGTATACACACACACATACTATCAAACATATATGCTATCAGTTACTGGCAAACTGTGTGACTAGGGCAAATTACCACTACTAAGAAAAAAAGGAAACAGGCCATGAACAAATCTATAAGACAATAGGATTAAATTTAAATAGTTTATTAAATATATTTTGAACAACTGACCCATGACTAGGGTATTTATTTTTTCTGAAAAATGGTAAGAAATCTGTTCTGAGCCATTAATGGGTCCCTTTTGTAAGTAATACTGCAATTTCATAAGAAAACTAGAGAATGTGATAGTTTTAAGTTATAAAGGTAGCTGGACACTGGATTGCTTCAGAGCTTCATTCTGCATTGGCAACAACCTATGTCCAAAGAAGCAGAGCCTTTTTTTGATTTAGCCTCTATCACAAATATTCTTTTTTTTTTTTTTGATGAGGCAATTGGAGTTAGTGACTTGCCTAGAGTCACACAGCTAGTGTCAAGTGTCTGAGGTTGGATTTGAACTCAGGTCCTCCTGACTGCAGGGCCAGTGTTCTATCCACTGTGCCACCTAGCTGCCCCTATCACAAATATTCTTATTCCTGCTGTTTCTTAAAATGGCTGAATTTGCGTGACTCTATTCCTTGCCCAACCCACTTACCTACAAGCAACAGATGAATAATTCTGGATTAAGTTGGAATACAGTAGGAAAGTGTGTGCATACATATTGGTGTGTGTCCAGCTTGCATGAATCAGTACACTTGTGTGTATTTTGTATGTGTGTCACACATATAACACAAGAGTGGTGTCATGGAGCTTAATGAAATGTTTTCTGAAATGAATATGTATTCATGTGCTTGAGAGCCTGGTACATCTATGCATGTTTGTATGTAGTACATAAAACCTACTTTTTCCTATCTATAATTTATATATACCTACATATCCATGTGCCCTTTTGGTTGGTGTATGTAGTTGTATCTTTTATATGTATACTCATGTGTCCATATCACTATGAATATTTTTGGCTGGGCCAGTGTGACTGCCTTTTTTAGATGCATGATTATATAAATGCAAAACTATTTAGGGGAACCATTACTTAAAGTAAAGTACAAATTTAGTTGGACAGAATACACTTTTTTGCTAGAAGTAGTAAGTTTAAAGGGGAGCTCAGCAGGCAATAATGAAGTTACATTATATATGAAAGGGAGAGAGGAGAGTAATCAGAGAAGACCCTGATCAATTTCATGAGTCCCCCAATCCCCCTGATGAGATTATAGGGTGTTGTTGCAGCCCTAGTCTCTGGGGACTAATCAGGGTTCCCAGTTTCCTCTCAACAAGGTGCTGAGGTGACCTCTGAAATCATGAAAATTCTTTTCAGTCCATTATACTATTTAAAATCGCTTATTTTCTTTAGTGAATCCAAACAAATTATTCTACACTGTCATTTCTTTTTCATTATGTCTGCTATTTTAAAATAGTCTGTAGCTCCAATGTCACTAGATTGTTCTATTTTTCCAACTGCTTCTATTTTTTGCTGCATTTTAATACTTCTTCGCTACTCCTTATGGCCCGATGTAAGGATTACTTTCCTAACAATTAGAGCCATCCAAAAGTGGAATGAATTCCTTTTCATTAGAGGTATTCAAGAGGAGCCTGGATGAAGTTTTGTCAGAGATTTTGTGGAGGGGACCTATTTCAGATATGGATTAGATTAGATAGTGCTTCTGGTCCTTCCTCAGATTCCCCAAATCTCTAACTATTTACTAGACACTTACTAGCTGTGTGACCCTGGAGAAGCCACATAACCCTATTTGCCCCAGTTTTCTCATCTGTAAAATGAGCTGGAGAAGGAAATGGCAAAACACTCCAGTATCTTTGCTAGGAAACCCTCAAATGAGGTCACAGAGAGTTGGGAAGAAGAAAGAGAAGAAGGAAAAGGAGAAGGAGAAGGAGGAGGAGAAGATGATGATGATATTTCCACTTGAATATTTTACCATTGCCTGAAAAAATGCTGTAGCATATTCAAGATATTACTCATCTTCACTCTAAACCAGTCATTCTTTCCTAACTTCCACATTTTTGTTAATGCAGCCAACATTTCCCAGGTGTTGCATATCTTTTTCAGCCGTGTAAAATCAATCAATCATCAAATCCTGACAATTATTTCTTAGAAACTCCTCTCCAAACTATTTACTCTTTGCCATACCTACAGCCATTCCTTACACAAAAATATCAGAGAACCTGGGTTTAAGTCCCAGTTCTGGTACTTACTACCTAGAACGAGATACTTCTGCTATCTGGGTCTCATTGTCCTCATCAGCAAAACAAAGGCCATGGGCTTGGTCTCTAAAAGTCCTTTCAGGATCTAAATATAATGACTTTACAAGGCCAATCCTAATGTTTGGATCACTGCAAGAGCCTCCTAATAGGCTGACCACACTTCCAGTCTCTCCTATCCTCCACATTTCCAACCAAATTAATCTTTGTAATGCTAATACTTTGCTCAAAAACCTTCCCTGGCTTCCACTGCCTACAATCCAAACTCATGTTCAAGGCTTCTCACCATTTGCCCCTGTTTTATCTCCTTAACTTTATCTTTCCCTACTTGCAGACAGGAACATTGTACTCTATCCAGCTCAGCCTCACAAATAAAAGCACACACCTTGTGTTCTCCTGTCAAATTTCCCTCATCTTTGCTTACACTATTAGCCCCACACATGGGAGAAGGGAACAAAGATTTATTAAATGCCTACCAAGTGCCAAGCTCTTTACAAATATTATCTCACTTGATTCTCACCACAATACTATGAGGTAGATATTGTTATTATATCCCCATTTTACAGTGAAGGAAACTGAGGCAGTCAGAGTTTAAGGGATTTGCCCAGGGCTGCACAGCTAGTAAGTTTCTGAGATTGGCTTTGAAGCCTGGTCTACTGGATTCCCGGCCCAGTGCTCTATCCACTGTGCCATCTACCTACCCAGTTACACCCAATGTTCACTCTATCACTAGTCTAAAAGTCCCTAATCATTTTGACCACACTCACCCTTTTTTTTTTTTTTTTGGTGAGGCAATTGGGGTTAAGTGACTTGCCCAGAGTCACACAACTAGTAAATGTTAAGTGTCTGAGGTCAGATTTGAACTCAGGTCCTCCTGCCTCCAGGGCCAGTGTTCTATCCACTGCGCCACCTAGCTGCCCACTCATCTTTTTTCTAATTCTGTATAGCACTAACTATAAATACTCATCTAACTAGTTCACGTGCTTATTTCTTGTTTCCCCAACAAGACGATAAATGTCTTGATGGTACAGACTATATCCCAACAGCCCTCAGTATGCTAAACAATAATCAGAGAAGTAGTAGATACCTGATGAATAATTGAAATGAATTGAATTCCACTCTTTCTAGTAGTTAGGAAATGGCCTTGATTGCCTATTAAATGATAATGTAATCATTAGGTGGTCTTACTTCTATATATTATAGCAGCATATGTCCTCATTGGGCCTAAGTCAACATGGCACACAGCTTGCAGAGTTCTCGATAGCTGAATTTTCCAAATAGCTGAAGATTTATCACTGTAAGCACTATTTTTAAAAATTTTTATTTTAACTGCATGGAAATATTTCCATAATGTACTTTTCTCTACCTTCATAATCTGTGAAATGCATAAAATCAGTTTCTTCATTGGCTCAACCCTTTGACTTCATTCTTGCTGTTCCCATTGCCTTGAAGGTATTCTCAATCCCCTCTGCCCATTCGCATCCCTCACTTTCCTAAGGTTGCTGAACTCTGACCATTTCTTTAATCTGCACACCCCACAGCACTTAAATAATGCTGTTATTGTTCAGTCATTTTATAGTTGTATCCAACTCTTCGCGACCCCATTTGAGGTTTACTTGGCAAAGACACCAGAGCGGTTTGCCATTTCCTTCTCCAGTTCATTTTACAGATGAGAAAACTAAGGAAAACAGGGTTGAGTGACTTGCCAAGGTCACACAGCTAGTCAGTGTCTGAGGCCAGATTTGAAGACAACTCCTGACTCCAGCCCTGGTACCCTATCCATTGAATCACCTAGCTACATAACATCTAATATAACCTTTTTTCATCTGCTCATGTGCTGCCTGCAATTTTGCTCTAGTTGTTTCCTGTGTGTTTTGTCCTTAAGCTTGATTAAAAACTGAGAACGCAAGCCATTTTCCCTGCTTTTAGTTTGTACTTCAAATGCGAAAAAATACCTACTACATGCTTTAGGCATACCATTAAGTACATGGTTGATGAATATTATTACAGACAAAGAATACCTTGGGTACAAATCTGACAAATTCAAGATTTTATCAGAATTGGCATAGAAAACAAAGGCATATTATGTTTCTTCTTTTTGTAGGAATGTACTTACTTTTGCCAGGTCTTTGACAGTCTCTGTTTTCCCTGTGCCTGCTGGACCAGCAGGACAGCCTCCAAGATTCAAGTGGAGTGCACTAGTGAGGGTTAACCTGCATCGGTCTGTGAGAGGTGTAATAACCAACCTGGAGGTGCAGCCCAAGTACTCAAAGCCATAGGTAAAAGTTGCATGTCCTTGAAATACAAAGCATGTCTTCAGGCTGTCATCCCATTTATAACGAAGTTGCCTAAAATGAAATTTTTAAAAAATGCTCAAGTAATCAATAATAATCAATCAACAAGCATTTATTAAGCACATACCATATACTTGTTGCCCTCAAGGAACTTGTATTCAATAGGAGGAGAATGGAAACTTACAGGTCTAACCAAAAGGGCTTTAAACTGAAAATAAATAATATAAATGTGCTCCCAGTTATGACATCAGGAAAAAATTAGTGGAGGAGATGCTCAGTAATTCACAAAAAATGATATACAGTTAGAAAGAAAGAAATGATATGTTTTTAAATCAGTTAATGGTTACTTTCCTATTTTTATTGATTAATCTTTGAAACTGGCTTAGATTCTTAATTAGTAGAAACATTTAATTATGTATATAAGTGCCAGGCATTTAGTCAGGAAGACTTATCTTCCTGAGTTCAAATCCGGCCTCAAACACTTATAAGCTGTGTGATCCTGGACAAGTCACTTAACCATGTTTGCCTCAGTTTCCTCATCTTTAAAACGATCTGGAGAAGGAAATGGCAAACTAGTATATTGGCTAAGAAAACCCCAAATGAGTTCATGAAGAGTTCATGAAGACACTACTGAAAATGATTGAACAGCAACAAAAAAAGATTCTATCATCAAATCTTTCGAATCTATGCCTCTTGGCACAATGAAAAGAGCACTGGATTGAAAGCTGGAGGACCAAAGCTTGAATCCTGGCTCTGTCGCTGTGACTGTGGGAATGACATTTAACCTCTCTGGGTCTCAGTTTTCTCATCAATAACATGAAGAGGGTTGGATTAGTCCAGGGGTGGGGAACCTGCAGCCTCGAGGCCACATGTGGTCTTCTAGGTCCTTGGGCCTTTTGACTGAGTTCAAGTTTTACCAAACAAATCCTTTTATTAAGGGGATTTGTTCTGCGAAGTTTGGATTCAGTCAAAGGGCCACACTTGAAGACCTAGAGGGCTACATGTGGCCGTGAGGCCACAGGTTCCCTACCGCTGGATTAGACCACCTCTAGATCAAGAAATCTAAATTCTATGGTGCTATGACACTTCTGACCTCATAGGGACACAAATATGTAGTGCGGAGACAATAAACAAAGCAAACGGAACACGAGGGTGCAAATAGGATTACCCAGGAACAGATTGTATCCAGTGAGGATCAGTTTCTTCATTTGTAAAGTGGAGGTTTTAACAACTACCACACAAGCTTATTGTGAAAATAGTGAGACAATATTTGTAAAATGCTCTGCAAACCTCAAAGTGCCATTAAACATACTAATTGTTGTTGCTGTTGTCATAGATAAAAATGGGCGGTGGGTAGCACTGATCAATTTCAGTGTGGAAATCTATGAAAAACATGGGAGAAACATGGAGAAGTTTTGGATAAAGATTGATTGGAAGGAGCAACAGAAACAATACTGCAGTTACAGTGATATGACCACTCGGGCAGAAGAGAGAATTGAGTGGAATCCTGTAAACTGGTCACCAAAGCATGATGAAGGCAGGATATTGTCATTATCAATGACATGTTCAACTACCTGGATATCTGGTAGAAGTAGAACAGTTGGGAAATTCTAGACTTACCTTGCTAACAAAGAGAAAGAAGCACTGAAGGTAAGTGTTATTTTGGGCTTGATTCTGACCAATGAGGAGTAATTCATTGCCAAAGTAGATACAATGTTAACTTCAGAATGAAGTGACTGCACTACTATAGATAAGGAAACTGAGGCTGACAGAGATGGAATGATTTGTCCAACTTTCTCCCTCGATTAGCTGGGTCCTTGCATGAAGATTTCACTATGCTAATTGGTCAGTTTTGTCTTAGTAAGGATCTTCCACAAGTATTGCATGAATTGGGTCAACAGATGAGTAAAGCACATTTGACAGGACCGATAAGGTGTTCTTATCAAGGTGCCAGTAAACATGTCAGAACTTATATCTCTAATAATCTACTGAAGTTGGCTAGTTAGTGGTTACTAGCCTGAGTACCAGGCGACCCTGAAATCTGGACACTCTGAGGCAGACTGTTCTTCAAGAGATAGGGAGGCTGGAATCCAGGGTAGCTACATAGAAATATCAGCTCTGGGCTGTCTGAGAAACCACTAGCTCGGATGGGAGAGTGCCTTCCCTCCAGCATTCCCCTTCACCTTTTTATCCTGTCTTCCCTGGTTTCCTTATTAACATCTTAAAACGTTAACTTTGAGACAAAGGTAATGTCCAGAGTTCTCGGCAATTATGAGCATTAAAAGCAGTTGAAATGGTTCTGATTAAATGTAGAATTCCTTCCTTCCTTCTAGTTGTCCTCAGAGTTTAATAAATGCCACATCCAAAAAATTATATTTATAACATTTAATGACACATTAGATATTACTTATGCTTTATATTAGCTTTTTTTGGAAGTTAAAGAAATATGACTATGGAGGGAGGGTTTTTGTTTTTTCTATGAGCTTAGAAAACCTTTAGAAAATAAATGTCTTTGAAAGTTTGAAACTTCACAGTTTTACCAAGAGCTCTCTCTCTCTCTCTATTGTATCTTTTCCTCCCCTACTTAAGTATAATTGGCTCTATTCCCCCTTACTCTAATACTTATCTTGAAATTGTTTTGATATGGTGAAGAGATTCATGATTTAGAGAGTAGACTAAAGTTGTAGTTACTGCTTCCCACAAGTTATTATTGAAATTAGCAGCAAATCAAGAAAAAAAGTATAACAACAAAAACAATAATAAGTTGGCATATGTATCTCACTTCGGGGTTTGCAAAGCACTTTATGTATGTGAACTGATTGGACCTTCACAAAAATCATGTGAAGTAGGTGCTATTATTATTATTCTTATTTTATGGATAAGGAAACTGAGGCAGAGGATAGGTGACTTGCCCAGGGTCACATAACTTCAAGTTTTCCTGACTCCAAGGCCAGTACCCTATCCACCGCACCATCCATGCAACAGCTTTTTTTTAATACTACTCGTGAGAAAAAAAAAAAAAGTAGAGAACATAACAATCAGGGAGAAAAGGCCCATAGAAAGTAAGAAGTGGGGAGGGAGGGAGGAGTCAAGTCAGTAAGCATTTATTAAGTGCCTCCTATAGTCTAGGCACTCAGCTAAGCATTTGAGGATACAAAGAAATGAATAAAACAGTCCCTGTTCTCAAGGATCCCACAGTCTAATAGGGTAATGGAGAAGTAAATAACTATGTATAAATCGAGATAGGACAGGATGAATGAGAAGGAAGGCATAAGCATTAAGGAAGAATGGAAAAGGCTAAAAAGAGAAAAATAGTGGCTAACATTTATATAGTGTTTTAACTTCTACAAAGTGCTTTGTTTTTTAAAACCATATTCCAGAATTCACCTTGAATTTCCTAAAGTTTTTAGAGAGTTGATATGACCAGAGATAAAAGTGCTTTTGCTAAGATTTTTGCTTATAAAATTTAAGAGTACATACCTTGTCCATTCAAAATTATCTTCTTCAAAGATATTTTGGTTTAGCAAATCTGTCAATACATCTCTGCAGTGAACATAAATGGTAAGCAATGCCTCTAGGGTAATTTTTATTCGAAAATGAAGAGTGTCACACACCACTAGGTCTGCAAGTTGTCCTAGGAAGCCTATCAGTTTCTCAAGGACTTCTTTCAATGTCAAGGCTGGCTCAGAACTCTTAAAACTTTCAGTGCAGTTCATATTAAACATTATTTGGCTCTGAAAAGAGGACACAAGAATTTGATTATCCTTAATTTTTACTTTGTTGAATCACAAATTTCATTTTAAAGAAACATATAGACTTTTAAATTATGTCTCTATTTGGGCAGATATAGTCATACCTGATAAAATGAATTTTAACATTTAGCTAATTAGCAAATTGTTCTGACACTTACGTTTCCGTTCCTAAAAGTAAATCTTTGTTTCAGTAAAACTTTCTATCTTGATTAGAGTGCTAAATAAATAAAAACATATTTGCATATTACAAATACACATTTCAGTTTAAAAATCTTGAATTGTAATATAGGGAACAAGTATTAGTGAATACTTTAACTTATTAAAAGAAGTGATCAAAAGTTGTTGATCAACAAACAGTTCTCAAAAGAAAAATCACAAACTATTAAATAAATTAATAAATTAATAATTTGTTATTATTTATTAAAATATATTATATATAAATAATAATTTATTATTAATTATTAACATAATAAATAAATTGATAAATTAAATAAAAATAAAAAAGTCACAAAAAATTAACAACCACATGAAAGAATTTTCCAAATTACTATTAAGAGAAATATAAATCAAAACAATCCTGAGATTTCATCTAGCAAATTGGCCAAGAACATACAGGCAACACCATTTGTTGGGCGCAAGAACATAGGAGGGCTCCTAACACTAACATGTTCTAGTTGATCTGGTCAAACAGGAAGACAGCTTTGGAGGGGTTAAATAAACTTACTTTATTCTAGTCTAGTCTTCTCAAAAGAAGGTCGATGATAATGCCTGCAGCATTCCCTAATTACACTTCTTGAAGGGGTGGGCAAGAATGGTAGGAGCTACGACTCCTACCATCCCCTAAACCTCAATGGGGGCCAGTTGAGGCAAACACAGATTTCCCCTAAGCTTTGATGGAGGCTGATCAAGGCAGGTACATGCATTCCTCCATGCAATGCCCAAATTCCTAAAATTAGTTCCCCCCTTACTGACCAGTGCCCATTTGCTTTATAGGGCAACAGACAAAGAAGGCATCTTGCCAATATTAAGCTTACAGGTTAACATTGGCAATATTGTCATGACCTAGCACAGCACAGGTGTACGTTATGTCACCCCTATAGCTCTACTACAACCAAGTGGTAGAAGTTGTTTTCAACCATAGTTTGTGCAAAATATTATCTAGGATGCTGAAACTATTACCTAAAAAGGAATAAGAAAATCCTCCTTACACACAATAAGATTCACCTTACTTACAGAAATGTAAATCAAAAGAATCCTGAGGTTTCATTTAGCAAATTAGCCAAAATGACAAAAGATGGAAATTGTCAGTATTGGAGAGATTGTGCAAAGATGAATGCACTAAAGCATTGATGGTAGATCTGTGAATCAGTACAACCATTCTGTGAAGCAATTTGGAGTTATGCAAATAAAATGACTAAAATATCTATAACCTTTTGACCCTGAGATTTAACTGCTAAGCATCCACCCTAATTTATACATGCTATTTATAGCAGCACTTTTTTTTTTTTGTCGTAATCAGGAACCAGGAACAAAGTAGATACTGACTGGTGAATGACTTAAATTGTGGCACATAAATGTGTGGTATATGAATGTACTATAAGAAATTCTTCTCAATGATGAATACAAAGAAGCTTGGAAAGACTTATATGAACTGATGCAAAGTGAAATAATTAGAGTCAAGAAAAATTTTACATACCGATCAACAACAAAATAATTGGAAAAAATGCCCCCAAACAAAGTCGAATGTTGTGAAATTATATAGAACAAGCTTGCCTCAAAGATCTATTAGAATGAATTTCCTCCTGCTCCTTTGTACAGGTGGATGTCCGTGGGTGTGAAACATTGCATATAATTTCAGTTTTTTTCAATAGTTTGCTTAATTTTGCTGATTCCGTACCCTTACCCCTGCCACTTTTTATTCAATTCTTTGTACAAATGGATGGCTGTCTGGGAGGTAGATGGAGGAGGCATAAGGGAGAAATATGGGTTATATAAAAATAAAAAATATAAATAAGATGTCTTTTAAAAATAAAATGAATATTAGTAACTTTTTTCACTATTAGGAGTTTTATCAAAGCTTTCACAACAAAATGTATTGGTATAATTAGCTTGCTAGTATGAGTAAACATAAATTTATTAACAATATACTTGAGGTAATGAAGTACTTTTCACTTTTAAAAGTTTCAAAGGATTTTTTTTAAATGACAGAGGCAAAGGCAATGAAGATTTACCTTAGCTAAACAATTTTTTCTCATTAAAAGGTAAAAATTGTAATAATACAACAGCCACAAGGATGGTTACTTTTTTATATATCTTTTTTTATGCATCTGTTTTGTTGGCAATGTTTCCATAAACTGTTTATACTTTACATTCTATCTTGATAAATACTAACTTACCACAACAAGCACCACTTGTCCTGGATGAGTCTGTATCCATTCTCTAAAATTTTCCTGGTCCCATTCATTAATTCCTTTGTTTATAAACCTATAATTACAAAGTTTCATGTATGGCATTTATAAGCAATATTATTGATGATAACCTTTTACTTGCTGACTCAGAGTGAGTCAAAACTCAAAGTAATGGGGTAAGTTATATTTTTCAGAATCTTTGATTTCTCCATGTTATTATGGTACTTAAACAAAAAAGAGCTATTTAAGTCCTGTTCCATCCATGATGCTCATTTCTTCATTTTCTCTTCTGAGGTTGGCATATTCTTTGCCAGTGAAGGCCGATGAGCTACATGGATGGCAAGTGATTCTCAAATTTGCAGATAACAGAGAACTAGCAGGAGGGAAACACTGGTGAATACAAAGGCATATATTTGGGATATTAATCTGGCAGTGGTCCACAAGGTGGATTAGAAAGATGAGACTGGGGGCAGCTGGGTGGTGCAGTGCATAGAGCACCGGGCGTTGGAGTCAGGAGGATCTGAGTTCAAATCCGGCCTCAGACATGTAACACTCATTAGCTGTGTGACTCTGGGCAAGTCACTTAACCCAAATTGCCTCACCAAAAAAAAAAAAAAAGAAAGAAAGAAAGATGAGACTAATTTGGTCAGGAGCTATAGTCTAGGCTCACAGGGATGAGGGCAGCAGGTAGAACGCAAAGTAAGAGTTAGATGTAAGAGATGATATTAAAGATTAATCAATAGGATGTAGGAAGTAACTTCACTTGGGTTGTGAGAGAGGAAGGATTAATAGGACTAGAACATTTTGAGTCGGGTGATAGGGAAAATGGTAGAGATTTAGAGAGGGAGAAATCTGCAGTGGAAGACTCTTTGAAGGAAAGATGATGAATTTGATTTTAGACAGGCTTTATTAGAGTTCATGATGGGCTATCTAATTGGGAATGTCCAAAGTGTGGTTAGAAATGTGGAACTGGAACTCAGAAGAGGGGTCAAGACTGGAGAGATAAACAAATATGTAAATACTGCCTCCTGCTGTGCTTTTCCACTAGCTTCAATTCTGAATGGTACTTTGTTTTTTCCCCCCAAGACTGCATATCCCTATCTCACCCAGGCTGAAAGAACAGTGATCACTCATGGACCAGATCCCACTGCTAATCCACAGGTAAATCTCAATCTGCCCTACTTCTAATCTGGGCCTACTGACCTTCCCTTTGGCCCTTTACTCCTTGCGAGTTTGCCATATTGGTGTTGGGCTTAGTGTGGATACCCAATTACTTTTAGCTCTACTATAGCTGAGAACTCCCAAAGCAAATGATCTACCAGTGAATGACACTTTCTATAAAACATACAACTAAAAGACTTATAGGTTAATAAAATGCCACATCATCAGCCAATCTTTACCTCATCTCTGCCCTTGCCATATATATTCAACCTGACCAAAATTTCTCTAAATCTTCCCTCTTTACCTTATTACTAAAACCTTGGAAGAATATAATAGTAACAACAACAACAGTAACTAGCATTTAAATAGTGCCTTAAGGTTTGCAAATCACTTTGCAAATATTATTTCATTTGATCCTCACAATGACCCTGTGAGGAAGGTACTATTATTACCCTCATTTTACAGATGAGAAAACTGAGTCTGAGAGAGGTTAAGTAACTTAGCCACACAGTTAGTTGTTAAGGGTCTAAGCCAAGTTTTGAACTCAGATCTTCCAGTTATCAGGCTTAATACTCTATTTCCTGTGCCACCTAGCTTCTTCTAAGAGTAGACTATAGATAAGGGGCTCTTAACCTTTTTGTGTCATAGGTCACTTTGGCAGCCTGCTCACTCAATAAGCATTTATTGTTAAGTTGTTTCAATACTATCTGACTCTTCATGACCCCATTTGGGGTTTTCTTGGCAGAGATACTGGAGTGGCTTGCCATTTCCTTCTCCAGCTCATTTTATAGATGAGGAAACTGAGGCAAACAGGGTTAAGTGGCTTGCCCAGGGTCACAAAGCTAATAAGTGTTGGAGGCCAGATTTGAACTCAGGAAGATGAGTTTTTCTGACTTCAGATCTAGCATTCAATTCACTGTGCCACCTAGTTAAGCACTTACTAAGTTAAGCAATGTCAGGCACTGTACTAAATTCAGGGGATTTAAAAAAAAAAAGGCAAGAGACAGTCCCTGCTCTTAAGGAGTTTACACTCTGATGAGGGAAAAAACTTGAAAATAACTATGCACAAATAGGATGTATATTGTAGATAATCAAGAGAGAAAAAGCATTAAGGGTAATTGGGAATTTTCATGAGATTTACTTAACATCACTTCAAATAACGTTTTTTTTTTTTTTTAACTGTGACTGGGAGTAACAAATCAGATTTCAGCTGTTTTTTTTGGGCTAGGTTTTCTCCCAATGAGAATAATGCTAGAAAAAAAGGTTATTTTTGGTCAATGTGTGATCACTTTTCACATTTAGTTGTAAATGAAGGAGATAAACAACTTCTCTTCTGAACATGGAATAGTCTATTTACAGCTATATTTTTCCAATAAAGTTTCTTTTTGCTTCTTGGTGGTTTGCTTTCTTGTGTCTCAGGCAAAGAGATAGGGATGATACGGACATTGAAGACTTTGGTTGCATACAGCTTGTTGAAACCATTTAAACTGATGGATCAGTTGATTGAGCAATGGAATGGCTTGAAGTAGGCTTGGATGAAACTTCTTGACGAGGATTTAAAGAGGGATTCTTAAGAATTTTAAAGTCATCATAAGTAGCAATGAGTTGTTTCGTGGTAGATGAGTTTCTGATTGATGGTGGTTTGAAATTCCTTTTATATTTGCCAGCATGGTTTAAACTGCATTTTGAAGTATTCTGCTTGAGTTTGCAAGAATTAGAGGTGTTTTTTTTTCTTTTTTTTCTCTACTTTTATCTACACATGTTGTCTGAAGTGGCAAAGATTCAGCATATCTTGAGGTTTTCTGTTTGGATGAGCCTTTGGAGGAACTGGGCCATTCAATAAAGATTAGAGTACAGCAGCTGATTGGTAACTTTGGTTTCTCCTTTTGTATAGTCAGATGTTGTATTCTTTCCATTTTCAATAAATGACCTATTAATTGCTCAATGGAGATTCCTATAGGACCTTATGCCACTTTCTAATTTTGTAAATTTTGAGAAGGCCAGTTTGTGAAATCTAGAGTATTAAAAGGTGGAGGGAGAAAATCAGGATATGAAAATACTTCACTTGGCTATTTCAAGAAAGATTTTTCAAAGTCTTCTATTTCTTCTAGCTTTAAGTTCAGGAGCACTTTTTTTTAAGTGAGCAATGTATCATTTACTTTTTCATTTTCTGATAAATCACTTTCATCAGTTGTTGTTGCTATTGTTGTTTTTGTTCATCTGTCCTCCATGCTTAAGGAGGACCAATGACATCATGAGAATGATGTAATGACTTGTGTGTGAATTGGATTTAAGTGAGGCAGAGCCGTGAAAAGTCATCAGCCTCACTCTTTCCTCCAGAGTCATTCAAGTGAGTGGCAAGACATAACTCAAGATGACTGTCCATGACTCAGGATACAGTGGGTGACCTTGGCTCTTCTAAATTAAGGTCTTTCCTAGGTCTCAGGTAATTCCTGAGGTATTCCTAGGTAATAACTGAGACAAAAGATGACCCAATTTAACATCACAAAACTATCAATCTGGGAGGGGAAGACAATTAAAATTTCTGTCCAGAACAGAAAACAATTGCTATTTACACTCATTCTAAACCATTAAAACCTAAACAATGAGCCACAAAGACTTGGGTTGGAGATTATTATTGGCCATTCAATGACAGCCAGAGTGATTTGGTTTAAAGTATAGTCAAGTGGCTCCATTTGGAACCCAAAGAGCTTTTTAAAAAGCCTGTTTTTTTCAGAGCTATATTTCAAGAAATCATAAATGAAAACTGTATAGGACAAAAAGCAAATCGTCCCAGTTTTTTAAAAAAGAAAAAATAGTAAAACAAACAAATAGAAACAAAAATTTGAAAAAATTAAAAAATATAGGCTCCAAACCCTAAAACATCTTACAAAATATAAACAATTAAAAATTATTTTCCTATGGAAAGAGTTCCCACATGTAAGGAGGGGAACCACATTTGGAGAGGGAAGAAGGAGAAGGAGAAAGAGGAGGAAGAGGAGAAGAAAGAGGAGAAGAATGGAAAAGGAGGAGAAAGAGAAGGGAGAGGAGGAGAAGGAGGAGAAAGGAGGAGGAGAAGCATTCCCTAACTTCTGCTCATATTGACAGGATCTCAGATGGCAGCTACTACTATGCTCAGATAAGAAGGTAAAGACAGTTAATGCAAAACATTCTCCTAAAATCTGGTTTACCACTTCCCACAAACACACACTACATCCATGGGAGGCACAAACTTAAACTTAGACCATAATAACAGTGAGGCACGTGTGTAAGGAATACGTGTGACAAAGGTTCAATTCACAACCCCTACTCTGGAAGTCCTTCTCTCTGTGTAAAGACCCCATGCAGAACTCGTTGTTGTTGTCTTCGTTGGTGGTGGTGGTCCTTTGTTTTCAAAAAGGGCCAATGACCTCACGAGGGAGATGTCTTGACATGTGCATGAATTGGATTTAAGTGAGGCAGAGCTGTGCAAAGTCATCAGCCTCACTCTTCTCCAGCCTCATCAGAGTCCAGTGGAAAGACAAAGATCCAGATGACAGGTGAAGGCCCAGTCTTTCATCAGTTAGATTTTCTTCCAATGCTGCTGTTCTCATATTTCACATTCCAATTTGGAACAGATAAAGTTTCATCATTGATGCTTTCTATAGCTGGATATGAGTTACTCTGAGGCTTGTTTCTATCTTTGCAAAGGTGTCTATCAGCATAAGGCCAGCAGAGACTTAATGGCATCTGTTGTAGTCCAGGGTAAAACCCTGAGTGCTTCAGTGGGAGAGCATGATTCATGTTGATGGGTGGACTGTGATGTTATACTATGTTTCGATTAATGTCATTTTGCCTTCTATTGGTAAATATTTCATGATCAAGAGTTAATAGCATCAGCAGTGATTAATTTGTATAAATAAAAAAAAATAAATTTGTATAAGGGACTCAGGATCTATAGTTGTGACTAGTAGGCATTTTGCCTATCCTTACACCAGGAATACCCCTAGCATCCTGAGAATGAGTACCAGTAGTGTGGTGCACAGTTGTGACCGGTCCTACCCCAGGGAAACCATTGAGAGCTCCCAGCATGAATGCAGGTTGGAGTGGGTCAAAACTCAGAAACAACGAGAGAATAAAGGATATTGAGTGTGATGCTGGTTGGTGGTATTACATGTAGGCTAAATAAGCATTCAACTGAAGCTGAGAAGGGAGAAGAGTAGACAAGATAGTCTTGTTTTAATGATAAATTTGCGCTAATGAGGTAAATAAATCAAAGAAAAATCCAATGCGTACAACACAGTAAGTTAGAATGGAAAGACAAGTTAGGCAAAAAGAGAATCCTCAGCAAAACTGTTACTGTCAAGTACTTCAGATGTAAAAATGATCACTAGGGATAAGGGATTTTGTAGGGTAAAAGTAAAGCAAAATGTTTTCAAATTTCTCAATTTCGTAGGAATCATGTGTGACAATTGAGCATCAGTATTAAGGGAAGTTTTCAACTTTATCAAAATCTCACAGTATACAAAAATCTTATGAAGGCTTTGTATGATAGTGCAGTCAATTTTCCATATAGCCATGTTATATGGAAGCTACATTGCCTAGGGAATTCATATGTTAGATCCATCTGGAAATTTCTCAAAGAATGATAGATTATCAGATTGTTCAGCTGCTAGTTCAGGGATTCATTACTGACTATCTGGATTGTTCTAAAAGTTTTAGAATTTGTCTTCTGGCCTCTAGTCTCTTGTATCTTTCATCTTGCACTGAAATATCAAACTAATCTAATATATAGGCCATACTATGTCACTATCCTCTTCAAAAACCATCAAAAACCATCAATAGCTCCCTGTTTCCACCATGGGATAAAATATATAGACTGGCACTTATTTGTTTTCTCTATAATCTGACTCCCACCTACTTGGTAGGCTTATTTTATAACACTTTCTTTCCTATACTTTATTTTCTAGCCATATTGGACTATTGGCTGTTCTTTGACTCATTCTGTTTCCTGTGACTTCTGTGCATTCACAAAGAATGTCTTTCATGCCTGGAATATATTCCTTCCTCATATCTGCCTTTTGAAATCTGAGTGACCCTCAAGGCCCAGCTCAGGTTGTCTTTTTTTTCCCCCATTCCATATCAGTTATCTCTTTTAATCCTCATGTCTTTAATCATAAAACTTTATACAGTAATATACATATATATGGTTAAAATTCTTTTTTTTACCATCAAATGAGCCAAAAATATCGATTAGCTGCATATAAATTTCTTATAAACACAATAAATTCAGATTTTAATTTTTTATCCTTCTCATGTTTCTTTTTTTTCCGTATAATGACTTTTATCATTCTAACTTGCTTTTCTCTTTTACATATTTATATCACTCAATATTTCTGCTCCTATTCTATTCCCTCCTCCATAAAACCTTATTTGGATCATCAGAGCTGAAAGTGATCTCTCCTTCCTCAAAATTTTAAGAATGTTTTTGATTCTCTCTTTGTACCATAATTCATCCTTTTTATCATATTCATTAGCTTTCTTAATTTCTTCATACTGTAAATTCCTTGAATTTGGAAAAACTTTTTAATTCAGTATGTAGTCGGTGCTTAATAGATATTTTTGAATTGATAGTTAAGCTGAGAATCTAGAACATAACTTTAAAGATACTAAAGCCACACTTACATCTTTACCATATCAAACATGTTCTTCTCCACATTTACCAGCCATTGTTCTACAGCAGTTCTTACATGAACTTTCCTATAAGTTTGTCAAAAAAGGGTTATTAAAAATTACTTAGTGATACATATTAAAATGCTTCATTAAATTTACAGTTGTAATAAATTCCTAAGTATTGCTTTGATTACAGTTGTGGGTCAAAGAGAAGAAAAACCTATATTATCATATGAACTCACAGATACTATCATTAAATATTATGCATATAACCTATCAAAATATGTAATTGGGGATCTTTAAAAACTGCATGTCCCCATCTCACCCAAGCTCGAACAGCAGAGACCTGACCTGATCCCATTACTGAGCAGCATGGGAGTTTTGACCTGCTCTTTTCCTGATGTGGGCCAGTTTGACTCTCCTTAGGCAACCTGGTGGCCCTCCTCTCTTGAGGACTCGCCATATTAATGCTGAATTTAGTATAGACATTCAAGCAGCAAAGGCTGCCGCTGCTACAGCTTGCTACTCCCGAGCTCAAGAGTTCCACCAATCTAAGCCTCCCTGGGAACAACTCATCATGATATAGACGCCCTTCACACAGGTATCCTCAATACCTGGGATACATTCCCTTTCCATCTCAGATTCCTAGAGGCTTTAGTTTTCTTAAAGCTATAGCTGCTGCTGGTGTGTCACTACACAGAATAAACCAGCCAACCAAGGTCCCAAGATAAAGAAAACTTAATTACAGAGCTTAAGTCCTCAGGCCTGCCCTGGGAGCCCACAAGTCCAACTATGGCAATGCTGCCCCATGCACCTCCTTGTCCTGCCCCCCAGGATGGCCAAGCACTACATAAACACACACACACACACACAGAGTGCTGACTTTCTACGATACAGAAGTATTCCCTTTGTGCCACAGGAATCATTGGACCATTCTTGTGATTTCCTTAATATAAAGAGATCCCATTAAGGAAACTCTCTCTACCCGTGAAGCCCAGCATCTGCTTTACAACATAGAATCTTTGAGAGCCATTTAGGGTACTACAAGATTAAGTGACGTGCCCAGAGCCACATAACCAGTATTTTTTCATGAGTAGGACTTGAACACAGGTTTTCCTGATTTTTAGGCCAGTTTTCTATACACTAGGCCAGGCTGGGATGGTTGGGATGGTTGGGATGTAAAGTCAATCAGTTATTTCTCTTGAAATGGAAGGAGGAAATATGACAGACATTATTTAATAATCATCCATTAGGAGCTGTGTGCTGCTGTATTTAGATACCCCTTCAATGGGTCCAAGGAACATGATCAAGGGAGAGTAGATCTATTGTAATCAGAAACCGAACTAGGAATTCCACCTAGAACAATCCATTGGAATATTGAAAGCAAAGACTGTGGAACTCCATGAGGCTGATATTAGCCAGATTGGCACTGAGGGGGGAAGGGCGACGCTAGAGATGGGACAGGTAGCTTTTAAAGAGCTCATCTGGGGGTATAACCAGCATAGGGGAGAAAGCATGCCATTTGGTACCTTTCTATTTTTAAAACAAATTGTTCTTGCTAATCAGGTACCAAGTTCAATGTAAGTGCTTCTAGTACCCTTTAAATTTTGGCATCCTGGGCTAAAACTCAAGTCATCTTGCTTGACTTATGGCACTGGCTGTAACTAGCTCAGCCAGTTTGCCAAGACTGGCAGAGATCCAGGCTTCCTTTCCCATTCCCTCCAGCCTGAAGAGAGAGAAAGACAAAGTGAAGTTGCCATTAAGGGTAGCAGTAACAACCACAACGACAGCAAATAGAAACGAATCTCTAGAGAATACTGATAAGAAAGGGGTAAGTTCTGCAAAGGAGAGTGGGAAACCTGTTGTGAAAAAAGCATTGGAAAGTTCAAGAGGTGACAGTGATAAAAAGAGAGTGGAACTTGTTGTTGCAGATTTTTTGGTGTTTTTTTTTTAATAAGAAGTAGAGAATACATTGTGAACAAAATTTGTGGGTTAGAATAGGCTGTGCAAAAAGGACGGGGAAGTAAGAGTTGCAGGAGAAAAGATTGCAAAAGTCTGCTAGTGGATTTTTTGAGTCTTAGCTTAAGTGAGTTTTTTATTTTGTTAAAGGCTTTTTGATATCTGCGGATATAATCTGGAGGGATTTGTTTGTTTTATGATCAGTTATGTTGTTTTCCTAAGTACAAATACAACTTGGCCAGAATGAATAATTTTTGGATAAATTGTTATAAGATCTTATTTCATGTTTTCATGACCACATTTATTAGTGATGTTGGTTTACAATTCCCTTTTTCAGTTTTATCCTTCCATAGTTTAGATTTGGGGCAGCTAGGTGGTGCAATAGATAGAGTGCTAGTCAGGAAGACTCATCTTCCTCAGTTTAAATCTGGTCTCAGATATGTACTAGCTGTGTGACCTTGGGCATGTCACTTAACCCTGTTTGTCTCAGTTTCCTCATCTATAAAATGAGCTGGAGAAGGAAATGGCAAACTGCTCCAGTATCTTTACCGAGAAAACCCCACCTGGGGTCACAAAGAGTCAGACATGACTGAAACGACTAAATGAAAATGAGTTTAGATATTAGGAACATATTTGTCTAAAAAAAGGAGTTTATAAAATTCCTTTTCAATTATTGAGAATAATTTATGCAGCATAATTATTAATTGTTCCTTCACTGATTAATTTTACTTGTAAATCCATCTGGATCAGGCTTCCTCCCCTTTCCTCCCCTTCGTTTGTTCAACGTCAGTTTTTAATATTGAGTTGTATGAGATTTCTACCTCTTGTTTTTCACTTAGTAATAAATTCTAAGGCCCCATATTGTCCATTTTTAGTATTTGTCTAAGGTGTGTACACACACACACACATACACACACTTATACACACATTGATAGAGAAGTTCTATGGGTTGTTGATCCCTAGCTGCACATCACAGTTGGACAGCAGACATTCTTCACAGACTTGATTTTTCTTGTGTGGATAGATAAGTCAAATTCCTTTGAATGATTCTCATTTAGGGAACTCAGCAATGTTCTATGGCATGATGCAGGCAACACAATGTCATATGACAACTGAAACTTTTGGAAGACCTCACTTTCTATATGGAACCTCATTTGCATTTGGATCCTATGTTGAACATTTTTCATGATGGTCACAAACATTTTTAGGAAGCATGTTTCCCTACTTTATGCCAACTTTGAGACTAAACAAAGGATCATCAAATAAATTCCTTTCTCTTGTTAAGTCTTTCAAGGAGTCTTGTATGATTTTGATGAATGCATACCAAATTTTGTCTGTATTGGTCTTCTAATCTCATCCTTAAAGGACCTCTGGACAGCTTTGCTTAGGGGATCCTAAGAGACTTTCTCTAAACTATTTTTCCCATCTACTGCTTCTTGCTGTTTGAGGAAGTGATAATTCTCCACCATAAACTTCCATCATTCTTCTCTGTAAGATTTTACAAGTAAGTTGATATTCTAAAATGATATTGCCCTTAGCTGCCATATCTCTCAAGTTGGTGAATAAAGGGAAGGGAATAAGCATTTATATAGCACCTACTAGGCGCTAGTCATTATAATAAGTGCTTTGCAAATATTAACTCATATAATCAAATAGGTCAAGTTTTTGCTGACTCACTTGCCTATAGTTGTAAAAACACATTATTGTTTTAGTTACTGTATGCTGAAGTGTAATTTTAAACAACTTCCAAAGCTTATTTCTTAATTATCTTAAACATATGCTTATCTTATTTTTTATCTCTTAATATGCATTATTTATGAATCAGTCATAGGGTTAGGGGAAGGCGAGGAAGGCTGGCACTTATGGAATTAGAGATACAATAAGATACATTTTAATATATTAAATAATATATGCATTTTAAACAAATATGCATATTTTAATGCCATAAAATGTTACTCTCTGACCCATAGTTATTAACTATATGAGTAACCAATTTGCATGTATTGTAGTAAAAACTTGAAGCCTCCAAATACAGGAAGATAGAGGAGCTCAGTTTTTGAAAAGAGAGGAGAGATAAGGAGAAGTGCCATTTTCAAGGTTTTACTATGACACCCAAATGTCTTGTACCCACTCTACTATGAGTAAAGGGTTTGCTAAATAAACACACACTTTAGCTAAGACCCTTTAAAGAATGACCATAAATCCCAAATAAGAATATTTTCTATTATTAAGATTTTTCTATATCTAAAGATTAAACATTAAATATATACTATACTTTGGCAGAAGAAGTGTTTCGCCTTCAGCTGATATAAGTGACGTGACCAGAGGAGGGCCTATTTCTTTTTTCCATATAAACAACTGTCTTATGTTCTCAAAACATTTCATAAGATGAGGCTGTGGACCAGAAACATAACTAAATAGCATCATAAAGTCTTGACATGGTCAAGAAAGAATATTCCTAAGCACAGTACTAAAATATTACCTGGATAGCCTCGGGATTTTTGCTTTCAGCCAGAATGTCAATGAGTTCAGCATTGCTAAGAAAGTAAAATCTTGGGAAAATCATTCTCTTCACTTCAAGATATTCCTGTCTCAGAGAACATAGAGAAATATGATTAAGAACCCCAATACACTGATGTGAAGATATCATATATTTTCTATGATATACAATAAATATGCATAAAACCAAAGCCATTGGAGATAAAGTATATATTCCAGCACCATTCTAAAATGACATTTTCTTTTGAAATAGTATGTTATAGTAGAAAGAGTAGAGATTTCATAGCGAGAAGAAACACGGGTTCAAATCCTGTCTTTGACATCAACTGGCAATGTGACCATGGGCAAATCACTTAACCTCTCAGGTTTTCCTCATTTGTAAAATTGAGTGGATACCTATAATAGTCCTTACTTTACAAGACTGTTGTGAGAGAAATGTGCTAACTAATGTATATACTGTATTTTTGTAAATCCTAAAGTGCTTTAGGATGAACAAAATGCGTTTTCAAAACATTTTATTATTAACCACCAGCAAACATATTGCATTGTGGTGGTATTGACATGACTGCTACATAGACCATTTTTGCCATGTTCCTGAGGTATGCCCACCATTATTTTTTCCTTCTGAACTCTTCCAAAGGAAACTGTAAGGACAACTTGGAGGATAGATTCACCTTTAATATTCTTTTACTGCTCATGTGGTAAAGTGTGCCACGGTCAAGGTTAATATGTCACCTCCTGTCCCCTTATTTTCTTGTTAGGTATCATGTTGTTATCTCAGTTGTTATAACATTTCTTTTCCCAAGGAGTTTTCATCTTTTCAAGAATATACCCAGAAAATTTCCAACTTCTCTTTATCTTAAGTGATTTCTCCTTTTCTGAATATTTATTTTTCTCTTAGTAGTCAACACATCCAGAGCCTCTACCAGGTAGCCATTTTCTTGGACTTTGCTATCCTCCAAACCAGGGCAGAAAACATTTTGCTATCAAAGAACAGTGGTTACTCAGAATGAGAGTCGTCTCCACTTTATACAGATTTCATCAGAGCCCAGCATACACCCAAAGTTTGGAAGCCTGGGAGTGACCATGATAAGAGGTCTACTGACCAACTCTTCTTCCACTATCCCTGAAGTTGATACTAACTGCCAGAATTATCTTACCTCTACAGTATAGAAGTGGTTAAAGTATGTAAACAGGGACTTTCTCAAAAGGAAATACACAAATGAGAAATAATGCACAAATGATCAATAACCAAGAAATCTGTTAAAATTATTTACCTGAAAAATAACAATTAAAACAACTCTGAGATGCCACTTTATTGACCAATAAAATGACAAAGACAGTTGAAAACAAAATTCAGTCTTGTTTGGACTGTGTAGACAGTGTTATATGCCTGTGGAAGATTTGTGAATTGCCATAATAATTTTAGAAAGCACTAAAGCATTATATAGAAAGAGTTCTAATGTTTATTCTTTTTCACTTAGTTATCCCACTGAAACTAAATCCTAATGTTGTTATTGAAAGGCAAAAAAATACTTATATGTACAAAAATATTAATAGAAACATTATTTATAGTAGCAGTGCTTTAAAATAATGTGTCCACTGAGCAATGGCTGAACAACTGTGGCATATGAATATAATGGGATATGATTCCAGTGTGGAGAATGTACTGTCCCAAGCTTCAAGGGGTTTTGTGCAGTTGTGTTCAGAGATACTTCTAGGGACTTGTAAATTTTCAGTTCTTCCAAGGTGTTATGATCAAGGGCAAGGTGTTTATTCCTTTCCTGGCCTGTGCTCTGGTCTATGAGCACCCCTTTTCTGTCTTGGAACTGTGAATAGGGGTTTCCTCTCCACAGCCACTACAAGCTCCACCACGCCAGTGCTCCTCCTTGCCCCAGCACCACCACCCAGAACTGGTCCCAGATCCAAGCTCGGGCAAAGCAAGAGAATCCTGCACCAGCAGAGAGATCCCTGCAATCCCCCTCTGATGTATTAAGTGATAATAGAAAGATTACAAATAAAATGATATATACAGAAATATAAATGAAAGAAGACAATTAGAATAACATGCACATTGACTATGGATATGTAATAATGGTAAGGATAATAATAGCAACAAAATTTTTAAAAATAGAAAAGTTAGGAAAGGAAGGTGAAAATTTTGCTAATCTTATCAAAATTAATTTACATTTTAAAACAAATTATAAATAATGTAGTTTATAGTTTCATTTTTCATCTCTTTTTTTAAAATATATTTGGATTTGGTTTCTCTGGATGGTTACTAAGTTTAGAATAAGTAAAAATCCTTTTTAAAGAAATTGGCCTGAGGGGGTGGAGCCAACATAGTGGAGTAAAAGCAGTGACTTGCTTGAGCTCTCCCCCAAAACCCTCCAAATACCTATAAAAAAATGGCTCTAAACAAATTCTAAAACAACAGAACCCACAAAAAGACAGACTGAAACAAATTTCCAGGCCAAGATAGCTTGGATGGTTGATCAGAAAGGTATATTGTGCCAGGCTGGGAGAGGAATGTGCAGAGGGTGCGCCACAGCGAACCTGGAGCAGGCCTCAGAGGGTTGAATTGCAGGCAGCTGGGGTGGTTTCCAGACTTCTCAACCCAGGAACGCCAAAGACAACTTGAAAGGTCAGTGGGAAAAGTCTGTGTCGGAGGGGAGAGAGAGAAGCCAGTGGTCTCAGCTCTAGTCCCCGAGCTTGGTGGGGGCAGCAGCTGCTTCCTGAGCTTTCAGCCCACAGACTGAGGGGGAATCGAGTGGCTGATCAGAGAGGGATTGCAGGGATCTCTCTGCTGGTGCAGGATTCTCTTGCTTTGCCTGAGCTTGGATCTGGGACACAGTTCTGGGTGGCGATGCTGGGGCAAGGAGGAGCACTGGTGTGGTGGAGCTTGTAGTGGCTGTGGAGAGGAAACCCCTATTCACAGTTTCAAGACAGAAAAGAGTGCTTGTGGTCACTCATAGACCAGAGCACAGGCCAGGAAAGGAGTAAACACCTAGCCCTTGATCATAGCACCTTGGAAGAACTGAAAATTTACAGGTCCCTAGAAGTATCTCTGAACACAACTGCACAAAACCCCTGAAGCTTGGGACAGTGCATTCTCCACACTGGAAACAGACTCCTACCTTAACAAAGAGTTTATAACTCAAGTAATTGGCTGGGATCATGAGCAAGCAGCACAAAAAGAGTCAGACTATATTATCTTATTTTGATGACAAAGAAGATCAAAACATACAATCAGAAGAAGACAATGAAGTCAAAGCTCCTACATCCAAAGCCTCCAAGAAAAATATGAATTGGTCCCAGGCCATGGAAAAGCTCAAAAAGGATTTTGAGAAGCAAGTAAGAGAAGTAGAGGAAAAACTGAGTGATGCTAAAGGAGACCCAAAAAAATTCTGAAGAAAACAACACCTTAAAAATAGCCTAACCCAAATGGCAAAAGAGGTCAAAAAAGCCAATGAAGAGAAGAATGCCCTAAAGAGCAAAATTGGACAAATGGAAAAGGAAGTCCAAAAGATTATTGAAGAAAATACTTCCTTAAAAATTAGAATAGAGCGATTGGAAGCTAGTGACTTTATGAGAAATCAAGGCACTGTAACACTAATCAAAAGGAATGAAAAATTAGAAGAGAATGTGAAATATGTCATTGGAAAAACAACTGACCTGGAAAATAGATCCAGGAGAGAGAACTTAAAAATTATTGGACTATCTGAAAGCCATGATCAAAAAAAGAGCCTAGATATCATCTTTCAAGAAATTATCAAGGAAAACTGCCCTGATATTTTAGAACCAGAGGGCAAAATAGAAATGGAAAGAATCCACTGATCACCTCCTGAAAGAAATCCCCAAAGGAAAACTCCAAGGAATGTTGTAGCCAAATTCCAGAATTCCCAGGTCAAAGAGAAGATATTGCAAGCAGCCAGAAGGAAACAATTCAAGTACTGTGGAAACACAATCAGGATAACACAAGATTTAGCAGCTTCTACATTAAGGGTCCAGAGGGCATAGAGTATGATATTCCAGAGGACAAAGGAATTAGGACTACAACCTAGAATCACCTACCCAGCAAAACTGAGGATAATCCTTCAGGGTAGAAAATGGTCATTCAGTGAAAGAGAGGACTTTCAAGGATTCCTGTGGAAAAGACCAGAGCTGAATAGAAAATTTGACCTTCAAATACAAGACTCTAGTGAAACACGGAAGAGGTAAACAGGAAAGAGAAATCATAAGAGACTTATTAAGGTTGAACTGTTTACATTCCTGAATGGAAAGATGATATTTGTAACTCATGAATCCTTTGTCAGTATGAGGGTAGTGGGAGGGAAAAAAATTATATGTTTGTATAGATAGATAGAGGGCACAGGGTGAGTTGAAGATGAAGGGGTGATATCTGGAAAATAAAATTAAGGGATGGGAGAAGATTATACTGGGAGAAGGAGAAAGGGAGAAGTAGAATGGGGTAAAATATCTCACATGAAACAGACAAGAAAAGGCTTTTACAGTGGAGGGGAAATGGGGGAAGGTGAGAGAGAATGAGTGAATCTCATTCTCATAGGACTTGGCTTAAGGAGGGAATAACATACATAACAGAGTTTGGGAATCTATCTTACCCTACAGGAAAATTAGGGGGGAAGGGGACAAGAGAGCAGGGGGTTGATAGAGGGGCCAGCAGATTGAGGGAGGGGATAATCAAAAGCAAACACTTCTGAGGAGGGACAGGGTCAAAAGAGAGACTAGAATAAATGGGGGGTAGGATAGGATGAAGGGAAATATACTTAGTTTTTCACAACAGGACTATTATGGAAGGGTTTTGCAAGACTACACATCTATAACCTGTATTGAGATGCTTGCCTTTTCAATGAGGGTGGGTGGGGAGGAAGGAAGGGAGAAAATTTGTAACCCAAAGTTTTAAAAACACATGTTAAAAAGAAAAAAAAGAAAGAAAGTATCACTTGGGGTTCTGTCAGCTTTTCCTGGGACTTCCAGCAGTGTTCTCCCCTCCTACCTCCAGGCACATGGCAGGGAGAGCATGTGCTTACTTAAGTGAGCCTAAATCTGGACATCTTCGGCACACTTTGCCTTGCATTGAACACAGTAGGTCTACTACCAGAGATATAAGAAATGGATCTTTTCAGCCTTCACAGATACTTTGAGAGTCTGAGGGTTCCTGGCTTCCTGGGTCAGTCTCCCCTGTCAGTGGGATAAGCTTACTGTGACTACATCATTTGTCAGAAAAGATAACCAAGGATAGGGGTGTCCTAAGCCTAAATAGACTAAGAAGAGCCATCATTGGCTGCCCGAGAGATCTGGACTTGTGGCATGTTGGGAAGCAGCATATGCTGGGTAAATGTGAATGAATACCTGTTGAGTTGTCCCAAAGAAATGACCTTAATACATAATGGAGATGGCTATGTTTAAAAAAAAAAAAAGAAAGAAATTGGCCTACTGAACCACACTCTCTATAACATATTGCCATCAAGTTTCAGAGACACAGTAGCACTAACCACCCTAATTTCAATATGATGCTTATCCCACAATTTGGGTTCTCCTCTACCCCCTGATACGTATGAGACTATCAATGGTGCTGTATTGTATACTGTGTTGCGATAATGAAAAGTCCCATGTGATACTGTGCTGTACTGAATGAAAAGATTCTTTATGCTAAAATGACTAAGTTTTACCTCAAGACTTCTCTTTATTTTTTCAAGATACACACTGGTTGCTTGCAACATTTCAAGGATTCCTACTGATATGACTATTTTCAGAGCCTCAGGTTTATTGTCTACTCTTGACGTTATATCTTTCCATATAGAAGTCACGTCAGCAAAAAGCTTTGCTTCTGCTGAAAGCTGCCTTTATAAATAGAAACAAGATCTGAGATGACTTGAATTTTCTAAAGGACTATCTCAATTCTTAACATAAAATAATCTTCTGCCAAGAAATATTTATTATATTTATAAAAATAGGTTTGCACATCATATTGACAGTGCTGTCAATTTATTATATATTGTCCTTTAATAGATTTTGGATATCTGTTCTATTTAAAGTCACAGGAGTTTTGTTAAGGATTTTTGACTCATTCCAATATACTATATACTATTCTTTTGATTTTTTTTTAAAGAAAAAGGATAATGTAAAATGGATAAATAATACATCATAATGCCCTTATTTTAGGTAAGTAGACCTCATCTTATTTAAAATTCTAGGAGCATTTCTTTTTCCATTACGTTGGAAAGGAAATTGATAGAGAACAATGTTAGCACTCTGTCAATGATTGCGACTTAATCATGAATGAGCTTTTAGTCCTTTGTCTGTACTAAAACTTTCTTTTTTTTCTTCTTAAACTAACATATTTATTTTTAGTTTTCAACATTCACTTCCACAAGATTTTGATTTCCAAATTTTCTCCCCATCTCGTCCCTCCCCCCACCCCAAGATGGTATGCATTCTGAATACCCCTTCTCCTAATCTGCCCTCCCTTCTATCTCTCCCCACCTTCTTTTATCCCCTTCCCCTTTAATTTTCCTGTATGTACTAAAACTTTCAAGATGGCATTCAGAGTACTGATAAAACTATCAATAGAAGAAACTTAACCTTATAACCATTATAATTTCCCCAGCCTTTCTCTTTCCTGGTGGCAGCTAGGTAGCACAGTGGATATAGTGTGATGCCTGGGGTCAGGAAGACTCATCTTTGTGAGTTCAAATCTGGCCTCAGACACTCACTAGCTGTGTGACCCTGGGCAAGTTACTTAACCCTGTTTTCCTCAGTTCCCTCATCTGTAAAATGAGCTGGAGAAGGAAATGTCAAAGCACTCCAATATCTTTGCCAAGAAAACCCCAAATGGGGTCATAAAGAGTCAGACAGAACTGAAAACGACTGAACAACAACAAAATTCTCTTTCCTGAGCTCCAATCCCACACCAGTGCCTATTAGATATTTTGAACCACATCTCCCTTAGGCATCTCAAACTCAACAAGTCCAAAATAGAATCCACTAACTTTTCCTCCCAAACCTGTCTTCTAAACTTTCCTATTATCGTTTAAGACACCACCACCCTTCCAGACATTCCAGTTGACAATTTCAGTGTCATCCTAGTCTTCTCACCCTCATTCACCCACTTATCCATCAGTTGCCAAATCTTATCATTTCTATCCTACAACATCTCTTACATACATTCCCCTCTGTCTACTCACATAGCCACTGTCCTAGCTCATGCTCTTCTTATTACGTCTTGCCTGGACTATTACAGTGGTCTATTTGGTATCCCTACTCAAGCCTCTCTCCACTCGGCTGCCAAAAAGATTTTCCTAAAGTGTGCATCTCACTATGTTAGCTCCCCACTCAATGATCTCCAGTAGCTTTTATTACTACTGAGATCACAGAAACTTTTCTTTGAAACTTAAAGATATTCACAACCTGTCCCCTTTGTAGCTTAACAGTCTTCCTAAACATTACTTCCATCTGCCTGCTCTATGGTCCTGGTGAATTGGCCTAACCAATGCTCTGCAGATAGAGTATTCCATTTCCCATCTCTACATCTTTGTATTAACTATCCTCTATAACTGGAATTCTCTCTGCCTTGTAGGATTTCTGTCATCCTTCAAAACTCAGCCCCCAGTGCCTTTCTTTGTCCCCTCAACTACTTCTCCTCTAAGCTTATCTTGAATTATTTACCATATGTGTATTATCAATATTTATGTACATATTGTTTACCCCATCAGAATATACGCTCTTTGAATGCAGAAGTACTTTTCATCTTTCTTTTGATCTGCAGTGCTTAGCACGGTGTGAGGCTCATAGAAAGCACTTGATAAATGCTTGTTAATTGACTTGTTTTGTTCAATACTAAAGAAAGTCCAGCCCAGAGAAACATAATGCTACTAAATACAATATGACTTAACATGATGATGATGATGCCTATCACTAAGTATATAGACTGGGCAGTCTGGAACTATTTTCGTAGTCTTGTAGTACGGGAAACAAAAAGAAACAATTGCAATTTTCCCATTTTCCTTATATTTTCATCTCACTAATTGAAGAGTGAGCCCCTCTAGAAATGATATTTGGAATTGTCATCCTAAAAAAAATTATAATAAAGATTTCTTTGCTCTTCAAAGACCTCTGTAACTTGGCCCCTTCCTCGCTTTTCTGTCTTCTCACACTGTACTCCCGTCTGTATACTCTACAATTCAGTGACACTGATCTCCTTGCCTCTTCACTCATAGGACAATCTATCTCCTGACTGACCTTGTATCTTCTGACTGACCCCCATGCCTGGAGGGCTATACCTTTCCAGCACAGTCTCTTGCCTAACCTGAAGTTTCAGCTAAACTTTCACCTTCTTCAAGAAGTCTTTCCATATCTACCTCAATGCTAGCACCTCCCCTCTGGAATTGCCTCCCATTTACTCTGTGGATATTTTATATGTACATAGTTGTTTGCATATTCTCTCCCTCATTATACTTGGTATGACTGTGTTTTGCTTTTTTTTTTTTTACAGACCTACAGCTTAGCCCAGTACTAAGCACTTAATAAATGCTTGTTAACTTATTTGTCAAGTTATATTTTGATCTGTAGCCCAAAATAATCTTAATGTATTCAGTTAAAGAAACTTAATATGGTAAAAGTAATAAAAAATGGGAGAAATAACATACATTTTCCAGTAAATATCTATTTTACTTTGTATACCTTCGTATTTCAGGAGCAAGAAAAATGGGTTCAAGATAAAGCCAGTTTCTTTGACATGTCATCCACTCATCCAAAGTGTGAGAGAAAAGTTCCAATTTCTGGTCCCAGTCATCTGCAAGAGACTATATTAAAAAGAACATTTTTAATAAAACAAAATCTAAATACTGCCAATATTCTTTTTTAGAGAAAGAATACTCAACATTAGCAAGGATTTCTGTTGAGGGTCATAATCAGAGGAAGAATCAATAGTCATGAATTTGTTTTTAAGAAAAATTCACTTTTTACTTTTTGTTCTAATAGACAACAATATAAAACATTTCACTTGTCCACTTTCAGAATTAAGAAATGGGATAATAAATATTCAACAAATACAATAAATAAGTAGATATAGAAATACATCATATGGGGGTGGGGGAGAAAAGAAAAAGACGGAAGGAAGGAAAGAAGAAAGGGGGAAGGGAGAGAGGGAAGGAGGGAGGGAGGGAGAGACACAGAGAGAGGAAAAAAAAAGAGACAGAGCACAGAAGCTTATGAGGTTATCTCACTACCCTCATTCTTCCTCCTCTGCTACAATGGGACTATAAGATCCAATGCAGTAACTTCAGCAATGTACTCTATTATTTCTTAGCTCTCTTGCTACCCTTACTGGTAACTCCCAAATTTTCCTAGACATTCTTCCCAGAATGAAGATGCTAGATGTTAATCCAGTTTATTTTTTAAAATTTATATATTTTGCCAAGGTACTCTGCATTTAGCTTTCTTAACAACAGACACTTCTTCAGCCTTTATTTAGCTTTAGGAGCGGGAACCCAAAACAATGCTACATGTAATTTATTTTACCAGGACACAGGTCTTATAGCTCAAAGTGGCAGTGTCCTATCTGATCAGACAACTGTAGATTTAGAGCCGAAAGGGAAGTATTCATTTTAGAGTTCCTCTAATCTAATGCCCTCACATTATTTTTTTAACCTTTAAATTCTCTTTTAAATTAAATTTTGTGTGTTTTTAAATAAAAAGTTGATATTCTTTCTTACACTGAGACCTCAACTGGAGGGAGAGGAGGTGGTGGGAATCAAACCCTTGAGATGTGTGTAATCAAGCAAAACAAATTCCCTGATTGGCCACGTTCAAAAATTATGTCTCTCATTCTACAGTGAAAGTTCATCACTTCTCTATCAAGCCTAGAAATCTCTTCCTTATCTCTAACTCCTGGCTTCCCTGGCTTCCTTTAGGTCTCAGCTAAAGTCCCATATTCTGCAAGAAGTTTTTCCTGGTCCTCCTTAATATCAGCACCTTTTATCCTAGATTATCTTCAACTTATTCTTGGTGTATATTGTTTATACATAGCTGTTTGCATGCGATCACCCCCATTCGACTCGGAGTTCCTAGAAATCAGGGACTGTTTTCTGTCCTTAGCACAATACCTGGCACATAGTAGGAGTTTAATAAATGTTCGTTGGCTTGACTCACCAGGAGGTGGGTAACTTTTTTAAACACTAGTCCTGTGGAAGATGATTAGTCATTGCACTGATCAGAGTCCTAAAGTTTTTAAAAATTCTTTGTTTTTACAGTATTGTTGTTATATAAATTGTTTTTCTTGTTCTTCTCACTTTAGTGTGTATTAGCTCATACATGACTTCCTGTATATCAGAAAAGTAATTTCTTCCTTTTTCCTCTTATTTGTTTTGAATGTGATCCTTTATGTCAGAATCATGAACGTATTTGGAGCTTGTCTTGGCATATAATGTGAGATGTAGATCTATTATCTACTTTCTGGAAGACTGCTTTATTGTTTTCCCCAGAAATTTTTGTTAAATAGTGAATTCTTATTCCAATAGCTTGGGTTTGGGGGTTTATCAAACACTTAGCTATTATGTCCATTTGTTTCTATATGATGTGTACCTAATCTCTTTCACTTATCAACCTCTCTATTTTTTTAACCAGTACCAAATTGTCTTGATAATTGCTGTTATGTAATGTAGTTTGAAATCTGAGGTCCTTTCCTTCATACTTTTAAAAATTATTTCCTTTGAGAGTCTCTCTACCATTTCTTTTATAATTCTGTCATTAGTGATTTTATTTGTGTGAATGTTTTTAAATTTTAGGTAAGCAACATTTTTCCTTTTTTGCTCTCTCTCATTTGGTTAAGAAATTTTTCCTCTAGTCATAGTTGAAAGGTACCTGATCTTGTCTAATTTGCATTTTTTACAGTGTATGCTTTTATGTTCAGAAAACATATCCATTTTTGGAAATATTGTGTTATATTATCATAATACAAAACAACACAACATATGATAGAATATAGTATAGTATAGTATAATATAATGATATAATATGATATGACATGACATGATATGATATGATATGATATGATATGATATGATATGATATGATATAAATCAGATGCTAGTCTAATGGCCGGTTTTCCTAAAAGTTTTTGTCAAAGAGAGGGTGCTTCCTCCAGTAATTTATATTCTTGGGTTTATTGTTGTTTTCATGTCCTCTTTTCCTCATGTTTCTTGCTTATATGTTTTATTTTACAATTCTATTTTTTCTATTCTTTAACCAATACCAGAAAGTTTTAATGACTACTGCTTTATTTTATACTTGTCATATACTTTCAAGTTTGCAAGACTATGCCACCTTCATTTATACTTTTTTCTCATAATTTCCCTTGCGATTCTTTTGAACATTTTATTATTTTGAATAATGTGGCACCAAATATGTAAATTCATTTTGGTGTTACTGTCATATTGGCACAGATTTCTTTTCATTTTTGTTAAGACTGTTTTGGAGTTGTATATATAATAAATCTTGTGAGTGTCTTTGTAGGTTAAATTCAGACATTTGATGCATTTTATAGGGTTTTGGGGGAGAATTAAATTTTTCTTAATGTTTTTCCTGGGTTTTGTTAGTACTGCATAGAAACAATAATTCAATCTTGGATTTATTTTGTATCCTGAAACACTGCTGTGGCTATTGGTCAATAAATTAAATTCTTCATTGATTCTCTCAGTGTTTCTCAGTGTCATTTACAAGGATTATTTTGTCAATTAGTCAATCAATAAACATTTAATAAGTACCTATTATGTGCCAGGTGACTCCTTGTTCTTTTTCACTTGCTTCATCTTTGACTTTGTTTTCTTGTCAATTGGTCAACAAGGAAAAATAGTAAGCAGTGCTAGGCACAGGCAGTACAAAGATAAAAATGAAACAATCCTGGCTCTCAAGCAGCTTATATTCTAATTTGTCTTACTGTTATAGGACGTTTGTAGGACTATGATAAATAATAGTAGAGAGAGGGACTATCTTTGTTTTAGCCTTCTGTGTACAGGGAAAGTTTCTCATATTTTTCTACTACAAACAATGCTAATTCTTAGTTTTAAATATTCTTTCAATAACATTAAAGAAGGGCCCTTTCATGTCTATACTTGTTAAAAAAAAAACCCTAAAAAAATCTATTGAAATAATCTGTGGTTATTGTAATCTTTGTTCTTTATGTTACTAATTTTGCTAATTATTTTCCTAATGTTAAGCCAACTTTGTATCAGTGGCATGAATCCAACTTAGTCATAGAGAATTATTTTTCTGAATATATTTCTGTAGTTTCCTGGTGAAGATTTTATTTGAAATTTTTGCATCAATACTGATAAGAGAGATTAGATAGTTTTCTTTTTCTGTTTGGTCTGTGTTTCCTTGGCACAATGGCCATTTTTTGTCTCATAAAAAGAGTTTGGTAGAGTGTTATTGAATCTATTTTTGAGAATAATTTTTATAACACAGGAATGAATTGCTCTTTAAATATTTGATAGAATTTATTTTTCTTCATTACTTGATTTGAGGTGATAAGGTGTGAGAAACATGCCGAGAATTAACTCACTTTGATGTACTCTGTCTTATGAGTTTCTTTATTTTCAATAAGGAAAAATCCTAACTTTCTACTCAGGAAAAATAGGATTTGCATGTCACTTAAATGAAAAGATAAACACTTTTATGGAAAACAATATCTAATATTTATAATACTTGAAAAGAGTTCTTTAAACATACTAATTCCTTTGATTTTCACAACAACCTTTTTTTTTTTGTTTGTTTTGGTGAGGCAATTGGGGTTAAATGACTTGCCCAGAGTCACATAGTTACAGAGTATTATGTGTCTCAAGTTCATATTTGAACTCAGGTCCTCCTGAGTCAGGGCCAGTGCTCTATGCACTGCGCCACCTAGCGGCTCCGCTTCACAATAACCTCGAGAGCTAAATGTCTAATCTCCATTTACATATGATAAACTGAGGCTGAAAATTTTTAAAGTAACTTGCCCAGGTTCACACAAATGTGTGAGACAGGATTCAAGCTCAGGTCTTCCTGACCCCAGCTCCAACCCTAAACCTGATGGTCTTTTAAGATACTGGTGATAAAAGAGTTTTCAAGTCATGCAGTGATTTCATAACTGTATATATAAATCTTATCTGTTGGAATTCCTCTAAGCTGAATGAAATGGAATTGAAGGCTTGCTGGTGAAAAGTTCCCTCTACTTTGTATAATATTCCAATATAATATGCCAGAAAGTGTAAAATGTTCTTGATTTTAAAAAGATCATAGTTGTAGTAATGTTGTATTAAATGAAATCTAATGCTTTTAAAGAAAGGCCTAAACTGGGATTATGTGCATTTAAAATATATTTCTTTGTTAAAACTGTTTCTGTACTTAACTCATATCATCATCAGATATTCAGTGCACTCTATATTCATGTCACTAGCACCCAGAACAGTACCTGATGATATGTGCTTAATAAATACATGCTGATTGATTGATTCTGGTGTAGTTTGGTCTGCTAGGTATTGTAGGAAATACAAATACTTTCACAAAATTTCAATTTTCTGGCATTTATTCAATTATGCTAAAATTTTAAGTAAAAAACATCTATGTTTAAATCACTAAAAGACACAAAAGAATAACATATACAGCCTTGAAGGTTACAGAATACAAAAGCTGTAAACAAAGCATTAAATATCAAAACAGTAAAAATCTTTCTTGTGTAATATTTACCTTCATTGCCCCGAGATAGGGAGATCCTTTAATTGTTGCAATTATAACTTGAGACTCCTCTAACTGAGCTAATATATCATCTATGGATGAAAGAATAAGGATCGTGAAAGCATCTGTCTGATGGGGAGTCAAACGTAAGGGAGTATTGCTCCACAGCTCAATAATCTTAAACAGCATTTTTTCCAGAGCAGCTTCATTCGTTGCTATTGCTGATATTTCAATGATTTTTTCTTCGTAGCGATACAACTGAAATAAACGAAATATCCCTGAGTGCCCAATACAATAATTACTAATATGTTTTAATTCAAGATCTCATTTTCATGGGATACTTACTAAGATTTCATAAACTTCCCATATTAATGAGACCCACAGATGATTTCCTAAGTACCATTTGTATTAGCAGGTTCCCAGGGGACCCAAATCAGCTGAACTCCCTCCCAGATAAGTGCCTATGGATTTAATTTTTAAACTTGAGGATTACGTGACCTACCTCAGCAGCCCCTTCCTTTAATAGCCCCAATGTTTAAACACTCATACTATGAAGATTTTTCCCCTTAAATCTAACCATTTAGCCAAAATCAAATATTTTAAGCTCCTCAAAGACAGTGTCTATTTGACTTTTCTCTTGATAGCTCTAGAACTTAGCACAGTACCTTGCCTAGTAGGCAACACATAAATTATTTGTTTAATTTTACTGAACTGAAAAATCTCTTATTGTTGTGTTCATTTTCTGCTCTGCTCTTCCTGGAAATGAAAGTAGAGATCTTTCAGCCATCCATTCGCCTCACAAACACCAACTCCTTTTGCTTTTTAAAATTACCTTAATAATTTTTATTGGTCCTATTATGTAAGAATTCTTTTCCATTTCTCCATGTTTCCTTAAAAATATGGAGACCAATAAATAGCTAGTAATGAACCACATTGGCAGGCCAACACACATCATCTGAGTGACTGTTTTTCTGTATAGTGTTAGAGTTTAGCAGAAAAGCAACACTGTTTTCAAAGAGAGCACATTGCTTTCTTTAATTTATCCTTATCCATCCCAGCTGGCACTTGTAGAAATATATTTAGTAAAATGAAGTAGCAAAGTCCAAACGCCTACACTATCCTCCCCCCAGCCCTGCTAACGTCTGCAACCCCACAGGATTTGTATTCAAAGTGAAAGTGGCAGGGGTGGGGGGAGCAACTAAGTGGCACAGTGGATTGAACAGCTGGCTCTGGAGCCAGGAGGACTTGAGTTCAAATCCGACCTCAGACACTTGACACTTGTTGTGTGTGTCCCTGGGCAAATCACTTAACGCCAATTGCTTCAACATTAAAAAAAAAAAAAAAAAGTGAAAGTGAAAATAGTTGGATTCCCTTAGGCTAGCCTAACCTTTCCAGAGGTGCCACAGTAGTCATAGGTCTGTCTGTCTGTCTCTCTCTGTCGTGTGTGTGTGTGTGTGTGTGTGTGTGTGTGTGTGTGTGTATTACCTTTCCATCCCTGCCCAAATGTGTTTTGGAGAGGCTGAGAACCTAGACGAACGGAACTCTGAAGTGCCGCAGATTCGCGCACCTACCTCAAGCTCCAGAAATTGCTTTACCGTGCTCTGTCTATCCAAAGTAAGCGCCTGCCCGATAATCACCTGTATCGCCTCCCAATGCCGAATTTTAAGACAAGGATTTACCAAGGCGACGATAGTAGGCAAGCCTTGTTTAAAATCCATTACTGATTGCTTAAGAGTTTTTACCATAGAATTTTTTGGTAAACCTGTAAATCAAAACAGCACGATAAGGTTTTGGGGACACTTTTTTTTTTTAATGTATTCAGTTTCTATCATTCTTAAAAGCAACATATATGATAGCTACTCATTACTAATACCATTCCTATTTTTAAGTTTGTCTCTTTTTTTATCTTTCATCATTCAACCTCTTAGGTAAAGCTGTCTCCATTTATTACATTGACTCCATTTTTTACTTCTTATCTACTTCTTTAGGTAAATATATTTTTATTCATTTCATTAAATATTTCCCTATTACATTTAAAATTTTTAACGTTTTTAAAAATTTTGTTTCAATTTCTCTCCTGCCCCTCCCCCACCCCTTGAGAAGGTAAGCAATATGATTATCCATGTGAAATCATGCAAAACATATTTCCATATTAGCCATGTTGCAAAAGAAAACACACCAAAAAAACCAAGAAAGAACAATAAAGTGAAAAAAGTATGCTTCAGTCTGTACTCAGGATTCATCAGTTGTCACTCTGGCGGTGAACAGCATTTTTTCATCATAAGTCTTTTGGAATTGTCTTGAACTACCATCTTGATCAGAGCAGCAGAGTCCTTCACAGTTTTAATCATTGTTATAATATTGCTGTTAATGTTCTCACTCACTTCTTAACATCATATAATCTGACTTTTTTCTTCATCACGACTAAAACTGTTCTCTCCAAGGTCACCAATGTAGTCTTCATTGTTAAATATAATGACCTTTTCACAATTCTCGTGCTTTGTGGTCTTTCTACGATATTTGGCACAGTTCACCAGCCCCTCCCCCTCCATACTTTCTGCTGTCTGAGTTTTTAGGGTAGTATTCTGTTGTGGTTCTCTTTCTTTCTGTTTGACTAGTCCTCAATCTCTTTTGCAGAATCAGTATCCATTTCCTGCTTCCCATGTTTGTGTGTACTTTTTGCTTTTGACCCGGTTACTCCTCTTTTCTCATCTCACCATCTCCCTTGGGTTGAACTGTCATTTCTATGCAGATGACTCTCAAATCTATTCATTCAACCCAGGGGTGGGCAACCTATGGCCTTGAGGCCACACATGGCCTTCTAGATTCTAAAGTGTGGCCTTTTGACTGAATCCAAATTTTACAGAACAAATCCTTCAGCCTTTATCTCTTTCCTGAACTCTTGTCCCAAATAACCAAAATCCTGCTGGGCATTTCCACTTGGCTGTCCAAAAGCCTTAACAAACTTAACATGTTCAATTCTCAACTCATATTTCTCACTTAATCCACTCCTCCTGTTGGGGGCACTACCACTCTTTCAGGATGACAGAGGGGAGTAAGTACCGTAAACACAGGACCTAAACACACACACACACACACACACACAAACGGTTCCGTTTTGTTTTCTCTAAGTGAGGAAAGAGAAGAGAAGGGAAAAGGAATATAGAAATAAGGAAGAAACTGGGAAGCAGAGGGAAGAGCTTACTATTTCACATGATTTAGGTGCACAAGGAAAAGAATATACAGACATGTTAAGAAGAGTGGGGGAAAGTGGGCATATCATTAAACTAACTCTCATCCTAACTGAATAAAGGAGGATTGGACCCATGAACAAGTTTGGTGTGGAAATACTATAAGGGAAATGGGGAAATAGGTAGGGAAAGAGAAAAAAGGAATGGGCCTTGAAGAGGTAGAAGAGAGTCAGTAAGGAAATAGTCACAATCTATCACAAGCAGACTTCACTTTTGGATTGTAGATCATAAAGCGGGAGATTTAAATGAGCAATAAATGCAAGAGCCAGAGACCAGGATCTGGGCTTGGTGAAGGGCAGTGGTGCAGAGGAGTAGAAAAAGATTACTTCAAATATAGGGTACTAGTACTGATGGGATTTCTTCTCTTTTTCTACCCCATTCTTCTTTGCAAAGATGGAGGGCAGGGGAAAAAGAGGAAAAAGTATAAGAGAATGTGACAGAAAGAAATACACAACTAACAATCATTACTGTGAACGTGAATAGAATGGATTCACTCATGAACAAGAAGAGGATAGCAGAATAAATTAGAAAGCAGAATCTAACAATATGTTGTTTATAAGAAGTATATAATATCAATACTTAGTATATGTGATACTTTTTACATATTATACAAACACACATACATATACGTACATAGGTAGGATTTAAGTACTTAAATGAAAAGCTGATTGAATTAAAAGGAATAAGTAAATCTATAATAGTTGGGCACCTCAATGTTCTATTTTCAGACTTAGAAAAATCTAAAAAATATGAATAATATAGGATAGACTGAAAAAGAATTTTAGAAAAGTTTAATATGTTAGACCTCTAGTGATTACTGAATAGGAATAGAAACTATTATACATGTTATATATACATGCACATACATGCATATGTACACACACACACACACATATATATATATGACTTACATGTATCCGGATATAAGTATGTTTCTTATCTATGTGCAGCATAATTACAAAAATTAACCATGTGATAGGGCATAAAAACTTTAAAAAAATGAAAAATGGAAATAGTAAACACATCCTTTACTGAACTCAATACAATAAAAATTTATCATCAATACATGACATTTGAAAAAAGAATTGAAACTTAAATGGATGTCAAATTACAACCCTAAAGAATATATAGGGCAGTGAGGTGGTGTAGTGGATAGAGTACCAGCCCTGGATTCAGGAGGACCTGAGTTCAAATCCGGCCTCAGACACATAACACTTACTAGCTGTGTGATCCTGGGCAAGTCACTTAACCCCATTGTCTATCCTTAAAAAGAAGAAGAAGAAGAAGAAGAAGAATATATAGATCAAGGAACAAATCATAGAAACAATAGATCTAACACTTTTCAATAAGATTAGGGGTAAAGCAAGGAGGCCAACTGTTACCACTACTATTTGACACAGCTCAAATACAGTTTGATATATACTCTTTGTAATAATAATACAAGAAAAAGAAATTAAAGAACTAAGGAGGTGCAAAGAAAAATAAAAAGTTTTGCTTTTTGCAAATGTTAATAACATCATGAACTCCAGAGATTCAACTAAAATTCAAGAGAAGCAATTAATAACCATCAAATTAGCAGGATAAAAATAAATCTACACAAATCATTAGATTTTCTGTACGTTACCAACAAAATCCAACAGAAAGAGATAGAAAAAAAAGTTCCTTTCAAAATGACTAATGTATAAAATGTATACAATGTATAAATGTATGTATAAAACAGAAAGTATAAAACATCTGGGGGTCCACCTACCAAGACACATATGAAATAACTATAACTATAAACCTTTATTTACAGAAATAAAAATGAACAAATAGTTGGAAAGTTACTGATTGCTCGTAGCTGAGCTGTGCTAATGTAAAGAAAATAATAATACTTCCAAAAGTAATTTAAAGATAGAGCACCATACTAATTAAACTATAAAGAATTGCTTAATAAAACTGGAAACAAGAATAATAAAACTGATCTGGAAGAAGCAAAGGTCAAGAATTTTAAGGGAAATAGTTTTTTTTAATTGGGAATGAAGGGGGCCCAATAGTATCAAGTCTCAAGCTATCCTATGAAACAATAATCATCAGGACTATTTGCTATTAGCTAAAAAATAGAAAGATTGATCAGTAGAAAATATTAGGTACATAAGACAAAGTAGGAAATAAACACAATACCATAGTGTTTGATAAGCCCAAAGACTTCAATCATTGAGATAGGAATCACTATCCAACAATAACTGCTAGAGAAACTGGAAATCTGTCTGACAGAAATTAGGTTTAGGTCAATATCTCATATCATATGCCACAATAAATAGGAAATGAATGCATGACAGATATAAAAGATCACTTATCAAACAAATTTGAGGAGCATGGAAGGCAATACATTGCATAATTACGGAAAAGGAAAGAATTCTTAACCAAAGAATAGAAGAATTACAAAAGATAGAATGGACAATTTTGATTACATAAGAGTGAAAATCTTTTTCCACACATAATGATTTCAGATAAACTTAGAAGAAAAACATTTCACTTGTGTGGTGGGGAAATATTGTAGTTAAGTTTCTCTGAAAAGGCTTGATGTCCAAGATATGTAGAAAATTAATTCAAATGAGAACAAGAGCTATTCTTCAAATGATAAATGGTCAAAGGATTTGAAGATAAAGCTCTGAAGGAAAGAAACCCAAACTATCACTTAATATATGTAAAAAAAAAAGTGTTCCTAATCACTGAAAGATATGTAAATTAAAACAACTCTGAGGTTCCACCTCATAGCCAGTAGATTGCAGGAAAGTGGCTATTATTGGAAAGGGGTAGACAGGTATACTGATATATTGTTGGTGGAGGCATGAATTGATCTATACACTATATAAAGCCATTTTCACTAAACACAGTTAGGTAGCATAATGAATATAGTGCTGGACCTCAAAGTAAGGAAAACTTGAGTTCAAATCCAGTCTCAGACATTTACTAGCTATGTGATCTTGGGAAAGTCTTTAAACCTTTCTCATCTGTGAAATAGAAATCATAATAGCATTTACCTTCTATAGCACTTGTTAACATCAAATGAGATATTTGTAATGAACTTAGCATAGTGCCTGGCATATAGTAGGTGCTATATAAATTCTAGCTATTTCTTATTATTATTTCTAAACTGTGCATATCAGTTCATAATTCAATACCACTAGTAGGCATATGCCACAAGGATATCAAAGAAAGAAGGAAAGGATCAATATATATAAGAATATTCATAACAGCACTTTTTGTTATAACAAAGAACTAGAAACTAAGGGATGCTCATTAATTGAAGAATGGTTGAACAAATTTTGTTTTATAAATATAATGGAAAATTATAACACCATAATAAATGCTGTTAACAGATAGATTCAGAGAAACCTGGGAGGAATTGTATAAACTGATGCAGAGCAAAATGAGCAGAACCAGAACAATTTATACAATAACTACAACATTATAAAGAAAAACTGCTTTGGAAGACTTATAATCTATGGTCAATACAATGATCAATCATTCTGGAAGACTGATGATAAATTTTGTAAAGAGGTGAAAGATTTTATTTGCAGAATAAGACATGCATTTTCTTACATGACCAATGTGTGGATTCATTTTTGCTTTACTATACAAATTTGTTACAAGGGAAGCCTTTTTTTTTTTTGCAGGGAGAGACAGACATGGGGGGATGGGACAGAAGTGATAATGATACCTACCGAAAAAGGAAAAGAAAGAAAAAAGCCTAGATCAATCATAAAAAAACCTAAACCACACTTATAAGGTGACACAAATGGGCAATGTTGAAACTATCACGTTAAATTTAACAAAAGATTTAAAAAATTATACATAACAACTTTTCATAATATCATAAACAATCATCTTTTCCTATTCTTTACACAAGGAAACATTCATGTTTATTGATTTTTGTTAAGTTCATAAAATGAAAAAAAAAATAGCAACATGGGATACAATGCCCAACCCTGGCAGAAAGTACTATGTAGCACCATATTCCCACATTTCATTTTTAGTTTTCTGTCTCTTATTTTGTGTTGTGATAGGTTATTTGGTCATTTTTTCAGAAATGGTAATCTCATTTATAGTAAGTTTCATATAAGAGATTGGCTCTTGAAACATAATTTTAAGTAAAACTCGTATTTCTAGGAGTATAACCCCAGTTTTAATCAATAAAAGGTATATTTCTAATTTTAATTCCTTTATTAATACATTATGAATGATAACTCTCATGGCATTCATAACTGTGTCATTTGAATTATAACCTAAAATACCACTTCTGATTTATCTGATGTCTGAAAAAAGTCAATGATTTAGGCAAAAGTAAACTGTTTGAACATTCCCTCCTCAAAACAGAGGCAATTCTCAAAAGGCAACGGGAAAGGTTCGGACAATATAGCAATATTAAAATCAATATGTGGATGAAATTACTGAAAGGCACTCTCTTTAGGGCTAGTTTCCAAGACTACCTGGGAGTTTCAACTGGCACATAAAGTCACAAACTACTAGATTAAAAGTACGATTTCACAATAAATACAGGTTCTTGCTCCTGATTTAGTCATTCTTTCGTAGTTTAACACTATCTTTGAAAACCTTTCACACCAATTCTATTACCCTTAAGAGGCAATGGAGTCTTGGAATGACAGTTTAACAGATCTTCTGTGATTAGTCTGTGAGGAGGCTAGAGTTTAGTTGTGTTGACTGAAGGGAAAACAAACAAGGACTAAGAGAATTCAATTCCTGAGAGAATAGAGTTTATCCTTTATCTTAAGAAAAAATATGAAGAGAATTCTTGGGAAGATTCTTTAATTAGCTTCTTAGGAAAACTGTGTTGGGACTGTTTCTAGAATTAAGAAGCTGAAAGTCATAGTAATAGTTAAAAGTGACTTTAGATAATATCCGTGGGCCAGGCACTGTGCTAAATGCTTTACAAAAATTATCTCATTTGAGCCTCACAACAACTCTGAGCTATAGGTAACTGTTATCAGCCCCATCTTACAGTTGAGGAAAATAAGGCAAACAGGTTAAGTGACTTATTCAGGGTTGTACCGCTAGTAAGTGTCTTTATGGGAAAAGAAGCTTATCTAGTTTATTTAATAAATGATATTTAGCAAGTTGGGGCAGGGTATTAGAGATAATTGGTTAATAAGAGATATTACAATTTCAGTAATTAATGTAAAAATATCAGAACATAACCCCTTAATTATATTAGAAACTTAGATGAAAATGAATAATGCGAATGAGCTAGTAACAGAAGGATGATTACTTCACCTGGGCTTACACATGTGATGTTTGACCTTGAACCCTGCTACAACTGAAAATCTCCCAATCCTTGAGTCCAGCCTGAAGGTTGATTTTCCAGGATAAGAACTATTTACTTACTATTCTTTACTTAACACCTTCTTTGTTACTTTAAATTGTGTCTATCCTGAAGCATACAGTATATAAGATATTAAAATGGTAAATTCTTGCAAGTAACTAATGATTCTCATACTTACCTTTATCTAGCATATAAATCATACGCATCCATCTTGTGACACTCTTCTGGATGAAATCTACATTAATATTGGCAAAAATGCTGTTCTTCCACACATGAGACAGATTCCCCCATTCCACTTGCGTTTCCCATAATATTTTCCTCAAAGTTAAGTCACATTCAATTTCTGAGATCTCTGACATCACAGTGTGTGCAATATTCCGCTCTAAAGCTACAGTTTTCATTGCAGTAGAACTCTCAAAACGATCTTGATAATTTGAATAAGTCTGAGCTTTGTTGGATAGAACCGAAGCTTCTTTTGAGAGGGTCTCAATAATTTCCAAGGCAGTTACTGGCCTAGTAGCGGGATGTGTAAGAACAGGGTTTCTTACCTAAGTAACAATAAAAAACAATTCCGTGACCAATGAATTCAGAAATCAAGTTAATTTTTTTTTAAAGTAAGACTAAATTGGTAACCAGCAAGAGATCCAGGGGCTGGTCATTGTTCTATCATTGACAAGCTCTGTGAGCTTAATCATTTCAACAACCAGTCATTAAATGCCTACTGTGTGTGAGGAGCTACTTTAGAAACTGAGGATACAAAGACGAAATAAGTCAACCTGACCTCCAGAAATCTATAATTTCAGAGGCTATAAGATGACTACGCAAACATTTATGATTCAAATGAGAATATTTCAACATAGTTGAATATTTGGGCAAGGAAAGGACTGACATTCGATGATTGCTTCAAGGGGAAAAAAATGACTTTCAGTTTGAAAAGATTAGAAAAGGTATTATCGAAGCATAACATGAAACAGGGAGGGATTGCAATGAGCAGAGATGAGGGATTCTGATAAGAGGGATTCCATTTGGGGCATGGAATTGAGAGAGGGTTGTATAGGAATGGGGGTCAAAGAATAGTCCAATCTGGCTGGAATATAAAGTGCATTAGGGAAAGAGCATGAGATAAAATCATAAAGGTGGATTGGAGAAATACATTGGAGAACATTGAATGCCAGAATAAGGAATTTGTACTGTACGATGGGAAGCTGTAGGAGATTTTAGTGCAGAAAATTAATGTGATGGGAGCTCTACACAAAGATGATACTATGAACGACAGAGTTTATGACATAGTGGAAGGAGAGAAGATAATAAAAATCTTGAAATAGGATGGAGAAAATGGGAGTGGAATAGAGGGTAATTTTAAAAGATTCTGCAGAGAGAGAACTGATAGGATTTCGAAACTGCATGAGGAAGAGGAAGTCAAAGATGACTATCTGGATGGATATCTACTGGAGTTCTCTGATGAGAGGAGAGTAGCAGACAAATTTCTTTACTTGTCTAAGTAGCCGTATTCTTTTTCAGCAGGCAGGGGATGCAATGAGATGAATAGCTAGTTTGGATTTGATTCTTACCAATAAAGAGAAACTGATCAGTGAATGGTGAATGAGAATGATGGTCACTAAAGATCACCATAGGTTCATCAGGAACAGATAATAAAAGACTAAACTCACATTTTTTTAAATAAAGTCTTAGATTGACAGAACAGATCATAGAAATACTTGTATATGCCTGGACCATGACTGGCCCTAGACAAAGTCTTCTTCAGTGACCTCATGCACAAAATATAGATGATAAGACTATATTTAGCCAGAAATAAGTTAAGACTCAGAGTTGACTGAAAGTGTGCCTGAAAGAAAAGTAAGAGAAAATATCAGCCTAGATTGTCTTGTGTTGTGTTACAGCCCTCTGCCCTTTGGTCCTGTTCCAGTTAATATTTTTATCAACGACTTGGATAAAGACAGCTGGCAAATATGCCAAATATCAAATTTTTCAGTTAATGAGGAGTGAGGAGGAATAGATGATACATTGGATGACAGGATCTGGATCCCAAAAGATTTCAATAGGCCAGAGATATAAGCCAAATCTAATAACATGAAATTCAATAGGAAGAAATATAAATTATTTTAATTAGGTAAAAGAATTTAACAGACGTGACTAGATAGCAGTTCATGTCAAAGAGTCTTGGGTGTTTCAGTAGACTCCAAGTTCAATAAAGATCAATAAATGATATGACAGACAAAACTGCTACTATAATTTTAAACTGCATTAAGAAGAAAAAAAAGTATCCAGAAGAGGAAAATAATATCCAAGTCATTAAGAATGAAGACAGTGAATGAGTTGGAGAAGATGTCCATAAAGCAGCTAACAAGGTCATTGAGAAATCTAAGGAGAGAGGAATATAACTGGAGGACATGAACTTCAAAGAGGGAGAGGCTATTAAAAGTACCAGAAATAAATTCTGCACGCTCTCCAGCTCTCAGTTTTTTCATCTAAATAATCTTAACGGCCCCTTTCAGTTCTGTGCTCTAGGAGTCCATTATTGACATAGGTAATCATCATCTGAGATAGTTGTTATTAATTATTGTATAAAGCATTTAGCCTAAGGGATAGTATAATCTGAACTCACACCACCCTTAGAACACTCTCATTTGACCACATATTGTCTTGTATTAGAGTTTTTTTTTTTTTATCTTTCATGTGGAGATTCTGAGGATAGGGACCATGTATTTCATTTTCCCATCTCTCCCCTCCCTCCTCCTGGGCTTGAACGTAGGAGGTACTCAACAAATATTTGTTGAATGGATGCATGAATGAATCAGGAGGTTCTTATTACCATATTAGTTCAAAGTGATGAAAGGTTAAGTAATTGCTCACACTGTATTATGTACATAATGGTCATTCAACAAATGTTGGTGATAATGATGAGATGAATAGATGTACAAAATCATAAAGACACTAAAAACACTTGACAGGCATCTAATGAAACAGTATTTTACTAACAAAAACTGTAAATGTGTGTTTTGTGTAAGGACCACTTACATTTAATGTAATAATGCACTAACTAAAAATTATATGCATCATGGTCACATTTGATGCCAGTAAGATTTATATGGGAGTAAGCCAGAGCTCTCCCCACACAAATACAGAGTTAGCTCTGGCCCATTCTCACACTGGCATGCTTTTACCAGAAGATAAAATCCTGGGCAGAAGAGACTAGATTATGTAGTAGAATGAAATAGCTGTTTTAAAACTTGGTACTCTGCTTAAAAGTGTTCTGACATGTTCTTAGGAAAATGTTCAGTCTTTTGAAATTAGGCTTTCTGTCTAAAAAAGCTCAGTTATATACCTGAAATGCTGCAACAGGAACTGAAAACTGAGTAGAATAATAGCTTGAATGTATGCAGCATATTACAGTTACAAATCATCTGACAATTATGACTTCATTTGGTCCTCACAAGAACCTTGAGGTAGGATGAATAAATATTACTCTACTCTTTTTACAGATGGGGAAACTGAGTTTCAGAATGTTTAAGTGACTAACTCAAGGCCACAGAAATAACAACAGAAAAGGCAAAGATGAATCAGAATCAAAAAATTGTACAGGTGGAGAGCATCTAGTCCAAACCTCTTATTGTTCAGATAGGAACTATCTGAAACTACTGGTTTCAGATATATTGCCCAGGTAGATAAAATGACTTGCTTGAGGTTATATTGTCAGTAAGTGGCAGACATGAGCCCAGTGCTTACAGGTTCTTTCCACATGGAACTTTTGTACCAGATCTGCATTTCAAGAGGCAGCAACCATGACAGTACAGGGGTTTCTCATCAAGTGAGCTGGGGAATGGGAAAACATCAGAACCATCAGAGTTCCCCTGGAGCAGCAATTGAAAGCAACACTGATGTGAAGTCTTTCTCCATAGGCTTTTGGTTACAGCAGATCTGTCCTAGTCCCCCTTAGGCTCTGATACTTTCACTGTGAGGAAGCAACATAGGGGATGGGGTGAACTGTTAACTTAGAAAATGAGAATTTTAATTACTAGTCAAATCACCAGGATATTTTTACTGGTACAATTAATGTAATAAATTTGGCCATCATTAGGGCCATAATATAATAAGCTAAGCTACAGTAATGGTAGGATTATTAGAGGCAGTTAGGTAACACAGTGAATAGATAGAATGCTCGACTTGGGAGTCAAGAAGACTTGAGTTTGAATACTACCTGCCTCAAATTCTTACTAGTTGTGTGACTCAGGGCAAATCATTCCACCTCTCTCAGCCTCAGTTTCCTCATCTGTAAAATGTGGATAATAATAGAACCAACTTCAAAGGGCTTCTTTAAGGATCAAATAAGATAACATATGTAAAGTGTTTTGCAGCCCTCAAAGTGTTATGTAAATGTATTACAGAACTTTACAAAAAATATACTTACCCAAGGAGAGTCACACCTTAAGATACAGAATGCTCATTTTATTTATTTTAAATATTGGTAGGGTGATGTGTTCATGATTGTATTTCTGGGCTGGTCATTTATGTAGCCCTTTTTGTTCTGAGAAATCTAGTTTCTTAGAATGGCCAAATTTCACCACAGGCAGGGATCTTCAAGATGATTTAATAAAACTCTTTCACTTTACAGGTAAGTAAACTGATCTGGAGAGGTTTAGTGATTTGTCCAAAGTCACACAGTTGCTTCGGGGAAAAACTGAAATGAGAATCTGGGTTCATTTTTGCACCCCATTATATTGCTTCCATAGGATGTTTTATCTATCTTTGTCACATCTGAAGAGGGGCCAGGATTATCAACTCCATTTTGGGATGTAGAAATTGAAGTACAATAACTTATCCAACGTCAGTTAATCAGTAACAACACTTGTACCCTGGTCTTTTGACTCAATCTAATAATCCTTCATAGCAGCTAGGTGGTGCAGTGGATAGAGTGCCAGGCCTGGAGTCAAGAAAACCTGAGCTCAAATTTGTCTCAGACACTTACTAGCTGTGTGGCCCTGAGCAAGTCACTTAACTCTTTTTGCTTCATTTCCTCATGGGTAACATGAGCTGGAGAAGAAATGACAAACCACTTCCAGTATCTTTGCCAGGAAAACCCCAAATGGCATCATGAAGAGTCAGACACGACTGAAAAACGACTGAACAACAACAAGCCTTTTCCCAAAAAATACAACCAATATCTTCAAATATTTTTTTAAAAATCTATTTACTTATTCATCCATATACAGATTTAAATGAGATATAATATTTATTTCTTATAAAAGAAACTTACCTTGCCCCTCAGGTCTCTAACTTCATTTTGCAGAGTGAGCACATACTCATCCAAATTTGACTTAAATTTAATAAAAGCGTTATCCTTATTTGCTTCATGAAATTTAAAAGCTGATTTAAGTTGATTATATTTGAAAAGAAGGACCTGAAGCAGTGCAACTTGCTCTGGTGAAATATTGACATTGTAGTGTTTCGTGATTGAATACATTTGGGAGACAATATAATATTCTCTATCTAGTGAAGGCATTTTTGAAGAAATATAATCTAAGAAAATCAAGTGTTCCATGAATTCTTCCACACCTGTGAGTTCACTGTCAAGCTTTAACAGCGATGACTGGATAACCTGGAATAGTCAAAAACATTAATTATAATGTTACCATTGCAAATTTATGTTACACATCCTCAACTGGGCCTTTACTACTCAACACATATCCCACTCGGCACAGTGACTTTTTCAAGTCTTTTCGTTCTTCCTCAAGCCTCCCAAAGGTTCTCTCTCTTCTCTCAGCTGAAAACTTTGTTTCATATTTTATGGAAAAAATTGAGGCCATTTGCTGGTTCCTCCCTTTCTTCTCTTTCATCTTATATCATTTATATACCTTTTGCCATTATCTCTTCTTTTACCCTGTCTCACACAAAGAGGTAGCTTTATTCCTTACCTTTAATTTTAATTTTTTATTTTAATTTTTCTCAGTTACTTGTAAACATAGAATTTTTGACATTCATTTTTTAAAATTTTGAGTTTCAAATTTTTTCTCTCCCTCCCACTCTTCTCCCCTCCTTGAGAAGGCAAGCAATAGCCTTACTCCTTACCAAGGCAAATTCCTTTACCTGTACAAGTGAAAATATTCCCTCCAATCTCCTCCAAAAGATTGCTCTCTTTGTCATCTCCATTCTTCCAATTATCTTTAATCTTTCTTCATCTATTGGCTCCTTGCCTACTACCAAAAAATATAACTCTTTCTCCTCTGTTCTCAAAAAAAATCCTCATTTGATTCTTCCATCCCTGTTAACTCTTGTTTTATATCTCTTCTGTCTTTTGTGGCTAAACTCCTTCAGAAAGCCACTTTCTCTCCTCTCACTTTCTTCTTAACCCCTTACAACCTGGCTTCCTGTCTTACCATTCCACTCAAAACTGCTCTCTCCAAAGTTACCAAAGATTTCTGAAGTGTCAAATCCAGTGGTCTTTCCTCCGTTCTCATTCTCCTCGACTTTTCTGCAGCCTTGGATTGCTTTTCATCACTCTCCTCTTTAATACTCTCTTCTCTCTAGGTTTTCAGGACATCACTCTCTCTTGCTTCTCCTCCCACCTATCAGACTGCTCCTTTTCAGTCTCTGGCTGGGTTTTCATCCAGGTCACCCACTCTTACCACAAGTGTCCCACAGGGCTCTCTCCTGGGCCCTCTTCTGTTCTCTCTTTACACTACTTGACTTGTGATCTTATCAGCTCCCATGGATTTAAAGATGATCTCTATGCTGATAATTCTCAAATCTACCTATCCTGCCCCAACCTCTCTGCTCACCTCCAATCTAGCATCTCCAACATCCTTTCAGACATCTCAATTGGATGTCCAATAGACATCTTAAACCCAACAAGACCAAAGCCAGACTCATTACCTTTTTCCCGAAACCCTCACCTCTTTAAAACTTCACTATTACCATCAAGGGCACGAGCATCCTCCCAGACTCTGACTTGTAGCCTAGGCGTTATCCTTGACTCTCCACTATCTCTTACCCCTTGTACCCAATCTGTTGCCAAGGTCTGTCAATTTTACCTTTGCAACATCTCTTGAATATGCCCTCTTCTCTCCTCTGAAACTTCCACCAGTCAGTAAGTCAATAAACATTTATTGAGTATCTACTACATGCCAGGCACTATATTAAGCATTGGGAGTACAAAAAAGGGGCAAAAGACAGTCCTTGCCCTCAAGGGAACTCACAGTCTAACGGGGGAGACGATAAGTAAACCAATATGAACGAACAAGCAATAAACAGGATGAATAGTGAAAAATTTAAAAGACAGAAGGCACTAGAATCAAGAAGGATTAAGACAGGTTTTTTGTTGAGGATAGAATTTTAGTTGAGACTTGAAGGAAGCCAGAGGAACCGGAATGCAGGGATGAGGAGGGAGAGCATTCCAGGAGTGGGGTATAGATAGCCAGAGAAAATGTCTGGAACTGAGAGATGTCTTGTTTGTGGAACATCAGAAGCCAGTATCACTGAATCAAAGAGTACATGGCAGAGAGGAAGGTGTAAAATAACTGGAAAGGTAGGAAAGACATAGATTTTGAAGGACTTTTAATGCCAAACAGGTGATAAGGAGCCACTAAAGTTTATTAAGTAGGAGGATGACATGACTGGATGACAGTGCTTTAGGAAAATCACTTTGGTGGCTGAAGGAAGGATGGATTGGAACGAGGAGAGACTTGAGGCAGGCCCCAGCAGACCATTTCAATAGACCAGGAAGGAAGAAAGGAAAGGAGGAGGGAAGCAAGGGAGGAGGGAAGCAAGGAAGGAGGGAAGGAAGTAGGGACAGAAAGGAGGATAAAGGGAAGGTGATGAGGGTCTAAGTGGTGACAATATCAGAGGAAAGAAGGGGCATATATGAAAGGGGGTGCACAGGCTAAATTGACAGGCTTTGGCAACAGATTGAATATTGGGGGGAGAGGGTGCAGTGAGAGACAGTGAGGAATGAAAAACAACTACTAAGTTGTAAGCCTTAGGGACTGGGAGGATGGTGTTGCTCTCAAAAGTTATAGGGAAGTTGGAGCAGGAGAAGTTGGGAGGGAAGAATGGGCATTTAGGGGAAAAGATAATAAGTAATAAAAGATAATGAGGTTATTTTAAGAGGTTAAGAAGAGAGTGAGAGGAAAGTGGAGCGATACCTTGGCAAATACTCTTATCACCTCATACTTGGACCACTACAATAGTGTGCTGGCGAGTCTGCCTACCCCAAGTGTTTCTCAGCTCCAATCCATCCTCCATTCAGCTGCCAAAGTTATTCTCCTAAAATACAAGTCCAACCATGTCACCACCCTGCTCACTAAACTTCAGTGGTTCTCTGTCACCTCCAGGATCAAGTACAAAATCCTCCATTTGGTGTTCAAAGTCCTTTGAACCTAACTTTCTGCCCTAGCTTTCCAGTCTTCTTATACCTTACAACTACAATGTATTCTTTCATTCAACGGCACTGGTCTCCTTACTGTACCTCAAACAAGACCTGTCAGTTCTGGGCATTTTCTTTGCCCGTGTCTGGAACACTCCCTTTCCTCAGCTCTGCCACCTGAATTCCCTGGCTTTGTTCAAGTTTCAAGTAAATTCCTATTTTCTATAGGATGCCTTTCCCAAATCCTTTTAAAGTCTAGTAACCCTAATCCTAAATGCCTCCCCTCTGTTAATTATTTATAGCATTTTTGTACAGATTTGTTTCCTTATTGTCTTCTCCATCAGATTGTGAGCTCCTTGATGGAAAGGACTGTCTTTTGCCTCTTTTTGTATCCCCATTGCTTAGCATAACATCTAGCACATAGTCGGTACATAATAAATGTTTATAGATAGACTGACTATGGACAAGATGAGGAGCCTCAAGCCATGGCCTGGAGTTATAGATGAGATGCACTTTAAAGGAAGACAATGAAGAACTGATATGAAATGTAATAATGTCTATTCAGCAGTCCTGCAAAATGTATATTATCTTGACTTTTTAAGTATTGGGAGTTGTTTACCAGGTTACAAGGAAGATTAATATTGTTTAGTTATTGCTGCTTAGCAAATTTAAGGCATGCCCCTTAAATATATGAGGAGTTTGGCTGATAAAAGGGGCAGAAAATAGTTTGCAATAATAATAGCTACCATTTACATGGTATTTTGAAGTTTGTAAAATGCTTTATTCATATTAACTTATTTGACCCTCACAACAACTCCATATGGCAGGTGTTACGAAAAGTAAATTTTTTTGTTTGTTTTTTAGGCAATTGGAGTTAAGTGACTTGCCCAAGGTCACACAGCTAGTAAGTGTCAAGTGTTTGGTCTGAGGTCAGATTTGAACTCAGGCCCTCCTGACTTGAGGGCTGATGCCCTCAAGAGCTTGAGTGCTCTATCCACTGCGCCACCTAACTGCCCCCAAAAGTAAATTTTTATGTAAAGACAAAGAATTAAATCAACTTGCAACATACTGCCCCCTTTTTGCATAAGTAACTTGGCTATAAAAACGTGCAGGAAAGGAAATTTTCTTTATGAAAAAACCGCTAAAATGAAAATGTGAAGACACAGTCTTCAGAAAAGACAATTAGGAGGTGGAGTAGATATAACTGAGAGGACATATTCAAAGATAGAAAAGTGACTGAGGTTAAAGAATAATGTGATTCCTCAGTTCATTTTCATGTGATGGTTTTTAGAGTTTGAGAGGTTAAAATTCACAAAGTGATGAGTGAAATAAATCATGTAGAGACTCTGGGATGATTAAATAAGGTTTGTTAGTCTTCTAAGATTGATTTTATTTCATAGGGGAAAGATGTATCATGGACCACCAAGAAACTCTTATTTGAGCCATTGAGAATGAAGAACCCAGCAAAAACAAAAACAAAAAAGAGAAATAGATAACAGAGGTAAGAAGAGCTGAAGAGGAAGACAGCAGGAAGCAGTTGGGAGGATAGCAGAGGAGTCCTCTAACAAGAGGGTTTCAGATGCTGTACTTGAAGAGGTGGGGTAGGCTGGTCTGAGGGCAATTGCTGTTTTAAAGCCTCTCTCAACAGTGCTGAAAGTCATATGTTTGCCTAGGCTATAGATCTTCAAATCACATTTAAAATGCACATCTTACTGAGTGTGATACCTAAGGTTCCATGCATTATGTGGCTGAATTTTTTTTCCCTACAATTTTCCCAGTCCCTACCAAGCCTTAGCACTCAGTTGCGGACACAACTGGCAAGATTTTCCTAAGCTTTTACACCTCATCTGGCTTGCTCCTCCCGCTGTCTTTATGAATAATGGTATTCTCATGCAAATGCATGAAAGACCATGTATTCACCTGTCTATTCCCAATAGCTTTTGCCTTTCCTTCTGCCTTCCCTTCTTCATGCACAAATGGAAAAAAAAATTAAAATTTGGATTTTGGGACCTATTTTTTCTTTATCTGTCCTGAGTTTTGGGGAACTAAATTCTCCATCACTTCATACTTAACTAACCACAGGGGAGGGGTCCTCCAGCCCACCATCAGGCAGTGTCTGATTTCTAGCTTGTGGTAGGTGAAGCAGACCCACCCACAGTAATAGCCAGGGGTGAAAGCCCTCAAAATCCTGCCTGGCTCACTTTCGTTAAAAGGAAAATTCTTTGTTCAGGTTTTTG